GTCCGTCTCAGCGGCTCTAGCATATCTAATGCTTTCAATTGCTACATACATGAGAAGGCTGGCTCGCTATGAGATAGTTCGGATATGTGGTCTCTAGTCTCCACAATCTAGATCAACCCAGCACAATTACATATATTGGTACTTACAATTGTTTTTTTTACGTTTATTCAGTATTTACTATTTACCCTTCTTGCCCTGTCTTTCCGCTTGATACAAGAAACACAATTTATTTGTTTTTCGTTTGCAGATTTTCAAAGTATCAAGTGGTCACTTTGATTCGCTCAAGAATACCCAGAATAAAACGGGTTCCTAGACCTTTGAGAGTTGTATTTTTATTATTATTGACAGTGGTATGCTTAGGTTTATTATTTGAGTATTTTTTTTCACTTTCATGTTTCAAGTACTAGTATGGATAGTAAGATGATTGGATTGTGAGTTGTATTTTGCATTAAATTGATTTCTTTGGAGTATTATCTTAGTATTGTTCGTAGCATGATTGTTGTAACGCCTGGAATAAGAACTTATTTATAACCAAATAAATGTTACAAGATGTCACATTCATGACAATAATATTGTCACAATATGAATTTATGTGTAAGCTACCATCAAGATTGATATATATTCGTGTCATCAACACTTATCACAAAAAGAAGCAAGGGAGACAATTTCATTAATTATCACAAAAGAAAATTATCGATGATAACTCAATGCATCACCAATGAGACATTTGGGCGACGACCATAATTGTCACCAACCCAGCCCATGGATCATACATGACAATATAATTCGTCATAAATACTTACTTCGGTGACAACCAATCTGACTCCTGGATCATTTGGTGAATTTCGAAAAGTGTGTTTTTGACAAAATTATGGTCACAAATGATAATTTTTTGTGACAATTAAACATGTCACAATTATTGTTTCGTGTTGGCACTAACTCGTCACGAATTTTTTTTTTGTCCACGACAACGTTGTCCAGCAAATATTAGTATTTGTTACGAACAAAATTGTCACACTTGGGTCATTTGTGACGATGTGAACTCGTCATAGATAAAATTTAAATGTTGCAAAAACTTGTAAAACTGTAGCCTATGTTCCTAGAATGTGTTAGGAAAATTTGGAAATGTGTTGCATAAAGTGGTGTTTCATAAAATGTAAGGATATGCAACCCATTTTATTTTGGTTGCGAAAAATAAAATATGAGTTGCCTTTTCTTTTTGCAACCCCCACTATATGCAACCCTAGTAAAAGTGTTGCGCTAGGATCTTGCAACTCTTTTAAGACTTTACGCAACACAATTTTGGAGTTGCAAGAGGCCATTTTTCCCGTAGTGAGATCTCCGTTTCTCCGCACCGACTAATTTCAACGGTCAATTAATATTTTCTATTAAATTGAACTTTGGGTTTGAGTTTAGAGAATCGAGACCTGGGGTGTATCTATTAGAGGTTAGGATATAGTATCATACCCCAAACTCGATTTAATTTATGGTCTAGATAGAGATATCTCACTAGAAGTACGTAGAGTATAGTTTACTCCAGGAGTAGACCAGTATGACCCGAATAAGAATAAATATTATTTTATAAAGCACAAGCACAACTAATGCATTTTTTCTAGTAATACAAAAAATCTCGCATGCGTAAAACGAATGAGATATGGTCAAGTAAAAGCTAATTTGAGAGTGAATTATGAATGGTGAGAATGGTTCTGATAATTACTAGTGGGAAATGAGCTTATGCATAAAATTACGTAAAGTGGCTATATAGCGGCCAGCACGTTGTGTTATGGGGTCGATATATAGTCGACATGACACTAAATGAAACTGAGAATAGAACACATATTTCATTGCTCGGTGTTATCTTCCCATCGAAATTCTGTGATCACACCCACACTTCAATCAAACTTAAACTAACTAGATTGTTGTTCTTTCTTGAGAACGTCTTTTTTCATGAGTGGATCTTGGCTTTGGAACATCCGAGGCAAAGGGTCATGACAAGTTTTGTAATTCAATTGCAACATTATTCTCTAGAATTGCTTGAAGCAACTGACTTTCTGAACACTCGCAAATTATGACATAAATCCCATTTCAACCAACTCAAGTATGAATGACTTCCATAATTCCTCTTAGAATTCGAGCCTCAACCGAAAAAGTCTGTTCGAGAAAAACACAACATCGAGTCCAGTCTTTCTACACAACTAATTAACTACATATATTGATGGGAAGATCACGACGTACAAAGTTTACATCTTGTTGATATCCAATGCGATATTTCAAACTATATGGAATCTTCGACAGCGCCTCTCAGCTCCAACCAGTTGATAAAGCAGAGACACTCAAATTAAGCACATGAAAACCATGCAAGCTAGCTAGGGATCGACTGGTTGGTATGATTCCAAGGCCACCCACCCACCCACCCAACCGCAACAGGCTGGTGTACGTAACTCCACGAATCGAATTCAACCTTAACCACGGCATCAAAAGCACTACTGCGTGGGAATTGGGGACCTTCTTTTTTTGGCGCCATCAAACGACAAAACCCTCGTAGAACAATCACATGCTTGCTTGCTGCTGGGTCCTTAATTGGTACTCTCACCAGTTTTAAGGAACTAGCTTATTAGATTCCATGGAGGCCCGGCGACCAAGTACTACAATTATGGTAATGCTTTCTTGGCGCTAGCAAGCGGGCGGACTATATGAAGCTCTGATCCCAATTCCCACTAGAAAATTGTAATGACGCATGTGTTGCAACTGCAATTTGTTAAATTACTTTATTTACTATGAAGTTAATCAACAACAATTTTCATAATAGAATTAGTGACCAATTTACATGATTGTTGGATTATATATTTGAGTTGCAAAATAAGCGATGAATGTATTTCAATTTTCACAAATCTTTCGTAATATAAAAAGTAGCGGAGTTTGATGAGTTTATACTCATACTCATTTATTTGGATTGAGTTTTTAATTCATGAATTTGAGTTTGTATCCATACCATATGCATATTATAGTTTGGTACCTAAACTTAAAAATGTTTTATATGTAGTACCTACACATAATTTTTTCCACATAAGTCCTCAAAATATCGATGGAATTTACATTTTAATACTTAAAAATTTCGTGACTTATATTTTGGTACCTAAATTTTTTTAAGTTTTATAATCCGTCCACTTTTGTATTTGTAGTTCAAACAACATCAAGTAAATGGGAAGGCATACCCACCTCATACTCATTTATAATCCCGAAGCAATACTCATACCCTACCCAAACCTATCTACAAAAGTCCAAACTCAAATAGACTTCACTTACACGTACCCTACCCAACTCAATGGGTTGCTTTGGGTTTGAGTAAAATTATCCATGTATGTGTAATTGTCATCCCTAGCAGCAGTTCTTCAATCTTACTTCTAAATTTACTTACCAAATTTTACTACGAAAATAATATCCATGGTTAGATATATATGCTAAGATTCATATTTTAGAAATAGATAGTCCATTGTGATTATTACAATAAGATTGTTTGACTAATATCCATTGTGAAACAAAAATAATTGTTTGACTGATGTTTTCATTGGAGGTTGGTCAATATGCGACTCAATTGACATATGATCTCACAACTAAAACGATAAACTAGATTCTTCGGTGTGGGGTTTCGAGGAAGTGGCTGGCAATCAACCCAACATGGATTAGAAACCCTGAATTTAATTATTGCTTAGGCAAAGAACACAATATATTTTTATGGTAACATAGTGGATTTGGTGATACAAGAAATTGATATTAATCAGCCGCGGCAGAGCTAAGTGTAGTTAAAGAAGAAATAATTTCTCCTTATTGTTTGATATGAGATTATAATGTATTCAAATGTGTCAGGAAACATTGAGTATGACATATAAGCATTATTAATTCATTTTTCTCTCTAAAAAACCCGAATTCAATTATTTCTTAGGCAAAGAAGGCAGTGAGTTTTTTTATGATAACATAGTGGATTTGGTGATAGAATTAATTAGCAGCGACAGAGCTAAGTGAAGTTAAAGAGGGAATAATTTCTCTAATTTTTTTAATATGAGAATATAGTGTAGAGAGTATGATTTTAAAAAATAATCATAAATGCAAAAAATATAAAACTTTATTTATTATGTTTTATCAAACTTCATTCGGCCAACGGGCCGTGCCCAATTCTAGTATCTTGTACCGAAAAATAATTAGCGGCATCAATCGGTTGTTGATATTCTATCACAACATGTTTACGAAGTTTCGTGTTTGAAATCCTCGCAACCCAGTATATTAATTCGTTGATTTAAACATATAATATCACATACAAGTCCAAGCTTCAACACTGACTTTTTCATTTGAGCATACATACGTGTTCCTCGGGGGGAAAAATCAGGAATTCGAGTTATTGGAGTCGATTGATTATTGACAGGTCAAGTCAAAGTTTGTAAGACCCCAAACGGTATATGTTAGTTGGCACAAGCAATGAGGATTTACGTGGTATACCCTGATTTTGGGCCAGTCCACGGAAACAGCAGCTTCAAGTATTTCTTCACTATAACAATGGTAGGTTACATAGATTTTCCCGATATAAGAAATAGAACACATGGTGTTTCCCAAACAACCTCACTATTTCACTCACAAGGAAATCTCATATCTATCTTTCCACAACTAAAACCCACAAGAAAGATACAGGAACAGAGCACACAAGGAAAGATGGAATGTGTAGAATGGGATGCAGAAAGTGGAGAATCCGTTCTCCTTCTTTTATAGTGCAAAGTTTTATAGTGCAAAAGTGAGGTAAAAGAATTGAATTCCCACCAGCTATTTTGGTGGGCATTTAATCACCCGCCAATCTAGCTTTCCTCCAGCAAACCCATGTGCCCCTCAGGGATCCACAAAAAAGTCATAATACAAAATTGTATTTTCCTTCATGGCGAGAGTGTACGGACGTACTCCAAATCTCCACTATATAAAAGGGGAAACCAAACTGATAACTCCTCCAAACAAACAGAAGAAAAAAAAAAGCTCTCTTCTAATCTGCTAGTCTAAATGGCCGTCTCAATGATAACCTTCCTCCAGCCTCCGTTCATTGCTTCTCCCTCCATATTACTCCATCCAATAAGCATCAAAAGCCAACGTCGAAAGCCAGTGTTCTCTCGATGCAGCTGCCTTGGCGAAAAACATGCTCAGAAGCTCAAGGAAGCAAAACATTCGTTCATGGTCCCAACGAGGAAAGAAGGAATGTTTGCATGCCCCGTCGAAACCCTAGTAATGATCGATGCGGTTCAACGACTAGGCATCGACTACCACTTCCAGGAAAACATCGAGGCTGTTCTTTGTGATCAATTCAGCACTGCTAAGATGGCGGCCGGGAGCTCCCGTGGGCTTTTCGAAGTTTCCTTGAACTTTCGCCTCTTGAGACAACAAAGTTATCGCATTCCTTCGGGTATATATATATTAATAATTCTAACGTATGTAAATTCCACAGCCTCGAGTGATCATGAGATTTTCTTTACTAACAATGCTACCACACGCACGTGCTGTTAATATTCAGATGTGTTCGGAGAATTCAAGAATGGAGAAGGGAAGTTCAACCCTAATCTAGGCCAAGACGTGGAAGCAATGATGGAGTTTTACGAAGCTTCACTGTGGATTACTCCTGGAGAAAGCACACTGCGTGAAGCTAGGGAATTCAGCTCACACTGGCTACGTTCATGGATCGCCACCAGGTCGCCATCGCGGAATCTCTCCGTCGGCAATGGTGTTCTCCTAGAAGAATTAGCGACGACGACTGAAACCGTCGCCAATACTCTGAAACATCCCTGCCGCAGGAGCATACCCAGGCTGGCGATTGAGGATTACTTGAACGGCTTCGGGGCAAGAACATCGTCAAATGATAAGCTGCTGAAGCATCATTACGTGGAGACTCTCAAGGATTTGGCCAAGTTAGACTTCAACATGAATCAGGCGACTCATCAAGAGGAACTCTTGCAGATCTCCAAGTAAGTAATAATCGAGGAACGATCGATCACACACTATTTAATTAGCGTATAATCCAGCTATTAATTACTCATGCTTAGGTATTTGTTTGTAAGTAGGTGGTGGAATGAGATCGATTTGGCAGTGAATCATGGGAGAGATCATCTGCAGGTCGAAGCTTACCTGTGGCCAATGTCAACCCTAGCGGGCCCTGGATTCTCCGAGTACAGGGTCGATCTTGCCAAAATCACATCGTTCGTGTACCTAATCGATGACATTTTTGACATTCCTGGGTCGTCGTTGGATGAACTCACACTCTTCACACAAGCTGTAACTCGGTAACAATTAATTAATGGATCGATATCGATCGAGTATGTATTCTTCTCCTTAATGATGATGATCATTACAAATTTATAATGGTAAGAGAGTCCTCTTTTCGAGCTGAGTGCAGATGGGACATCCAAATGGCTGAGGAATTGCCAGAGTACATGAGGAAATGCTTTGTAGCTCTCTATCACATGATTCATCAAATTGGCTACGATGTGCACAAAAAACATGGATACAACTCGATCCACTCGCTCCAACGAGGCGTAAGTATAGACCCATCTCGTAATACACTTTTTATAATTTGACATTCATCTCAAAATTCGAATCAGAGGGTATTGTTTTTTTATATATTCTCTCAATATTACTAATGATGGGTTTGCCCTAATATATATAATTTTGCCTCTTATAGTGGTCGAAATTGGTCGAGGCATTTTTAGTGGACGCCAAATGGATGAGGAAAGGAAAATGTCCGACGTCGGCAGATTACCTGAAGAACGGAATAGTCAGCACCGGCCTCCAACTTGTCCTTGTTAGCGGATTAGCGGATTATTAAGCCCATTGCTCATTGATTAATTAAGCCCATTAATTGTACTTAGTTTATTATTGAGCTTTGGGTCCATGAAACCCATGCAGACGTAGGTGCATAGGGTTAGGTTTTATTTTGGTTTCCTCCTGGGTGAGGTTTTCTCTCGGCTTGTATATTTTGGGGAAGCAGCCGCTGCACCTGGTAACAAACACAAAAACACATATCAGGGATAATAAGATCAGTAGCTGAAGAGCTTACACTCTTCCGTGGATTAGTCCTGGACATTCCAGGGATACCACGTAAATCCGGTTGTTCTTGCTTAGTTCTTTCAATTTGCTCATTTCCGATCGTTCAACATGGTATCAGAGCTTCAGGCAATGGAATCTGATCGTCCATCGGTTCGGCTGACATCGACAAACTTTGCTCTCTGGGAATTTCAGTTCAGGGTCTTTGTTGAAGGGAGAGGTCTCCTTGGCGTGCTCAATGGGACGGTCCCTCGACCTCTATCAACCGCGTCTGCCCACGAGATTTCCTTGTGGAATCAAAATGACGCCCGTGTTCGTCATTGGCTATTGGGCTCGGTGGATTCTTCTACTTGCTTGAGTCTCCGTCTTTTCTCCACCGCAAATCAGATGTGGAATCACTTGGCTTCGACATACTCTACGGTGAATACAGCTCGTCAGTTTGAGTTACAGCTAGCTTTAGCTCGTCTGGAGCAAGGCGATCGCAGCGTCACTGAATATTTCAATCAGGCTCAGGAACTCTGGACAGAACAGGATATCGTGTCTGCAGCTCTCCGTCCTCAACCCGCATCGGCAGATGCGATTGCTGAACGACAGGGGGGCCGCGTGCTCTCTTTTTTGATGCGCTTGCGGCCTGAATTTGAGGCCGTAAGATCAACGTTGCTGAACAGGGAAGGGCTCCAACTTGAGGGCGTTATTCCTCATCTCGTGAGAGAGGAAACTCGGCTTAGAACTCAGTCCCAAATTGATCTCCGCCCTGGTGCAGGAGAGACTGTCTTTGCCGCTACACAAGAGCCCTCCGCCTTTGCTGTCTCACGTCCCCAATTTCAAAATCGCAACCTGCCGTCCAACATAGAGTGCCACTTCTGTCACGAACGAGGTCACCCGAAAAAGCATTGTCGACAATGGAATAATTGTGTTTATTGCAAGAGATCAGGACACATAATTTTGGATTGCCGTACGCGGCAGCGTAATGAAGCTCGCGCGTCTGCTGGGGGGTTCAATGGAGCGGCTGGGTTTAATTCATCTGCTGGGGGATTTAATTCACGTGGGGGATTTAATTCACATGGGGGTTTTAATTCAACCCCTGGTGGCAATAATTCCGTTGCTGGGGAAGCACCTACTTCTTTCAATTATCACACAACAGCAGCTCGTGGACCGGGATTTGGTGATGCTTCGCGTGGATTGGGCCGGCGTGGAGAGCGCTCAGCTCACTCGGCCACGCTTCTGGAAGCTGGCAGCAGCAGTAGCAGTTCTCTAACGGCAGCAACAGTGGAGCAGCTCGTCAATGCCGCAATTCAAAAGTCGTTACCCACTGCGATAAGTGCAGCCTTTGCTACCCTTCAGGGTTCAGGTAATACGACTCCTTGGTTGCTTGACTCGGCTTGCTTTAATCATATGACAAGTGATCATGCTCAGTTATCGGATATATTACCTGTTAATGACATGTCTCTAAGTGTTGCTAATGGTGGGAAGCTTAAGGTACATGGTATGGGCATTGTTTCTGGAGATAAATTGATGTTACCTAATACTCTTCATGTACCTGATTTAGTTCCCAACTTAGTTTCTGTGGGACAGCTTACTGAGCAAGGCTGTTCTGTCATGTTTGCTCCGACTGGATGTGTTATACAGGATTTGAAGACGGGGAGGCAGATCGGAAAGGGGAGTAAACGGGGAAGGATTTTTCAACTGGAAGAACTTCGTGGTCACAATTCGTTGTCCGTCAGTAGTCATCTCGATAGGTTCGTCAGTAGTCCATCTAAACATTTGTCAGCTGCAGTTGGTTCGCAGTCATTTGGTTTTTCTAGTTTGTCAAATAATGATATTTGGGATCTTTGGCATTCTCGTTTGGGTCATCCACATTCTAGTCGTCTTGAACTCATGTTTCGGCAATCTTTATTAGGAAAGAATGCTGTTGATTTTTTGCCTAAACATTCATGTACAAGCTGTGTAGAAGCGAAAACTGTTAGTTCTTCTTATCCATCGAGCACTACCATCATTACTGATCCTTTTCATATCATACATACTGATCTGTGGGGTCCTTCACCTGAGGTTTCTCGTCGTGGTTTTCGATATTTCGCTCTTTTCATTGATCATGCCACCCGTTATACTTGGGTTTATTTCCTCCGTCTTAAATCTGAGCTTAAATCTGTGGCCACTGATTTTTTGAAAATGATTCAGACTCAATTTGGTCGTACTGTTAAGATTATTCGGTCAGACCCAGGAGGAGAATTCAGTTCCTTTCCATTATATGATGTGTATCGATCTCTTGGGATTTTGACTCAACAGTCATGCCCTGGTGTTTCTCAGCAAAATGGTTTAGTCGAGCGGAAAAATCGTCATGTTATGGACCTTACTCGAGCTCTTCTACTGTCTTTTCACGTTCCTGATCGTTTTTGGCCGGAAGCAGTTGCTACTGCTGTTCGACTAATTAACTATCAAGTTACTCCAGTTCTGAAACACGTGAGTCCCTTCTATGCCCTATATGGTCGTCATCCTAGTTACTCCAGTCTTCGAGTTTTTGGATGCCTGTGTTTTGTGTTGCGTCCTAAACGGGAACGAACTAAACTCTCGTCTAAGACTGCTCGATGTGCTTTTCTTGGCTATAGTGACGTCCATAAGGGTTATCTGTGTTATGATCCATCTTCTCAACGTATGCGCATTGCTAGTACAGTTATCTTCTTTGAGAATGTCATGTTTCACTCTCCTGGGTCGTCTTCCTCTCGATTCCTTCCTACTGGTGTCTCACTTCCTTTTTTTGATGATGGCCACGAAGACCTTCTTCCATCTGATCCCCCAGATCCTCCCTCGCCAGGTCTGTCCTCCCCCACTCTTCCCTCCTCCGCTACATCATCAGCCAGCTCATCCATGTCTCCCGGCACTCCTAGCTCATCATCCACCGTCGATTCTTCATCATCGGCTGCCGCATCTTCACCAGTTGCTCCTCTTCCACCTCGACAGTCTACTCGGGCAAACAAAGGTATCCCTCCTCCAAAATTCAATGATTATCTAGCTTACGGAGTTGATACCTTTGTAGTTCCCACCCGCTATCGGCAAGCTCAAGGTCATCCCCTGTGGGATGCGGCTATGAAACGTGAATTGGAGGCACTGCACGCCCAGAACACTTGGACTTTGGTTCCTCGACCACCATCTTCTACTTCTGTTGTTGGTTGTCGCTGGGTTTACACTGTCAAAATGAATCCTGATGGCACTGTTGATCGCTACAAAGCCCGGCTCGTAGCACAGGGTTTTACCCAGGAATATGGTGTGGATTATGGAGAGACCTTTGCTCCAGTCGCCAAGATGTCCACCGTCCGTACATTGCTTGCTGTGGCCTCTCACAAAAACTGGCCACTTCATCAATTAGATGTGAAGAATGCCTTTCTTCATGGCGATTTAGAGGAGGTCATCTACATGGAACGTCCACCGGGTTACACTCTTGGGACTTCTGATCAGGTCTGTCGTCTCAACCGTTCATTATATGGACTAAAACAGGCACCTCGCGCTTGGTTTGAGAAGTTTCATACTACCATTTCTCAGTTGGGTTTCTGTCAGAGTCAGAATGATCCTTCACTGTTTACTCGTTCTTCTTCGGCTGGGGTTGTTGCACTTCTACTTTATGTTGATGACATGGTCATTACTGGGTCTGATCATGAGGGAATTGCACGGCTTAAGGAGGGTCTTCATTCGGCTTTTCACATTAAGGATCTTGGCGATCTATCATATTTTCTTGGCCTGGAAGTTACGCGTGACTCTAGGGGCCTTCTCCTTAGTCAGCGTAAATATATCTCTGACTTACTTGAGGATCATCGGTTTGGCGACTGTCGTCCGGTCTCTACCCCTATGGAATTGAATGTGAAGCTCAGTCGTAATTCAGGTGATGTGCTTTCCGATGGGACGGCTTATCGTAGCATTGTTGGCAGTCTTATATACTTATCAGCTACTCGTCCGGATATATCGTATGCTGTTCAGGTTGTCAGTCAGTTCATGGCATCGCCTCGTACTGATCATCTTGCTGCAGTACATCGTATTTTACGTTATCTGCAGGGTACTCGTGATGTGGGTATTCGTTTTCCTTCTAGTGGATCTCTGGATCTCCAGGCTTATTCTGATTCAGATTTTGCTGGCTGTGTTGATACTCGGCGTTCTACTACTGGGTGGTGCATTCGATTGGGTGATTCTTTCATTTCCTGGCGTTGTAAGAAGCAGGATAAGGTGTCTAAATCCTCTACTGAAGCAGAGTATCGGGCCATGTCTGATGCTGTATCCGAACTTGTTTGGCTTCGTCGACTCCTCCATGATCTCGGTGTCCACTGTCCCTTGCCTATGGATCTCTATGTTGATAACACCAGTGCGATTCGCATTGCAGTGAATCCAGTTCTCCATGATCGTACGAAGCACATAGAGATTCATGTTCATTATGTTCGGGACTTAGTTAGCTCTGGTGATGTTACTCTGCATTACATACGTACTGAGGATCAGGTTGCAGACATCTTTACTAAGGCCTTCTCCACCAGTCGTCATTGGTACCTGTCGAGCAAATTGATGCTTTCTGATCAGCATCAATTTGGGGGAGGCTGTTAGCGGATTAGCGGATTATTAAGCCCATTGCTCATTGATTAATTAAGCCCATTAATTGTACTTAGTTTATTATTGAGCTTTGGGTCCATGAAACCCATGCAGACGTAGGTGCATAGGGTTAGGTTTTATTTTGGTTTCCTCCTGGGTGAGGTTTTCTCTCGGCTTGTATATTTTGGGGAAGCAGCCGCTGCACCTGGTAACAAACACAAAAACACATATCAGGGATAATAAGATCAGTAGCTGAAGAGCTTACACTCTTCCGTGGATTAGTCCTGGACATTCCAGGGATACCACGTAAATCCGGTTGTTCTTGCTTAGTTCTTTCAATTTGCTCATTTCCGATCGTTCAACAGTCCTCCTCCACTTCTTCTTCCTGCTGGGCCAGGGCTTAACAAAACAAAACGTGAGCCTCGTGGATGGCGACGATCCGCCACTAATATCATCGGCCGCTAAAATTCTAAGGCTGTCCGACGACCTCTCTTCCACGGTATGTGCAGCTTTCTTTATTAGGACCACTTAATTTTCCACACGTTATAATGGAGCACGTGGGATACGTACGTGCGGTGAATTGGAATTTGATTGCATGCATGCATGGCCCATGCAGTACGATGAACACGTGGGCTACGACGCGTCGTACGTGGACTGCTACTTGAAGGAGAATCCTAGGCTGTCCGTCCGTGAAGGTAGGGAGCGCGTGATGGATATGATTGAAGAGACGTGGGAGCAACTGAATCGTGAATCTTTAGCGACGACTTTCCCCGTCGTCTTTGCGAGGGCCGCCGTCGATTCTGCCAGAATGGCTCCGTTTCTGTTTGGAAATGACGGGTCGTTCCATGAGCATACCACCAGCAGCGTTCCAAGTCTTCAGGATCGCATCAAGTCGCTGCTCTTTGAAAGCATTCCCATTTAGTTTTTCCCACTATCAATGAAGTTTTGTTTGGAAAAATTCTTCTTCTTCTTCTTCTTCTTCTTCTTCGTCTTCGTCTTCCTCCTCCTTCTCTATGGAGCGCCAGTGGATCGATAGCTCCAGAGCGTGGGCCACAATTTCTGTCAGGTCGTTATTACGATGAAGTAATAACCTCGGGCCACAATTTCTGTCTGGTTGAGAAGCGATTGGCTTCTTCCATAATATCTTCGTCCTCAAGTCTCAAATGTGAGGTCTCAAACAGCTCCACTAACCCTAATATGTCCCCACAGCACTTGCTTTCCATGAAGCTCCTCGTGGGTTTGTCCATGAACTCGATGAACATGTCTGGAAAATTAAGGAACATAGAGAAGACGAATTATCGACAGGTTTTAGTTTAAGTTATTGAGAAGAATGATATAAGCTTTTCCGGTGATGAATCGATATCATTAGCTTAAGTTATTGAGTATGTTACGAATTTTAGTACATAATCGATAGAACTAACTTGTATTGTGGTCATGATGGATATGAAAACTAATAGTTCATTTGAATCGAAAGATTGAAAACATAGAATGAAAAATGATCAAATTTTTTTCGATATTAGTTAGTTGACTTTCCGTTCGAAAATAAAACGCGTAAAAAAAAAAAAAACTGGCGTTTCTATCGTGAACATTGTCACACCATATATGAGATGTCTACATAAATGCTTCAAGCCGCAGTGCCACCACTACAAAAAATTGCCGCTATCCCGACGGTTTCAAAGCAGGGGTTCACTTAACCCTTGCTATTAATTCCTAAACTTGCGATACCAACGGTCAGTTTCTGCGGTTGGATAACCCCTGCTAGGCTGCTACCTTTAAATCGAAATTATGCAACATCATACTAAAATATTTCCCACCTTCCTCTCTTATATTAGCAAACCAATTTCTTCAAATAAAAAACAAAGAAAAGGAAGGGGAAAATGAATAAAAAAGTAAATCTCTGGCTGGGTCGTTCGCTGGTCCGAAGCTCCGGATCGCGGAGAAATCATAGGACAACTCGATCGTTGCTAGCTTAATTAGCAGGTCGAAATGCCTCACCAATGGAGGATAGAAGCCGATGAGGATAGGGATCGTTTGAGGAGATGAACTCTTGACACGATTCGGCAGATCTAGGGTTTGGAGAGCATAGTAGAGGTTGATGAAGACATTGGAGATAAACCAGTCGACGGTGCTTGAGGCGATGGTAGGGAGGCTTTCATTCGGAGGTATCGATCATTAGGCTAATCCCAGTGATGACGACTGATCGGAGGTTTGCAAAACCCTAGTTTCATCGAATTGAGTCTCCTATCTTTCCTCTTCTTATGGAGTTTTGCTGTTACAGAGCGATTATTACTGGAGCTATTGTGACTGCGTCCTATGGGGAGAGCAGAAGGTGATTATTGAATGTCCAATCAACAAGGAACATGTGTACTTGCCATTCATCTGAAGGCTTTGCAAGTTTCTTACCTTCCCATGGTGGTTCTCCTGCAGCAAGAGCTTGATCTTCGCTCCTCTATCTAGAAACAGGTAGGCCTCCTGCTTATTGTTCAAATGTGCTAAGTTAGGGTTTTCTACTTCATTGGTTGTCTTTTGGTTCGTTGGAAGTATGTGTGGAGAGCAACATTTTATGCCTTAGCCACGAGTTCACTTCATTCTACTGCATCTTATCCTGTGATGTGGCTTCCTTGCATGAATACGTCCAAATGTGGGTGGGGGTAGATGAACAAAGTACCTTTTTTGGATTGGATGCATTGATATGTTTGCTGCATAATTCTCACCCAATAGTTGATGATTTAAATGATCTATTTACTTCCTCTATTTAGCTCATAATTGAAGTTAGAGGCTCCCTTAATTTGTTACCTTCCTTTTGACAATGCACCATGCAAAATGCTCTGAAGTTTATAATTAGTCTAAATTTATTTGTTTTATTTCAGGTGCAAAATCATATTTAAAGGTGAATGGGAAAAGAACCTGTGTTAGGCTGACCTTGCAGAAGTTGAAGCAGCTCCCCTGATGGCACAAATACATTCAAGTCTATAGGTAAGAAACATACACTTGTTGTTTTAGTTCCCTTTATTTGGAGTTCTTAGCATGAGATTCTTCAATCCTTTGCTGAGTTAGTTGTTCAAATGTTTTTTTATTGTTAAGAGTAATGAAGAATGAAAACGATGGATGTTCTGGTTAGCTGTGATTTTAATATTGCACTTTGTTCTGGTTAGTATACTCTGCATCTCCAATCCTCACTTATTACTTATAGTATGAAATGCTTATAGCTCACTGTGTTTCTTCTTTTCTAGGCTGCCGTGAAGGCCGCCTCTCAAATCACAACAGTCTGTGACTTATGTCCCTATCTATGACACCCTTGGTAATGGGAGTGTAGTTATGTATTTGATTTTTGTAAATCCATTCCTTTTACAATTTCTTTCATTATCGGGTTAAATTCGAACCATGATTTGTATGTCTTATGTGACATTGAGATTCTGACTCCTATTGTCTGTGGTAGGGTGATATAATTTGTTCTTTTGATAAACCAGATTGAAATTGAAGTACATCAACTGAGATTTCAGTTACCATTTCGATGTAGGCCAAAAACAACTGAGCCTCACTTTGCAACACAACAGGCTCGTTTGCCATTTGTAGGGGATACACAGTTTTGGATGGTGAAATGTATGGTATGTTGTATGCCCTTTGTTGTCCTCTTTGACGATTTTATTTGGTTTCATGTTATGTCTTTTGAATGTTATACACAAGGACTTTTGTACATCAACTAACAAACTTGAGCTCAAATGTTTTAGATGGGCATGACTGAGAGAACAGTTTTCCTCCTACCGAAGTGCATTGATCAAAATGTAAGTAATGAAACGAAATCGGTAATGCTGATTCTTGTGCTTCTTACTCATTTTTTTTTAGTTGACCTATCCGCTCATCAGTCTCCTCTGCTTTTTTATGTATGGTTCAATTTGTTCTGATCCTGGTTTTGAAAATCTGTATGGAAATCATTGGTAAAAGTTATTTGATTATAGTCTGCCATAATTGGTAACAGTTATTTGATTCTCCCCCAATATTTGTGTGTTTGGATATCGAAGCACTCATCATACTGACATCAGCTCAACTGTTTTGGCCGGTTAACTGATAAGTTACTTCCTGAGAGGCTCTTCCACTTGTGAACCAGCATATATTGAATTTGTCAAGGTAATTCACGGAAACCCACTTTCCTATTTTTATTTTGTTACAATGTCTGAGTTTGAGATTGCAATTACTAATTATTGAGTGCTTTCGCGGTTTAAACATGTTTTGGTTGGTAGGTACCAGAACCATTGGTATGATTAGGAAAATCAATCAAGCTGCTTCTAACCAGAAAGTCCTTGCAACTGTTCAGGCTCTTATTGTTAAATCAGAGGCCGCCTAAAACTGCTGATATCCAATGGGTTGCCTTAATAAGTCAATCTGTTTCAACTTTCAATTGCTTCTGCCCAGTTTGGGTCTGAGAACTCATTGGACACTGCATGGAAGGCAGAGAGTGAGAGTCTGAAGTCCATAATCCCACTGTTCGCTTGTCTAGCCAGATGAAATCACTTCTTTATGTACTCTGCTTTTGTTTATGTTCAGTTTACAAGGGAGTTCCCAAATAGTTCAAGATGAACTAGTAAGGCTTGGGGAGCAGATGGTCTCAACTTCCGAAGGTACAAAAGCGTTGGCCTTGGAACTATGCCGTGAATTTGAGGATTAATATCTCCAACATGTTACTACTTGTGAGGTATGTATACAGGCTTGCAAATTTCTCCAACATCTATCTCAAAGTTTGTCTTGCAAATTATTTACATAGCTGATTCTTTCTGCTGCTCCACCAAGTGGAGCTTTTGAGTACATTAAAGAATGCTCTCAAGTATATGTTTATGATGAGTAGTCTTATTTTTATATTTATTGGAACCAATTCAGTTTCTAGTTGCAGTTTGATGTACTAGATAATACTTCAAGCTTTAAGTTGTCTCATTTTGATGCTCCTAATGTATTGCAGGGAAAGGAGGGTGTGATTATGAATTTCATAAAGAGCTCCAGGTATCAGGCGATGAAGCGCATAGAGCTTCTCTCCAGAGTAGTACTTGTAAAAGAGGGAATATATCTCATGGGTATTTTCCTTTGGCTTTGAAAAGTAGATCATTAGGTTTTTTTTTTTTTTTTGCCATAGATATCATTAGGTTCTTTTACTGCTACTATGTTTCTTTGGAAGATGCTTAGATATTTATGGTAATTAACATTTAGCCATGTAAACAATAGTATATTGAATCATGGTATGAATGATGGAATATATATGCAAAAATGGGCCAGCAACAAGTTTGGTTATGGGTTTTCCTAATAGTAACCAGAGTATTTGTAACCAGCTTTCAGCTTATAGAAACCATATTAGGGTCCCCATTAGCGACAGTTTGAATTCTTAAAAATTTATTTTTAGTGACCATACTGAGTTGGTTGCAAATCTAATTAGTCACGAATTAAGCAAGGGTTTTAACCCTTGCTAGTTTTAGCAACAATTTTGAATTATTACAGGTCTCGCTTTAGTGACCATAATAAGTTGGTTGCAAATTTAATTAGTCACGAATTAACCAAGGGTTTTAACCATTGTTAGTTTTAGCAACAAATTTTCCAAGGGTTCAAACCCTTGCTACATACATATTTCTATTGAATTTTACATTTCAGTGTAGCAGGGGTTGTAACCCTTGGTATATGTAGCAAGAGTTAAAACCCCTGCTACAACCCTTGGAGGGAACTTTCACCGTGGGTTGCTTAAAACCCTTGCTACGTGTAGCAGGGGCAGCATTGGCGAGGGTTCGTCCAGGGGTTGGGAAAACCCTTGCTACAGGTTGTAGCAGGGGTTATAACCCTTGCTATAGGTAAAAAAAAACCCTTGCCATAGATCTCTTTTTTTGTAGTGCACTAAATCAACGTAACCAACCAGAATTAAAGTGATAGTTAGTCAAGCAAAGCTCATGCTGGGACGTGGTGTTAATTTGCTCCACGCGAAGTCGAGAGAGAAGACGAATGGTCCTATCCGAAGCGTACCTTGAGAAACACGATAGCCGCATTGTCGAAGGAGCCGGAAGGACAGTGCGCAACGGGAAGGTAAAAATAGAACTCCTTAATTCTATGTCCATCTTGGTCTTGGATTTCCATTTGCTTTTAATGTTTATTGTCCCAATTCTTTGTTACTTAGTATTCCTTTTAGCTTTTTATTGGACCGAATTAGCAGTGGTTATAATTAGTGTGTTATTTCTTATTTGATTGATGAGGGTAGTTTATAAATAGGGAAGAACCGCTATGGTGAGAGCATAGTTTGGAATTTGTTTTACTGATATTAGACAAAGGCTTGCATAATAATTTCCTTGTGAAATTTTATTCTTGGTGGGTGCTTTAATTCTATAAGGTATGCTTTGCCTTCTTGCAAGTTAGAATCTCCTTATTTTGCACATTGCTTTTGGGGTCAAGCAAAACTGTTCCTAAAAGACGGGTTGGATCAGGTCCTTAAACCCCATTCCTTAAGGAAGATCTTAAACCTATTCTAGCCAATAGGAAGAGGAGAGATAAAAACATTACTAATCATTGACTAACTACCTATAAGGACAAGAAAGGAATATAGTAAATATTAAAGATAAAAATAATTAAAATAAAAAACGAAAAATTAAACTCATGATTTATTAAGAGGCGGCTGAAGCCATTATCGGAAGACAGTTGTCCTCTCTAACCCTAAACCTTCTCGCCGTCGGCATCCACTTGGCGCGAAGCTCGTTTCGAACACCATTCGGAGACTCAGTCGTCGTCCCGTTCCCCGACAACCAAGCTTCGTCAGCAATCCCGACGTTTGCGTCTCGTTGCCATCCCGACGTCGGCGTCCCGTGGACGCGTCATCAGGTCACCATCTTCCCGTCGTCACGACGCCATCATGCCGTTAATTTCCCGTCAGCTTCCCCATCCCCATCCCGCCGTATCCTGCCTAGTTAACTCCGTCGCCATCCGACATCTCCCTATTAGGTTGTCGTCCCATCTTGCCGGTCTCCTGCTGTCACGCCTCCTGACGGAAGCTTTTGCAAAAGGAGGAGAAGATGTGTCAAGGCGGATTTAGTTCATAATATTATTATTTACGTTGAAAAATGACAAGAATTTCTTAATAATGAATTCGTCTTTTGTTTTATATTATGTAGAAAATATTAATAATGATATTGTATATTGTTAACAATACTGAGCTAAAAAGTTGATAATAGCGTAACTTAAATGTTTACGACACAAGTAAATCGTGATTCGGTTTGATTGAGAACATTAATAATAGCGTCACTAAAAATGTTAATAATGTAGGCAAAAACACTAATATAAACTGTTAAAACATTGACAAGTCAGTTACGTTGCTTTAAAAACCTCAATTAGAAGCTAATCTTATTGTGACAGCATTTTAGTTACTGGTTTATAATAATGATGATCTAATTAATAATAATGATGTGGTAGGTTAATAATGTTTACAACACGATCGATAAATCGCGTTTCAAATTTGATTGAGAACATTGACAACTCCGCTACGTTGCTCTAAAAATCTCAAATCATAGGCTCCCCTTTTGTCACATGGTTTTAGTTACCTGTTAATATTTTCAGTAATATTATTAATAATAGAGTCGCGGAGGTTAACAATGTTGACAACACGACCATTAAATCACCTTTTTATTGATAACTATAGTAGCGTCTGTAAAAAATGTTAATAACGTAAGCCAAATCACTAATATGTAAGGTTGAAAATGTTGACAACTCCGTTACATTGTCTCGAAAACCTCAATCAACCAGCTGCTCAATCCACAGGCTCCTCCGTCGCGTTTCTTTTCGATGGCAAGCAACGGATGTAGCGGGCCGATAACAAGTTTGTTCTTACAGATCTTGGATTTTGGCATATCGTGTAGCACTACAAAAAAATTGATAATGCCGTTTAAAATATTACTAATGTTGAAAAAACGCTAATAATGAACAAAGATTGTTAATACTACACGTTAATTCAACCGACAAATAATGGCACAGTAGTAAAAAATTGAACATTACTTTGAAAATATTACCAATGGATGAAGAAATGTTAACAATAAACCAAGATTGATAATATTATACGTAAATTCATCAGACAAATTAATACTAGCACACGCTTAATAATAAGACGGGTCATTATCAAATCATGCACGATTGACGACATCACTTCCAAATATTACAAATTACTATGAACTAAATTAATAATAAACTATATTAGGGAATTAATACCGATTACCAACAAATTGATAAAACAATTACAAAACGACAATACAAAAGTTAATAGCACAACCTAACATAATTAATAGGCCTATCTGACAACAATCACAATACGACAAACATTGACTATTGAGCAGGTAAAGATATTGACCATAGCCCTTCAAAAGATTACAAATCATGGCGACATAAATTGATCATAAACGGTATTAGTGAAAAACCCTCAACACACATTATTAGTTTTAACAATCTTTGTAATGCGGGATATGAAAAGTACAAGAAATAATTGATAATGGGATTAGTAAAATTGATAATGAAGCTGATATTATTAATAAAGAATGTATGTACGTTAATAATGGAAATATATAAACATATTGATAATGACCTTCATACTATTACTGACGAGTGTATATAAATTATGAATGCATACATGTGAGTTATACTACTCTCATTGTCAATTGTAGTTGTTAAGGCATTTTGATATTATCAATTTTACTAATGTCATTATCAATTTATTGATACAAATGAACACAAATTTGACCATAGCCCTTTGAAAGTTTAAAGAACCAGTGCACCTAAATTCATAAGTAACTTTATCAGTAAACCAATTTCGACCACCAACAAAAAGATTAATAACGTCGTGTTAAATATTAAAATTTATCAACAAAACAGGTTAATACGGAGCACGTTACTAGTTAATAATGTATATTTTTAAAACGTTAATACCCGCTGAAGAAACATTAATAACGCCGTGTTAAATATTAAAATTTACCAACAAAACACGTTAATACAGAGCACGTTACTAGTTAATAATGTATATTTTTGAAACGTTAATACCCGCTGAAGAAACATTAATAACGTCGGGCTAAAACTCTTCAACGTTAATTCAACAGATTGGGAAAAGGTATTGACCATCGTCAGTGAACGAAATCCTTGGAAGGCGTCGAAGATTACCTTGAACGCCGCCGAGGAGAGAGTAGGGATCGACGACAGAATGAACGAGATAGACGACGGACTGAAGCAAGGTCGGGAACGGATTTTGGGGACAGAGCGAGGACCGTACAGGAAACTGGGCGAACAGGAAGTTGGGGCGCTGACGGCGCCGATGGACGGAGACTGTTGACGAAGGGACGCCTGGATAATAAAGACAAAGATTCTCGACGACGGAGACGGCTGGAGACTGCTCTTGAAGAGATCGGTTAACACAAAACCTGTTACGCTGGGAGGAGAAAAACCGACGAGATGTGGGTTTGAAAATTAGTAGGATTTATTATTCAGTTTTTATATTATTTATAATTCCCAACATACCTTTAACAACTAATAACTCCTCATTAACTAATAACTCCTTACTAACTACCTAAAATCAAATCAACCAATCACAACGTTTTAAGATCCTCCTTAAGAAAGGAGGCTTAAGGACCTGAACTCAGGCCCCTAAAAAATAGAAGATGTGATTTTATTAATTCATTTAGTCACTCGTCCACAAGAAACTCCAACGGAAATATTAAATGGAAAGGGGGCCGAATTTTTCTCTCCAACGGATTATGAGGGATTCTTTTGCTGAATCGCAAAAATAAGGATCAATGATTTCTACGAAAATTTAACATTTTCCTTCACAATTTTGTAGACCCTTTCCTTATGCATTTGGTTTTTCTTTTCAATTTTAAATTAGTACTTTATCATGTTCCTTTTCCTATTTAGATTGTTATTGTTACATTATAAATAAGTGAGTTTTGTTTTCGTTAAACATCAATTTCTACTACTTACTTTCGTACAAGAAATCTTGAAACTAGCAAAGGAAGAAGCTTAAGAAAAGGAATATGTAGCACAACACCATCAACGTATTTTAGGCTAAAATACATCGAGTACCATTAAAGTACGAGAATTGAAGAAGCTATGCCACTTAAGTAAGAATAGAGAATCGCGTACCAATGAACTCTATTATATGTGCACCCGATACCACTTAAGTTTACTGTTAAGTGCATTCCGTTAAAGTTGACTATATATTCTTGAAATATTCCGTTTTCTAAATTTCAGAATTGGTTCTTCTACTTTTCTTATTGTAACAAATCCTTTGGAATTAGGAATTAGGAATTTGGAATTAGGAATTGGTTCTTCTACTTTTCTTAATTTTAATCCAATTACCACTAAAATAACATCGAAATACCACATGAACAAATAATGAGTTATTTAACTCTACAAATACCATATTGACTATTAATTCATCCAAACGATACTTAATTCATTCGTATTAAAGACAATAATCATATCCATTAATAAACAGCAAATTAGTTGATGATAGAATTTGATGAGCCGCTTATGTAACACTACGATCGTCACAAGAGCATAAAATGTGTCACTAATGGCCACAATCATACGTTGATTTCTTGTCACTTAAGACAGCTCATCAGTCATCAAACCGTTAAAAATGTGTTGAGATCGTCACAAAAGAAAGCATTCGTGATAGCTCAATTCATCACAATGGTGTATTTGAGTGGTCACCATATAGTTGTCACCAAATATAACCTTTTGCAATAAAATGTTGGTAACCAATGGATTCAATTTGTGATACAACATCTCGGTGATGTTGTTTTGTGATAAAAATCTTGTCACAAAACGATTTTGTTGTGACAATCATATAGTCATAGAGTATATTATGAGTGACTGTCTGAATTCGTCACAGATAGGGTGGCATACGAGACAATAGAACTATTGTGAGATACTTTAATTCGGGTTGTTTGGATAGAGTATTTGTATGAGTTATTTGGGTTCAAATAACTCACAGTGAGTTATTTGGACATAAATAACTCGCTTGACGGCATTTCACTGAAATGAGTTATTTGGACAGTGAGTTATTTACAAATAACTCAAAACGCGTTATTTAAAATAACTCGTTTTACCCCTCTGTTTTTACGAAATACAACATGTCAAATACCACATTTGCATGGTTCAACCAAATGAGATATTTTATTTCAATTACCACTGAAATAACACTAAAATACTACATGAACAATAAATGAGTTATTTGACTCTACAAATACCATATTGACAATTAACCCATCCAAACGACCTCCTAGTTATTTTGAAATAACTCGTTTTGCCTCTCCTTTTTCCAAATACCACTTGTCAAATTCTACCAAACGAGATACTTTAATTTTAATCCAATTACCACTAAAATAACATCGAAATACCACATGAACAAATAATGAGTTATTTAACTCTACAAATACCATATTGACAATTAATTCATCCAAATGATAAATCATATCCATTAATAAACAGCAAATTAGTTGATGATAGAATTTGATGAGCCGCTTAACCGCACACTTGCATTGACATTTAGTCCTTGGACAAAGCTGATATCTTCTTTGTAACTTTTACTTGCTGCCTACGTATGTTTCAAAAAATAGCTCTATAAAAAATTACTATACTAAAAGTAAAAGGTAAATAAGTTGAATAAAAATAATATTTTCTATTACACTGTGGTTTAAATGTTTTGGCCACACAATCATACAGTCTCATTATAAGCCAGTCTCTTTTTCATTAAACATATATGTAAAAAAGCTGTTAATTATGAATTTTATAGAATCTTAAAATTTTGAAAATGAACCATATATGTAAAAAAGCGGTTAATTATGAATTTTATAGAATCTTAAAATTTTGAAAATGAACCATACATATAAAATTATAAAATTTTGGCCATGCTACTGAATATCTACGTATTCGTGATCACGGCAAAAATGGACCCTAGAATCGAGATTTTGAACCCGACGTGAATCGAACACGCAACCTTCTGATCTGGAGTCAGACGCGCTACCATTGCGCCACGGATCCTAGTGGTGTCATGATTTAAACCTAGATTATATTTGTACAGAAGGCGCGTTGGTCAAAACTACCATTAAACTTGGGCTTTCAGTTTCTATTAAGAGTCAGGAGCCCATGGGTAAACCGGCCTTCCTCGTTGGTCAACTTCTAACAAATTAACTGCAGAAACTAACGGGCTTGGCCCAATCATACAAAATATTATCAATTACATAAACTGAATTTACTAATATTCTTCGTCATACATGCCTCATAATATTCAACATTCTAATTTATGAAAATAGGAATACACTCAAAAGAAAGCATAGGATAAAATGACAATTCAAATTCTTTAACAAGAAATAATGAAAAAGTACACAACCGTTATTATTCTATTAAAAAATAAAAACTACAAAGGGGACAAAACTAAGTTACAAGAAAATCATGTAGTCCAACAATGAGATTACAACAATAATACATTTATTCAACACAAAATGGTAGGAAATTTAATTAAAAAGCTTCTAATTTGTATATTAGGAGGAACATAAACACAATGAGTTTAAACCGTATGAAGAAATCCCCCCAAAAAAACCCCTGTCCACTTAAGCATCAATAGAAGAACCCTTCAATTTCTTGGCAATGCCGGCAAAGTACTGCCCCTGGTGATGAGCCAGCCCCAGCTCTAGCTCAGTAGGCTGCCTGGAGCCATTCCCTGCAAATGTGCCAGCACCATAAGGACTCCCACCTTTCACCTGTTCCATCTCGAACATCCCAGCTCCGAATGTGTACCCTACTGGGACGAAGACCATCCCGTGGTGAACCAGCTGAGTGATCGCTGTCAAGCTGCACAACATCGAGCACGAATATCGCGAATATCAGAATCAGAAGTTGGCTCGTAATCAGAACCAAAAGTTTTTACACGAGGAGACACATATCGAAAAACTCACGGTGTGGTCTCCTGGCCACCTCCCTGAGAGCCAGTGGCGTAGAAGATACCAGCAGGCTTCCCTGAGAGTGCCTGAGTCCTCCACAGCCCACCGGTGGAGTCCATGAAAGCCTTGAACTGAGCAGCCATCATCCCGAATCGAGTTGGGAAGCCAAAGAGGATGCCATCAGCCTCTGCAAGTTCGTTGGCAGTGATGGTGGGGACTTCACTCTTTGATGGTGCTCCCATCTTGCCAAGAACATCTTCATTCAGTGTCTCTGGTACCTGTACAAAGAGAACCCCACAAGGATTAAGTTCAAAAAGTTGGTGAAAAGTTGAAACATTGATCTGTAGGGTTTTTTTTTTAGTGTTGAACAAACCTGGAATAGCTTAACTTCAACTCCTTCAACAGCTGAAGCTCCTTTCTTTATCTCTTCGGCTAGTTTCTCAACATGTCCATACATGGAGTAGTAACTGCAGAATTGGGTCAACAGTCTCGCACTGTTAGTTATATGTTTATAGCATAATTCACTTCTTGAATGACAATTTTTTGTGGCAAGATGGAAGCAAAGCAGCACCAGAATCCATTACAATATCTCATACAGGCTCAGTCTCTAAGGAATGTAAGAAGAAGTGAACATTTGGAACCATCTATAGTATCAGTTCATAGTCAAGCAATGTATGAAATGAGAAGAGGTAGCAGTGATGATTGATAGGGGACCATATACCCTCATGGGAAACCCATTAAGTCTCTATCTCAACCATAATTCAAAGGGTAGGTCCAATATCACAATCAAACTTTTCTTTTCTTTTCCCTGCTTACTTATATCTACTTATGAAGTGGAACCTCCACAAAAACTTAGCCATATTATCATCAAAACTCTCTCTTTCTTTCTTTTACTTTCCATTGATTCAACCCCAAACAGGGAGCAGTCATGAGTGGGCATGGCAGAATGTGCAGTGGGAAACATCTCAACTATACACATATATTCCCATTTTCCAGATGGATACAAGAAAGTAAAGTCCAACCTTTCTAGTGTCTCCCCCATTACCCACAATCACGTTGAATTTTGAGGTTATCCACTACTATAAAGTTTCCAGCAGATTCATTTCACTTTGTACTAACCTGTTCAAGCTAAGCACAAAGTAAAAATGACTTCAAATCTACCTTAATAACTCGAGTTACGACATCATGCATTTCCCTGCTGATAAACCCACAAACGTCAATGTTTGATTCAAGCACATATGATGGACCAGTACAAAATCGTCAAACCTAATGATCAAGCTTTCATTTTTGAGGAAACAAGATCGAATCGGTCCTCCACATGTTTCATCCAACACTCTGATCAGTCAAGTTTTCTTTTTCTGAGATGAAGATGATCAATCAAAATGTTGCCCACATGTTTCACCTACCACATATGACCCTATCCAAAGAACAATTTCCCTCCCCAATAAGCAATAGGAGGGTTCTGCAACTGATATTTCAGAGAAAAGACCCCACTTGACTATGAAATTCAGAAATCTGAAAACCGATACAGACCAGGCTAACCCAGATAAAAACAGGGGGATTCCACTATCACTGCAAGCTTCCATCTTGCTAACAACCCATCAAAAATTAATGATTTTCAAAGATATTATAATCTGATCAGCAGCAATCCAAGTCAAACCCAGATGAACCCAGTAATCAGACCGAACATTCGATTCTCAAAGCAACAGAATCGGGTCACGGAAGCAAATCAACCTTGGCCTGACTTAGGAATTCAAGCTAACAGCTACCATTGAAAAGAACAGAGCTAGAGTAGAAAGAAGGGCGGAAATGCTTACACGATGTAGATTTTGACGGCCATTGCTGGGGAATCGGGGGATTTTTCGCTTTGCTTTCGGTGTCTGTGCTCTTTGTTAAGTCTTCTCTTGTGGCCGATTCAGCTGGAACGAATGCGTTGAAAAAGCTTATAGAAGAAGGTAATGGAATGGGAGCAAGGAAGGTGGAGGGGTTTCTGGTTTTATACCCGGGCGGATGAGCTGGTAATGGGGGATTTTTGCTTTTAAAACCCGCCTTTTTTGATTAATCACTAAATATTAAATAACATCCCATTCATTTTCTAATAAAAACTAATTACATCATTAATGTGGTCATCACCATATGTATTTTATTAGCTCTTTATTTAATTTATTTAATTAGTTATGTCCTTTTTATTTGTCTCAACATTGTTGTCCATTTTTTTTAATTTACAGTGGATGGCATGAACGATCACTAAATTTCCAGGCTATTAACTTACCAGTCATCCGAAAAAATGTATATTCTTTTATGTAAATTCGTAGATGAAATAACTAACATAATAGCCACTATGATCCTTTTTGTAAAAAAAATTCCATTTTAATTGTCATGATTAATGTATTAACTCAACTATACTTTTCTCTAATTAGTAATTGGGTACTAAGAAAAAAGGAGTATAGATTGGATCGTATTCCAGTTGATATAGATCATAAACACGCTTAAGGAGTTTGGCTTAGTTGGTAACCATAATATGGATTCATATCTTAAGGTCAGTACAATATCATAAAAAATAAAGTAGGTAATTTATGTGAGCATATTAGAGTGGATATTGACATCTTTTGTTAATAAATTTGGTTGATTTGGTATTTGAGTTTGAAAAATTGGTAAGAATTGCATATTTGCATACACAGATGGAGGGAGGGAGTGTGAGTGTTTGCGTGATTTCTTCCAAATTCTGATGACTTGTTTGTAAACCGAAGTTTAATGATCATTTGGTTGGTGATCTGAAGTTTGGTGACCATGTATGTAATTGGCCCATTTATTTCAAGTTTCGCGGGAGATGGTCGCCGCCGCGCCTGGCGGACTGGAATCTTTCCCATCCGGCATTACACTAAACAAACCGAAGAATAAGGTTAGTCAATCTTTTCCATTCAAGATTGTTCGGAATAATAAGTAGCCGTTACTATTCTATTAAGGAAATAAAAGCATTTGGTATGAAATAGACAAGATTTGGGAGAAATTCGTTAGGGGATCTTGTGTGTCAGAGACCAAATATATCCATCATCGTAATGAGGAATCGGTCAGCATGCTAACCCCTATTAATTATAGTTAGTTTCTGTATTAAATTCGTGTTGCATTTAATAATCTTTGGAAATTAAAAATTCATCTTAATTACATTCTTTTTTTTTAAACTATCATTGCACTGATACAACTATCATTGCACCTGTATATTGAACTCATATTAATTACGTTCCTTTTTTGGAACTATCATTGCACTGATACATCTACCATTGCACCTGTACACTATTACCATTGCACTGATACAACTACTAGTGCACTGAAAAAAGGAAAATAATTAATATGTATTTTTAATTCAAACAAATTATTAAATGCAACACAAATTAATTACCTTAAAAACCTATAATTAATAGGGGGTGTCATTTTTCCAACCCTTTTAAGGGTAGGCATGCTATCTCATCCCTCATAACGATGCTACAAGGTTAATTTTTTTGCTGTTTAAAGGTAAGCCCAAATAATCAATTAATAAAAAACATAGCAGCGAGCGTTACAGAGTAAAAAATTGGAAATGGGCAAAAATTGGAAAGGTAACCCACCAAATCAACGACTCGACCTACAAGACTAACGGATACAACATGTCATGAGTTGAGATTATTTGAGTTACTCCGGTCAAGAAGAATTTCAACATTGCATGTACACTTATTAAGCACGAAACAAATTAAACATATGAGGATTGATTTGAAGGTGTGTGTTAGAGGTGGGTGTTATTTGCTATGAAATGCCTACATAAGAATTGAGATAGGTTCTGACGTATCAGTATGTTTCATGCTCTTGTCAAAAAAATATAGTCAACATATTTATTGATGTTATATGTTCATTTATTCTCGTAATATCTTCATCAAGGTTTTTATTTAGGGCTCGTTTGCGTCGTGGATTTGAAAAATGAAGGTTTTGGTATAACTTGGGTTTTGAAAAACCATGGATTAATAAGGGTTTTAGGTTCATTATGGATTTGATAAACACCATTGTTTGTTTGATGGATTTCATGATGGATTTTGTTAATTAAATTTGTATGTATGAAGAGTAATTTACCTTTATTGCCCTTAATGATATAAGAAGAGAAAGCAAATATGAAGGGTATGTTGGTAAAAAATGATGGACTTCAAAGTCCATAATCAATTCCCACCTAAATAGGTGGAACTTTCAAGTCCGTGGGGTCCACGGATTTGGTCCCTTAAAGTTCGTGGGACCCACGGATTTGGTTCTCCTAAATGCATGAAGCAAACAATGGATTTTGGACAAAGTCCATGATGGATCCAAATCCTTCACCAAATCCATCATCAAATCCATCAAACAAACAAGCCCTTAGTGACGTTTTTGTGATGTGAGCACTACTACTAGCTAATACTATACTCTTTTTTAGTGTAAATTTGATTGGGTTTGTTAACCAAATTCAGCCGGAAAGCAAAAGGCCGGCGGCCGCAGCCAATACACGTTGAAGGAGAAGTTTGATTTGACTTGTTATTATTCCATTAGTCTGCGTAAGTAAACATGGGAGAAAACTAAACTTAGCTCTCCAGCCTTAGGTTAGGATAACCTCACATGAACGTCATTCATTCGAAGGATTCATTATTCTTGATTTCTTGGTCTATCATAAAATTTGCAAGTGGTAAACAATATTGAATTCATTGATTTCGTGGATTGAATTCGTTGATAATCTCTTTCCTTTTCTTGTTCTCTCTCAAAATGGTGAAAGTTAAGAATATATGAGTTCAAAAGGCGCAGTGAGAGGAGAGAAAAAGAAGAAGAAAAGCACCAAGTGACTTTAACTTTTGAAACTTTTCATAACTTTTTAAAAGTTTACGTACTAAAAATAGCATTCAGAAATAATTTAGACATCCAAAATATAATTTTTGATTTATTTTTAAAATAAAATATAATGCATGAAATTGTAAAATATAAAATATATACGTGCAAAACTATGATTATACAATCACCTATGTAATAAATAATAAGCAATTATTGAAAATATTTAATTTAGGGGCCGGACAGTGCAACAAGCTCTAAGAAATATTTTTCGGTCACATTACCATATAAATCGAAGCGAAACGAAAAGTCACTCCACTAGAGAGCCCATTATAACCCACGCAGCATTGGATTGTAATGAACATGCATTCTAGGTTAATAATTTAATTATGTATTAATCACATCTTATTATCAAACACCAAGAACATAGGCAAATAATTGGTTTGGTGAATGAGCTTTTGTTTTTTTCTTGGAGTCGTGTAATGAGAAGATAATGCATCAATGAACATATATACATATATGCTCTTGATTGTTCATCATCTGAAACAGTCCATAAGAATCATGATCAGATGCAGCCAAGCGTGCTCCAACGTAAATTGATATTCTCTCTTCCTCGCCCGCAATTTCATCAACCACTAATTAATTAATTAGGGTTGCCATGATCACTACAAATCCAAAACCACACTCTTAAGTGTGCAATTAATCATGCGTCCCCATTTGCCATTTTTTTTTCCTTGTCTTTCATTGCACCGGATCCCACACCTTAGGATGCACTCTTTTTTTGTCGTGATAACTGAGGTGAAGTTGGAAACTAGAGTGAGAACACTTTATTTGAAAAAAATAAAGCAAAAATGGGAAACACTTTATGAATGAAAAATAGCCATATAATAGAATGGATATATAATTGAGTCTAACTAGTTGAAAGATCAAATCTAACTAGTTGAAGAAAAGTCAAAACATGAGAAATATGAATAGATATAATTGTAAGAAATTAAAATAGAATGGGCTAAGAACGGGACGATGCAGGGCAGGGCGAGTTGGAATTGGATACTCATGTCTCGTCCCATATTTTTACGGATAGGTTAACGCCCTTACCATTGTGGATCAAATCAGGTAATACACAACGGGATGAGTTCAAATTGTCATCCCTACATATGATTTGTCATCATGCTATTTAGCTATGCATATAAAATTTAGTAAGTTTAGTATGCATGTTTATGCAGTCTACTAAACTTCTTATATAAAGATTTGTGCATATATGCGATTAGGGTTTTGAAATGAGTTAAGACAATGATCATGTCTCGATCATTTTATCTAAATTTACATTGTTACCTTCAATAGAAAAAAATTTCAAAATTCGAATACTCTTTATCTGTACTCGAATGTACAATCTAGACAATTAAAATATGACATTGTTTAGTAATTACTAATTAGTATAACACAAGATTAATGGATTTGATTAAGAATGCACATCTATCAGGATCTCTAACCGTCCCTTTCCTCTCATTTTCTCTAATCAAATTAAGACAATGATAACTCATGGCCAACTCGAAATTCAGGACAACACAATGATTGTTGAGACCTGAGACCACCATGTAATATGATAATAAGAACTACAAGCAATATTTCCTTCTCTGATTTAAATTCCAATCATTTGTGCAAAAAAGAAAATTAATGTGAATTTATGCATCCTCGTCTACACTCGACCACCAAATTTAAATATCCAAATATTTGATATGGTTATAATATAACACATTACATACATGTAATCAAAGTACATGCCGACTGGTCCCTCCGGGGACATCCGATAAAATTGAAAGTACATGTCGACGGTCTAACTTATCTTGTCGTTTTCAACTTTTCACATCCTCGACTGCTCTCGAATCATGATATGATGCATTATTGCATTACATATATGTAATTAAATTACATACCGACTACCTACCTATCTTATTGTTCTCGACTTCTCATATCCTCATCAGATCTCGAGTTTATTTATAAGATATTGTAGTTTAAAAGACGCTCTCCAATTTTAAATATGTTCTTCTCCAGAAAAGTTATGTAACCCATACACAATATTCTTATCCTGAGTTCACTGAACTCGAATATGAACTCTGAATACTGAAGCATCTTTCTTTCACGGCTACCGGAAAACAGGAAGGAAACAAGAAACCCCCTCTGTTTGTTTCTTTATTCTATTTCAGATCCTTCTTTTTATCTCTTCCTCTTTGGAAATATACAAAACCATATAGATATATAGTAAGCCAGTCAGCTACCTCTTCCTTTCTCCTTCTTCATAGGCCGGCCGGCGCCGATATCTACCTCCAAAGCCTTACGCTATCAATATATAAATTAAATTGTAATATCCTCCGGCAACATTAGACCTGCATTCTCTCTCTAGCGCAGTGGCGGAGCCAGTGCATACTAAGGTGGGTTCGGGAGAAAATATGTACGCTTAAATAATAAGGATTAAAAATCGTACCAAAAGTTATATCGGACAAGTCAATGGTATGATATTCTATGTTGAAAACGGGGTTTAATCGTGGTTCAATCATTTCAGGTTTATTCATTATATATCGTCAAAACTTTCTTTTGTCTCGCTAGATTCTTTTTATCCTAATAATAAATTCAATATATCAGGTTTTAAACGTCAACTAGATTATTATATTTATACTTTGACGTGAATATAGGCTAGCTATTGTCTAAAACTATATAGAATTAGGAGTTATTTTTCGAATCATGGTAGTTGAAAGAAGTAACTTATTGTTGTTGCTAACTAAGGCTCCACTGCAAGTATTGAAATGACATTTTCAATAAGCTACATGAAAACACTCTTTGGTATCTAATGAGTGACAAAATCATGAATTATTATTTTATTAGGTATATTTACATCCATATCATATGAATACAAGTTCGTCCATATATGAACACACATTATGTGGTATTGCAATGACTCAAAATTTTCTTGCAATATAAAAAAAATTCGGACCCACCTTACATAAAACCCTGACTACGCCACTGCTCTAACGTAGTCAAATTTGGCAACTTTCACAAGAAACAGACTCCTCTGTCCTCACTACCAACCAACCAATACCAAAAAGGCAAAAACCCTCGACAGAGATCTCATCGGATCAAATAAAGCCGTCCCCTTTCGAAGAAATCGTCCATTCCAGACCAGACCAGGAGGCACAAAGTTGCCACTCGTAGGAAAACACTACACAAAAGCAAACAAGCTCGAGACAAGAATCTAACATGTCATGGCCTTACTAGGCGGGAGGCAACACCAGATAAACCAGAAACTCAAGCATCAACAACAGGATCGAGGGCAAAAAACTCAAAGCATGAATCTTTTCTCTCAAAACACAGTTTTCCCTGTCAGTGATTCAAGAGTGCTATTACATATGTAAACCGCGACTGCAACACCGTAACAATTCGAGATCTATGTACAACAGATACTCTATAATAGGCACTAACATGAACTTCACACTAGCAAAGCTTCATAAAGTTTCGCTCTTGGGAAGCTACGAGTGATCGCTGTGATTGATCTATCCACGAGTTTACAATGTCAATGTGTTATCTCTAGCAATTATGACTACAATGCCATAAAGATTAGATACACGATCCATCATAAATCAAATGAACCAGTACAATGCACGAAAGGAGTTCAGATTTACCAAGTAACGAAAGATAAACCAAAACTTTCTTTCTAAATCTGTAACAAGATTACAAGTTGGAACGATCAGCCGGATATTTATCTGAAATCCCTTTCTTTCTTTCTTTCTTTTGTACTACAACATTTGATCCTGAGAGTTCCTGTGGTTTATGGACAATGTACATGGAATTAACATATCCTAATCCCCCACATTTCTACAGAGCAAAACACATTGGCGAAATGAAACCAAATACCTCAAGAAGATTTCACCACACCATCACTGGCTGCCACTCAGAGTCTGAACCAAGCTTGAAGCATTCCTTCTAATCTTCTCATTCTCATCTTCCCTCAACCCAACACAAATCTCCATTACTCCTTGCCCTCGAGCTTCGTCGCAGACCTCCTCGCTGTGCAAACACAGAGCATTGAGCGTAAACAGAGCACACTGAATCCCCTTCTCTCCCCCAAAGCTAATCACTTTCACCAAAACCCCGACGAACCCAAAAACCCGACCCATTTCAACTCTGCCTTCCCTACACTTCACCAGCGAGCTCAACACCTCCACAGCTCTCTCCAGCCCCGCCCCACCACCGCCGACCAGCCTCGCCAGAATCGGCACCGCCCCGCATTCCGCCGCCCGCCTCCGGTTATCCGGAAACGAGCAAACGGCATAGAGAGCCGTCGCCGCTTCCTTCACTTCCCTTCCTTTCCCGCAATCGAGCAGGTTCACGAGCGATCGAATCGCGTCTGGGTAAGCTCCAATCGTCGCCTTGTTGACTTCGACCACCGCGAGGCTGGTCAACACGGTGCACCCGATGGCCCGGGAAATGGGCGACGACCCGGCCCGGAGAACGCTAACGACCCGGCCAATTGCGCCCTCCGCGACCAGCCCGACTTTATTGTCGTCGTCGAGGGAGAGATTGAGGAGGAGGGAGAGGGCTTTCTCTTGGAAAGACGGGCAATTGAGGCAATTGAGGACGGCGGAGAGGGCGCCTGATTCGGCTAGCTGGCGGCGGAGGGAAGGGTCGAATTTGGTGAGCTTGGCGAGGTGGGAGAGGGAATCGAGCTTGGAATTGGGAGTGGCGGGTCGGGGGGAAGTGAGGGTGGAGATTAGGGTTTCCGGCGGCGGGTGACGGAGGTGGAGTTTGGGGGAGGAGGAGATGTGGGCGTAGTTGGAAATCAAGCTGCGGAGGGCGTGGTTGGGGATTAAGGAAGGGTGGTCGGGCAAGGGGAGATTGGTGATTGGGCAAGTGCGGTGGCCGGAGTCGAGCCACCGCTGGATGGAAGAGCGGTCGAAGGTGTGGCCGGAGGGGAGGATTACTGGGTCGGACATTACTTGGAGGGAAATCGGGCACTTGAAGTCGTCGGGGAACTGGGGCTCCATGGCTGCGCGAGTTGACTCGGAAGGAATGGAGGAAGTTTGTTTGTTTTTTTCTCGGTAGAGAGAGAAAGGAAGGTTTTGCGGAGGTTTTTTTGGGGAACGGCTAGGAAGTGGGAGAGGGAAGGGGAAAGCTAGTGTTCTTCATTTTCTGCTCTCGCCGGTCACTCGGTCTCTGAACGAGTTGGTAAATTACAGAGAGAGAGAGAGTTCTATTTTTCTTTTCTACGGTGAACGAGTTGGTAAATTACCAAAACGGTCCTGTTCTCGATCAAGCGTTTTTTACTTTTATGAGTAGGGTTCGCAGGGGCGTTTAAACTTTAAATTGTTACCGTTACTAATTACTATTATCAAACATTAGGACTTTGCTATGGTAGTGAGTTGCAAACTTGCAAGTGGCCGAACACTTAACATACATCATAATAATTTATTGAAGCCGCAGTAGATAAAATAAATTGTTATGCAATCTTAGAAGGGATACTGGACCTTGTACTGGTTAGTTGATTCAGTCAGCCCCAACAACTCGACTTTGGATTAAAATAATTGGCACACAATGATTTCTGACAGGGATAACTAGCACATCAGAAAATATCATGATTGTAGAAGATTGCATTAATTTAATTAGTAAATATAATTAAATTCAACTCAGGCAATTCAATCTACATTTGCTCTAGTTGATTACCACTAACAAAGGAACTGAAAAATCTTTTATTTCAATAATGCTTCGCCACGGACCATTTAGCTTCCATAGGGCACTCATACTCGATAGGGCTGAATGTGCTAGACAGCCCGAGCACGTCTCTTTTATACTGACTGTATTTTGATCGAGTGGGAGGTCAAACTCCCCGTTTTGTTGGTACACAATAAAGGTTAGGGCGCTCTTATCACCCTGTTCTTAAAAAAAAAAATGTTATTCCTGAATATTTACAAAAAAGAATGATGAAATTAAAATTAAACCAATGTATACAATTGTGGCACAACAGAAAACCAAGTGAACCCACAAGAATTCCCCTTCTTCTGAGGAAGCAAAGGGCACTTGGGCAACCATCCCCACTCTCCGGCCAAGACGTCATACCACAATATCTCCGGCCAAGTATAGCAACACACGAAAATCATCCCTTCGTGCCACAGGCAATTCACACGCTCGTAATTATGATAACAAACCGCCGCAAATTTCCGGCACATTTCTCTCGGCAAATCCCCCAATTCCACCCAATTCCTCCCGTCATTCAGCTCCCATATCTTCAACCCAGTCAATATCGACTGCGCCGCCGCAACCCCGGCGATCAAATACATCTTCAGCTCGCCATCGCCCACCAATCGCATAAACGACAATCGACCGGTACCGCCGTCGGGGAGTAGTACTACTTCTTCGATGCTCTGTGCTCCGTCGTCCCATTTCCTCTGCTCCAAATCGTACCGGACAATCGAGTACGGGTCGACGGTGGAAAAGTAGAGGGAGCTTCCATGAATAACTCCTTCTTCTCGCCGGTTATTGGATCTAAGATTCGAGGCGATCGCTTCACCTTGGTGCCAACAATGGAGGGCAGAGTCGTACACGAAGCTGGATCTGGAGGAGATTCCGCTTCCGCGGCAGATGGCGAAGATTTTGTATCCGGAAGAGCGGGTGGGGATTAGAGTTAGGGATTCGGTTGGGAAGGGGTAGTTTGGGAATTTGACAACCCGATTGGATCTGGTCAGCAAATTGCAGACGAGGAATGAAGAAGGGGATGAAGGGCGGGAGAAGCAGAGGATGCCTTTGGAGGAGGCGAGGAGAGTGGAGGAGGCGCCACCGGCGGTTATGGTGGATCGGGGGAGGAAGGTCGAGATGGGTAAATGGAAGTTGCGCCACCGGCGGCCGTGGAGGGAGTCGTAGACGGCGAAGCGATTGGGGCCGAAGTGAGGGTGGGCGAGGAGGAGGAAAGAGGGGAAATGTTGGGAGGGATTGTTGTTGTTAGGCGAGGAGTTGTACTTGGAGATGAAAGAAGGAGAGAGGAAGAGGGAATCGAAACGTTTGCAGGTGGATCGGAGATTTAAGAGCGTTTCGAGAGAGATGAAGGTGAGGATGTGGTCGAGGAGCTCCTCCGGCAACGTGTTCCAGATTGTGGGATCCATCTCCGGTGAGGAGGACCGTGTTGATTTCAGGCAGCCTGCTGAGGGGTCAAATTCGTTCGGCGAAGGAGAAATGGAGCAAACTGAAGTTGAATTTCGAGTCCTTGCCTGAAAATTTGAGTCCAACACCACCAAAAAAAAAGTTTCAATTAAAAAAATCATTATGTCATTTACACATAACATAATATTATATCCATCATAAGTAAAATCATAACAGCATTGACTATATTGAGTTTCAAAGCTAGAGTAGCTATATGGATGACAAAAATATTCGTAATCGTGGATGTTCGTTTGAATCTGACCTAATTGGGTAGGGTAAAACCCGAACCGGAAAGAGTTTTAGTGGGTACGGATAAAACCTAAACCCGAATATTGCGGATAATGGGTGGGCATGTGTTTCCTACTATCCAATCCGAACTCACCCGATTATACACATGCATATACATTCTGTCTAGAAATAATCATTAGTAATTTCTCTAAAATATTTTGTATTTAGCATATAAATATAATATTTTCATGAAATAGTGTTGTTTTAATTAATTATCTTCATTCAGTGAACTATTGTCGTGCTTTTACTCTTACGTAATGTGAGAATACGTGTGAATGTTAACATATTGGTTAGAATTATAAAGAGAAATTATTACCTATAGATAATAGTGAATACCCGAAACCCGAACGGGTATGGACATGATTTTGATTTTCTACCTATTTTTTTTAGTGAATATGAGTAAAACCCGAGCTACTTAATTTGGATAGAGTAAAAATCACAATGAGATATTCTTTCCAGATTGATTCCTGATGCAAAGTAAAAGAAGAAGAAGAAAAAGCTAGCTAGCGTTCACCTGTTGCGCCGGTGCCGGCTTGCCGGCCGCGTAACAGAATCGGAGGTTCCATCTCCGACCCGGCCGTCTCCTCCTGGAGCTCCGATTAAAGAAAGCACACCTCCCAAACTTCCTCCTCCTCGTCCGAGCCTTGGGCGACGACTCGTGACTCGATGCCGCCGCCGCCGCCGCCGCCGATGAGTAGTGTTGATCATCATTATCTAATATCTCTACCGCCGCCGTGGTGGGCAGAAGTCCCACCGTAGAATCCGAATAGGCATATATTTTCCCCTTTGTAATATTGCTAACCTTCTTCCTCCTTTTCCACCAAAAACATGTCCCCATGGTTACTTTCATCACTGCAGAGTTAATAATATATATGATCCCCCTTTTCTCTTCTCTCTCCCACACAAAACAACGTAACTATATATATATACATATATATATACACACAGAGCGACAGATTGGTACAAGTAATTTCTGGCCGCCGAATGCAGAGTCGGGGCGGTGGGTATGAACAAATTAGAAAGGTCAAGAGTAGAAGGGACCGGGGGCTTGTTTTTTTTCGCCCTGGTCTTTGGTCTTGAGGGAGGCTAGCAACGAGATTCTCTATTTTATCTCTTAACACTGAATCTTTACCTGTCGGGACGAATCTGGTGGTGCGTGAACGCCGGATGTGGAAAAAGATAAAAAGAGTGGCCGGCTGGCGGCCGGCCGGCGCGTAGTTTGTATCGACCGGACAAAGCAAAGGCGGTAATGGTATCTTGGTGCGTTGCGGAGGGTGGGTCCTCTCTTTCCTTTTCTGTCTCTTCTTTTCCCATTTCGTTGTTTTCAATTTGAGAGACTTTCGTCGTGGAATCGTGCATAATCCTAATATACTTATCTGTGCTGACTGTGCATATACTCAGACGACATATGAAATTTTTTATAGGGGTCAAATCTAGAAGATGAGATTAAAAGATTTTTTATTTATTTTTTATCTATTTTCTTATCGGGTTTGTATCTTCTTTGTTTGAACTCGAATTGTTTTAAAAAGGGTTAATATTTTCGTATGGCCTGGATTTTGATCAAAATAAACATCATGGCCAATCTTTTCGATCTATAACATCCTGGCCCGAACTATACACCAAAATAAACAATTTGGCCAAACCCGATGTTTGACCGTTAACTTGGACGGTCAAACGCGTTGACTAATGGTCAACGCGCCACGTAACTGCCAAGTCAGAATAAAATATTTAAAATATTCACAATTTTCACATATTCCCTAATTTTAAATTATTATAAAATTAAAACATTTTTCACATTATTTTTTATTTTTTTAATGATCGTGTCACACATTTAACAGTCAACTATCAGAGTTGATTGCCACATCAGAAAGTTTTAACAGAGACTAACGGAGAGTGACTAAACTTGAATGGCTGAACTAATCTTAATGACCACCTATGAAATTAATTAATTTTAGTGACAAACATGAACTTTTAAGTAATTTCAGTGACCAAACATGCAATTTACTCTTTAATATGCAGTTACAACTAAAATAGTGGGTAAGAAATAATCCCGTAGCACTTTATACGATTTTTTAAATAGTTATTAAAATTATACGGTGTTTTAAACAATGGAAATAAGAAAAAGCCGCCATAGAGGAAGTTACGGGATTCAAAAAAAAAATGCGGGGAAGTTTTTTTTATTGAGGCAGTTTTCGCCGCAGAGTGGAATTTAAAAAAAAAAAGGGTAGTGATTGGTTGAAGGAGCTGTTGACGTGAAGGCATGAGGATACGATAAATTTGAAATGGTGAAGCCTTTTAATTGGAAAATATATTCTTTAGACACTCGGGCGTTGACACGAACATATAAATGATCAAATGTCCTGACCAACGCCTTTATACGTTCGCGTGCCCAGCCGCACGAACCATCTCCCGTGAACCATTTTTCGGGCGACTTGGGTTCGAACCAAGGAAGACAATTGCAGTAGAAAAGTGTCCAGCCCTCATAAGAGACGCCATTTCTGTTGGGCCCAGATAGTTGGTAGTTGTCGCAATGCTCCTTTGGGGTGGGCCAGAACTCGGCCCACCTATTGTGACAATCGTTTCAGGATCCTCGATTCATTGACCACCATCCTCATCTCGATCACCAAGTTGATACCACTTTGTAAGTTACAAACACGTCATCGTTCACGAAACCGACATTGAAACTGAAGTTTTTGATTATCTTGGGCACCCCGTCCTGTCTAAGGTCAGTCATGCCACAAGGGGACCGAGTACTTGATAGAAACCTTGAAATTGGGGATAGATTGAGAAGAATTGAGGAGAGTATTTTGGGTTAGGGATTGGAGATTGAGAAAGAATTGAGAGAAGAATAGAGATTGGGGAATTAGGAATTTAATAACATTCTTGCTTAATTCTTAAAAATACCCATCCATCTGTTTAAATAGTACTTTCAAGAAATAATGACAAAATACTACCCCTTTCCTCTGGAGCCCAAATCAAGCCCCTAACTCGAGACTGTAACCCGTGGGTTTCTATTATTCTCCACATCTTCAAGATCGACCATGTCCTCAAGATCGAATGCCACATAATTTTGATAAATTGTCTCCGTGTCCTCCCACGGAAAATCGTCAAGCTCCATGTGCTGCCACCGAATCAAGCTTTGCTCAACCAGCCTCCTTCCTTTGCGCCTCCAATGTGTCTCTAGGACTTCCGCCAGCTCCAACATCATACTGCCATCCTCATCAACTGGTGGGCAAGATGGCTCCCATGTTGTCTCTACGTCTCGGTACATGCATAACAATTCCACGTGAAACGTTGAGTAAATGCGGTCAGTCTCTGGTAGCTGCAGCCAATACACCACTAGCCCCACCCTCTCCAACATCTGATAGGGTCCAAAATAACGAGTTGCGAGCTTCTTATAAGCCCTCTTCAACACCGACAACTGGCGATAAGGATGCAGTCGCAAAATCACCCAATCACCAATGGAAACTCTTCCTCTCTACTCCATGCATCCACCAATTTCTACATCATGTTATTTGCAGCAACCAATGTCGTCTTCAACTGTTCCAAGGAGGTATCTCGATCTGCCAACCACAGGTCCACAACGTCAATCGTGCTGGCACAAGCCTGGTATCGCACTAGTGTAGGCGGAGGCTGCCCATACACTCCTTAGATGGCGTAGTCTGGATCCGCCTATGGAGGTGGTGTTATACCATAGCTCCACCCAAGCCAACATTTTCAACCAACTGCGAAGTTGTTGGTGTGCAAAGCACCTCAGATACTTTTCAAAGTGGAGATTCACCACTTCTGTCTGCCCATCTGTTTGGGGATGATAGGTCAAACTTATCTGTAGTTCCGTCTTAGCTAAACAGTATACCTCCTGCAAAAATTCCCCATGAATAGTCATTGAGGTCACTCACGATCGACCGAGGAAATCTGTGATGCTGAATCACCCCCCAAACAAACTTCTCTGCTATTGTCTTCACATTGTAAGGATGTGCACCAATGCTAGGATGCTACGATCGATCGAGGATTCATGGTGCTCCCGCATCATATTCGTCGCTAGGGAAGACCTCGCAGGTAACACAATCCACCCCCGATAAAACACTATCCCATGTTGCAAGGTAAATTCCATCTGTATTTCACTAATGGCTTTTTCCTTGCACTCCTATAGGTAGGGACTGGTCTCTACCGCCTGCCTCACCTCATCCCAAAATCGCACTGATGGGACTGATCTGCGGCTAGACCTCCCTTGTGCCTAGGGGTGGGCAACGGGACGGGACGGGATACCCGTCCCGTTTGAAACGGGTACCCAGTCTCGTTTGGAGACCAAAGTTCATCCCATATCCCAAACCCGTATGGAAAACGTGTACCCATTACCCGTACGGGACAGACAACGGGTACCCATACTACCCATAAATACCTAAAGTTTAAATCACTAAAATTTTGGTAAAAGTTTAAAATTAAATGGAGGCGCAGCAGAGTGAGAAGAAGGAGGCAGATTGGGTGGGACTGGGGCAGCGACGAGGTCTCCCCTTCGTCTCGGGCTCCCGACGGTGGTTACAAGCTGTGCGCCTGGCGCCGCGGTGACTGCTACTCTGTTCTGTCGGCTGTCAACTGCACCGCGATGAGAGGGAGAGGCAGAGAGCTCAAAGGTGAGAGGACTGGGGAGGCCGAGGGCGAGCGGCTGTCAACCCTAGTCAACTTGTCAAGGCCGAAGACGTCTGTTCTATTGACAAGGGAAAGGGCCGTCCCGAAATGGTCAAGACCTGCCGAAATGGCGAAATGGGTTCTAATTTGAGCTGGGCAAAAATGAATATTAATTCTGCCTTTGTATTGAATGGGTTTAACGGGTACCCATATTACCCAAACGGGTATTTGCGGGTAACCCGCGGGTACCCATAATAGGAATGTACAATCCAAAGTCCCATCCGTTGATAATATTACGGGTAATATGGGTACCCATAACCCGCATAAAACAGAACAGGTACGGGTATACCCGTTTCCCGTTGCCCACCCCTACTTGTGCCCCTCATGGATAAGTCATTAGTAGCGTTGTTTGTGGGTCCCGGTTTATAGTGCAACTCGTAGTCATAGCCCAAAAGCTTCACCACCTATTTATGTTGATCCGGCGTCGACACCCTCTGGTCCAGGAGATGCCTGAGGCTCTGCCGATCAATGTAGATTTGGCACTTTTGACCTACCAGGAATGACCTGCATGTCTGCACGACATTAGTGATGGCAAGCATCTCCTTCTGATACGTCTACTAAGCCTCATTGGAAAGAGCTAACATTTTTCTCATGAAGGCTATGAGATGCCCTCGTTGAGACAACACCGCCCTGATTCCCCTCTCTGACGCGTTGGTCTCGATGTCAAAAGGTTGTGAGAAATCAAGTAGCTTTAAAGTCGGCATGTTGGTCATCACAGCCTATAGCGAGTCGAACCCTTATTTTCTCAATAGGTTTGTCAATAGTCGTGCAATCGTGTTGTTATTGTTAATAAATTTCTTGTAGTAACTTATCAACCTCAGGAATCCTCGCAGTTCAGTCACAAATCTATTGTTTACATAATAGGTATATTGTTGACATAAACTGATAAAAGACTCAGAACCTCTAAAACTGGAGTAGGGATCAAACCTACTATAACGGATATTGTTTGCTCAGACTCGTGATGAGATAGATAAAATCTCACCCGTGCTAAAACATGGCGAATCATGACCCGATGCGTAGATAAAAAGGGCGAATATGGAACTGCTGATGATCCACCCTGCCTCAACCTGCTCCGCCGCTCTGTAAATCTTGCAAAAAATATATAATTATTTCACCAAACCACCCACCTACCCCTGATTGCAGTTGCGATAACACTTGATGTCCCTTCGAGGACTTAATTACTACATCATAAATCATAATTTGTTAGGCCGTTTTAACATTTTCTTCACAGAAGATAAAATTCTTTAGCCATTGACATGAATTTATAATATAATTTGAGGTTTCTATTTTATGAGATTTTTGAAGGAGTAGAGCAGAGTTTTATCTGCGCCGTGAGGGGCAAAAGCACGAAATGAAAATATATAACCTGTCACGAGCGAGGAGCAGAGCGGGTTAGAATTGCAGGGTGGGACAGAGGCAAGTTTACTACAACACGCCCAAAACTGAACTCGTTGCCATCCTAACCAGAACGAGATTCATATTGCTAGACAAAATACCAAGACGGAAATCTAAATTCACATGATTTAAGCAAGAACAAGTATTGATCAAGAAAGAAAGCATAGTGAAAAATTATATTGTAAAAGTGGACAAGTTGTTGAACGACATGAAATGTATAGCAAGATATGAGAGATCCATTGAGTTTCAAGCATCGATCATCGAGCTTCCAAATCACTCATCGACATGTTATTCATGGAAGGGATTTCTGGTCGAACTGCAGTAACTGACGAGTTTGAATCGATAGAGTTCATTTTGAGAATGAATGCTGGCTTCTTGGCAGATGAAAGAGCACTAGTTGCATTTCCTAGCATGAAGACAACATTTAACATGGTCGGCCTGTCTGCTGGAGATTCTTGAACACATAAAAGACCTATATGAATACATCTCATCACTTGATCAAAGTGTGATTCCAAGGCCATTGATGATGAATCCATCATCTCCAATGCTCTTCCTTCTTTCCACAGGTCCCACACCTGTAATATGTAGGAAACTAGTTAGTTTCCTTTTACTAGAGCCGACAATATTTTGGGACACAGAATTCATTAAGAATAAATCAATATTTGACCTGAAATAAGATCATATCATAAAATAACTTAGATCTTATTTTGGTTATGAAGTGTAAGATATATTTTCTTCTGACCCCTATAAAGCAAAGAAATAATGGGGGAAAGCCCCAGAGAGCATTGAATTAGATCCAATGTTGTTTTGATCCAATTTAATCCCTTTCTTTATTTTTAGCTTTGTCCTACACTAGTGCTAGGATGTGTGTATGAAATTGTACCCTAACTACTAATAAGAGCAAGGAAAAATTAAGCTTTTTTGGGTGAGAGTTTAAAGACTTACATGACCAATTAACCCAAGTGACGAAGTCTCTTGATTGTAATGGCTGCTTCTTCTACCACTCACTATCTCAAGGGTCTATCACTCCAAAACTATAGACATCTGATTTCATGGAATAGAGACCTTCCATGGCATACTCCGGTGACATGTATCCGCTGCAAAATTTTATCAAATATATATTTTTCTCATATTTGCTGTTTCTAACTTGTTATTTTCTCATAGAAAATTTGACATTTATTAATGAAAGAAGCAAGTACCTTGTAAACAGAGCCAAACCCGCCTTGTCCAAGTTTGTTGTCTGAGGAGAAATTCGCGGTGGCAGTTATTATGTCACTGACACAAAACATTGTCACTTGGATAACATGATTAGTCCCTCCATTCCTTTTGGTTCTCAGAAGACAATAGAGAATGGAGATCATCATGATGAAGGTCACACCCACAGAAATCAAAACAATTATTAACAACTTCCTTTTCCTTGTGCCTATATGTCCTCTCAAACTGTCCATGTATTCAGCTAAAATCACATCCACGAATTATCAGAAAATATGGACAAACTATGTAAAATATTTTACCAAAAACACTGCAATTTAGCATATATAGGAGTGGTACTCACCTAGCTCGATTGCATCCACTCGCACGCACAAGTCTTGACCACCATTGGCAAACATTCTCGTATCTAACAAATCTCCATGCCACATCACACATCCAATCCCACTACTCAAATTAGAACTCGTGTAAGCCGTACATGAACAATTCCCCAGACACTCTTGTCTGCACATATTCAAATCCATACCAACTTGCAGTTGTCCCCTGATTGTAGTATCAGGAACTTTAGCATTTTTCAGCGTTACAAACTCTTTGCCATTCCCGCAGCTCGAAGCAGTCTCTGACCGCTTCTTCCTGGCACACCCACCGGAACCGTCATTCATCGACCAGTCGGTCGTGATCTTGGGCTCGAACCCCGGAATGCAACTGCACTCGAACTCCCCTGCACCTCTGTAAGGGTCACAGTTCCCGTTCGGCCCACATCGTCCATAATAGTCACACGGTTCCTTGGGCACATACCAGAACTCGTTCCAGCGACCGCGCCGATCGTTCCACGTGGCTCTCCTCAAGTATCCTGACGAGTCCACGTAGATCCTCGATACGATGGTGAGATCAGATGACTCCATAGATGATGGTCGACTCGCTTCGTTGCTGACGTAGGTTGAGTTGAAAATGAAACGATACGACATGTTTGGGATCCCGCTCCACCGTATGCCATTCCACATGCCACCCCGCCACCATTTAGTCCTACCTCTATACAACATCAACTCAGGGGACCCGTTCGGGTCCAGATAATACGAGGAGTCCCCTGCTGCAGGATCAGCAGGGGACTTCCATGGAACAACTACGTTGTTCATTCCGGTATTCCGGTCTAATCCAAACCTCATAAATGGAAGCACGGTGTCTGTGGGATGATCAAAACTCTCCCACCACACCTCCTTACCAAAACAGAGTAAACAAAAAGTATAGAGGAGGATAATCAAATTCAAAAGTATACAGAGCATAATCAAAAGATTTTGTAATCATGGTGGGATCAGATAAAATCATGTTTGAAAGTAGGTACCAGGTCGTTTTCATCTGAATTCTTTGTGGGTTCTTGGTGAAGCAGAACGACCAGATTTCCCAAGTCTGATAGACGAGCCATTGACTTGTTACCTAATACTAGTGACGAGGAAGCAGAGATGTTCGTAGACCACAGAGGAGTTGTATTAGCAGTCATAGCCGTAGTGTTCTTTCCTGGGCAACATCGGAGGACGAGGTTGTGCCCATGACTGTCGAATGAGAGAACTCCGGAGGTGTCGTTGATCGGATTGTCTCTGTTGGCGACCCAAACAATCGTCTGTACGGAGACTTTGGTGTACCAAATTCCAAGGTAGCGATTGCTGCTGGACACGCCAGGGCTGAAGAACCCGAGGCTGAAGTTTTCTCCTCCGGAGACGATCACTTCACCGTCTGCAACAGATTCGTCGAAGTTTATGGTGTCTTTGGCTGGAAAACAGGGGAGGAGGCAGAGGAGGAAGGTGATTAACAGTGGGTTCATTGTCGAGAACTTGTTTTGCTGGTCTTTTGGGCTGTATCTCTGATCTGTTGTTAACTGCATCCTAGTATAGAATTGTGCTGTCAACTGTGACTAAAGAATCGTAAGTTGGGCGATTTTGGGTTACTGTACGAGTTGAATATCCAGTGAATCCGAAAGTAGGTCACGTTTGTGTCAACTTGCTTGGTTCTGGAAGTCAAATTGTCAGAAATGGCCATAAGTCATTTTTTTATTGGAGAAAAAGGTCTAGTCTTTTCACGACAAAGTACACTTGTAAACGTTTGACTTTACTGAAAATTGCAGGCAAAACCCTTGTGATTAAAGTATTATTTAAGTGATTTGTATCGATATCTCCAAATTTTAGGTTAGTGGTATTATCAGTAGATCAAATTCTTATTCGTTACATGAATGCATCTTATCATTTAAAGGTTGTTTGGATAGAGTATTTGAGGGGTTATTTTATTGTGTTATTTGCGTATAAATAACTCACAATGAGTTATTTTGACACATATAACTCGTTTGACAGCATTTTACTAGAAATAAGTTATTTGAACAGTGAGTTATTTACAATTAACCCAAAACGGAGTTATTTCAAAATAACTTATTTACCATTTTATTTTTGTCCAATACCAAATGTCAAATACCACATGTACATGATTTTACCAAACAAGATAGTTTAATCTAATTACCACTAAAATAACAATAGAATACCACATGAACAATTGCTGTGTTATTTGGCTTTACAAATACTGATATTAATCCATTTGTCTAGTATGATTCGGCTATTTTGAGTTTTATTTCTCGTTGGGCTTAGTGATTCTAAAAGGAAGTAGATTGAGAAAACCGCAGACGGCCCAAAGTCGATTAAAAGAAATTGGACCAGTTTCTGTGGGCTACGTCGGTGGGCTTTTATTAAATTGGCACACATTTAATTCTGGGGTCTCCACAAACAGAATTCACAAGCCTTTCAGTCCTCCATCTCGATCAAACTTAATTTCTCCACCGTTCTCAGCTACTTTGCTCCTCTGAAAGTTAGGGATTGCGGCAAACAGGAATGGGATTGCAAAATTAGCCAGAAACGTAGAAGGGTATCGCGCTCGACCGGCTAACAGGGTCCACAAGAAAGGACATCCAAAGCGATAATTTGAAGGACACTACTGGGTTCGTTTCTTCGTTGGAGAGCTGCAACTACAAGAGGAAGTTGCGCCGTCTTCCACTGCATTCGTTGCGCCAGTCGCCACCGTCTTCATCTGAAGCAATCGCATATTTCCATTCTTTATCTGGAGTGAGAAGTCGCTAGCTTTAAGCTCTCGACCGTGCATAGCGTCGGTAACCACCTCAATCTTGTCACCGCCGGTGGCCGCGAATTTCTTATTGGAAATCTGTTGTGAGTTCCGTTTTCGCTGAAGTAGGGAGTAGTTCTATGCAGTTTTGTTGATTGTACGCTACAGCTAGACTATCAGATTCTGCACGGACAGTAGTTTCTTTGTCAATTTGCATCTTCCTAATCTATGGCTTAGGGATGCTTCCAAGGTGGCTAATTGATGGATGATTGATAATGTAACCGGAACCTATTACGCTGAGCAAGTTGTGCATTAAACAAGAACATTATGAAGTTTTAGAATTCGGTGGATTTCTCGTTATGAAAATCAATGTCTGTCCGAAGTGGTGATGGTTGTTTCTGCTGTTAATTGTTGAAGTAGATGCCTCTCTCTTACCTTGTGTGTCCATGCTAACTTCATGGATTTTGTGTGGCATTCTTGTTTCCTTTTTGATTTGCAATCCTTAGAGTTTGATGATGATCTCCTTATTTGTTGTTGAAGGATTTAATCCGCGATCCCTGAACTTAGGCCTGATTTCAACTTTTTTGGACAAATGGCTGGCACTGCGGAGAAAAGTGATCAACTATGTGAGGTTGCTCCTGTTGGCAGTGGGATTGAAAAGAAGCAGGAAAGTCGCGATGAACTGCTAGCCCGGCATAGGTCAGTTGGTTTTCATCCCTAGTCTGGGTCTCCACTCCTTTTTTTTTTTTTTTTTTTCTCTTATGCTTTTTTGTTTCCCCTCTTTATTAATACCATTCTCAATCTCATGGTTCGAACTACAATGCTGTTACTGAGGGAGGCGAAGGTATGAATGATCAAACACTCTGCAGTAGTACCGAATTGGAACTACTAGTTTCAGATATGGGTTCATTTTTCCGATTAGATATGCATTATTAGTAATATGAAACCCCAATTTGTATCCTGCACTTTGAGTTTAATCTATCTTGATTGATAAATTGAAGAAGTTTGCATCAAGAGTTCTTTGTTTTATCTCTTCAGAAAGGAGACCGTAGAGCTGCAGAATAAAGAAACTGAACTCAAGAAGGCAGCTGCAAAAGGGAGCAAGGCGGAACAGAAAGCCAAGAAGAAGGCAGTTGAAGAGGAAATATCCCGACTCTCTGCAAAACTCAAAGAGAAACAGGCGAAGGAGCTTGCTTCATTAGGCTACGTCAGCAACACCAACGACATCAATGGCAAAAGCAAACTCGACAATATAGTGATGGCCATAGCTGGGGTTTCTGTCACCGATCAGTCGGAGAACACTACTTCAAAGCGGAGCAAAAGTGGGAAAAGGAAGGATAAAAGAGCTCAGCAAGAAGTCGAAAGAGAGAGGAGAATTCAAGAAGAGCAGAGCAACCTCGTGAGCGATCGTATGATCGAAGACGAGAGTTTGGGGAGGAAACTGGAGCCCCTTGGGCTGACTGTCAACGAAATAAAACCAGACGGTAACTGCCTCTACCGGGCGGTAGAAGATCAGCTAGCTCTCTTGTCTGGTGGGTCGTCTCCATATAACCACCAAGACCTGAGGAAAATGGTGGCGGATTACATGAGGCAGAACTCATCCGACTTCCTGCCATTTTTCCTTTCGGAAAATGCATCAGCAGCAGCAGCAGAAGATTCTTCTGACAGTTCACTAGCGGATCGATTCGAGAGTTACTGTGAAGAAGTCGAGTCTACAGCTGCGTGGGGCGGACAACTGGAGCTGGGAGCCTTGACTCACTGCTTGAAGAGGCCGATCATGATCTATTCAGGATCCTTCCCTGATGTGGAGATGGGGCAGGAATACAAATCTGGTGGTGGAAATGAGTTGTCGAATGGTGAAATCATTATGCTGTCGTATCATAAGCATGCATTTGGGCTCGGGGAGCACTACAATTCCGTGGTTCCAAATTTGATTAGCTAGGTATTGTTTGTACCAGTTGTATTTGCAAATTACAGGTCTCGGTTTTGGCTACATACTTGATAGACTTCAATTTTTTCCAGCATATACCAGAATTAACATTTCAGTATTATTTGATCACGGGTTGTTCTTTTTGGCTGTTACTTTTTTATTTTATTTTATTTTATGAATGCTAGCTAGTAGTATACTTGGGTACGCTCCTTCCGGAAATTAGTTTCACGTACTCATCTCTCAGCCGGCGAAACTCGAAAGCATATTTTCTAACTTCGTTGTTTATGAGTTAGAAACAACTAATCCCAGCTTTGGCTTTTTTGCGTAATGAATTTCACGCCGATCATTCTCTTTCACGAATCTGCGTATGAATGGTTGCGTATGAATGGTTGAAGAAGACGTACGTCTCTGAACTTACATGCGAGCAAAAACAAGGACATCCATCAATAATATATATTTTCGATCCATCTTCCCTTCCTTTCTCGCATCAAATACTACATTTCAAAATAATATGGGAAAGCAAACTGTTCTGCCGTCCGCTGTCTTCGCCGCACTGCTCGTGGCCTTCCTGCGTAAGTCTCCTTATCGATTAATTTCAATAACTCGAATTGGTTTGTTATGAAAAGTTCACGTACGTATTGTATTTAACCACTTTCTTACATATCGGACTAACCGGGGAAAGAAGAAAAAAAATTGATTTGTTGGCATGTGTGCAGTGACGGTACTGGTGCTAGGAACGGAGGCTGGTGGTGAAGGGAAAACAGTACGGTGGCGGCCGGCGAGCCTCCGGCGACTGTTATTATGCAGCCATGACTCAGATTGTGCTGGGTATAAATGTTCGTGTAAGCTTCCTATCTGCTCCCAGCAGATCTGTGGGTGTTATTATTGCAATGGTCATTAATTAGCATTAATGCTTAAATATTGTTGTTAGGTAATTCTACGTTTAAAATCCTGGCCGCTTAAGCAAAAGTTCTCAGTACGCTCCGTCTATTCTCATCTGCTGCTACATGTATTGAGAACGAAAGAAATAAAAAAAATTACTTTGTCGTCAAATGATATTGGGGATTCAGGATATGAATTAACGGGAAGAACAAAAGACATCTGCCAAATGAATCTTCTCTCAAAATGAATCTTTTCCCAAAAACTACTCGAGTGATTTTGGTTTATTACATGCTACTATAGCTGGATTAACTGGCGTTGTATTCGAATCTCCACAATCCAAAAACTAACAGTTGATTAAAAGCACAAAGTAAGGTGAGCATTTCGTGAACTTCAAACCTGTGAGTTGCTCAAGCATGTAAAGAAGTAGTAAGTACTATACATCGACATCTCCCAACAAGTCAAGTTATTTGGGACTAGTTGGTTTATGACATATATGATATCAGAGCTTGTTTGTCTTTGAAGTCATGTGTTTGAATCTCCACGATGCCCAATATTAATTGTAGATTAAAAGCACAAGGTATTTGGTGAACCTCTGCAAACTTTAACCTCGTGAGTTTGGGGGTTTTGTTATAAACAAAACACAGAACAATAGGATCATTGAATGTGGCCGAGTTATGGACTATAGGTCGCAACCCATAAGAAGTTTGAGGCACTACACCTTTTGAAGAGAGGATCCTATCTAAATACACATTTATGCAAGTATTCTCTCACACCAATATGATATTTTATTTGAGACTTCTTTTTCAAAAGCTATTTACACTAAATCACTAACAATATCCCACTTGAATAGTTTCGAAACTTTTTCTGAGTATCAACAATCAACATAAAATCAGACATAAACTAATGTATCTTCAATTTGAACTTTGACGCAGTGATTACACTTAATATTCAAAATCTATCGAGCTTCAAGTACAGTGACCGTAACCTCGTTGATGGAGTTGACACCTTCTGTACTTGTCGATGCCTCGCGCAGTCACTCTTATAACTTCCGTTGAGCATGAACGCCGGTTTCTTTGGATTCGGCGGATCTGGAGTCGTCTGAATATTGCACAACATAAACGTGACGTCGGACATGTTTGGTCGGTCGGTCGCCAATTCCTGAAGACAAATGAAATGAAAGATATATTTGTACATGTGAATGGTCTAAGATAGAGTGGTTATGCACACTTGCATAATTAGATATGCACACTTAATTTAAAGTGTGATCAGATTTAAGAGGTAAAGTTAATGTGCATTTCTTCTATTTTTTAAATAGATTTTTATCTTCTTTGTTTTAACGTTAAGTTAAAAAAAAATTAACAGATAAAATGAGTTCATTGTGATTTTAGTATTATATCAATATATTATGAGAAATCTTTTTTCGTACCAGCCATACCACTCCTTACCATTCTAGTACCACTATATGCACCGCCTTGTTATTCACTCAAATTTTGAAATTTTTTGACAAGAAAGAACGAGTTCACCGTAATCTATTCGATGTACAAGTTTTTTATGAAAATAATTCCAGGATCAAATATATCACCCTGGTATATCGTGGTAACTGGTAATAGAGACGGTGATGAAAGGTGGTAAAAGATAGTTAGTATATTCCTACCGTACAACCATTATATACTACGGTATACATACCTATACCACTACGGTATACGTAATCATACTACATGGTATAATCTAATGTACTACCAAACATGACCACCATGGTATAGATCAATAAAACTCTCAATTTTATAGTCAAATAAATATCAAAGTGAATATCATTTTGAAGAGTACAATTAATCTGATTTATTTGTTAAAAAAATTAAGAGATATAATTTGTTAGAATTAATTGGAGGACAAATGCTAATTGCATTCTACGGTAATATATATAGATAATGAATCATCTTAAAAACAAAACAAACCAGAAAGAGTCATATTTATTTTCAGCAATTCCATATTTAACGCCTCTGATTTTTTTATTATAACGTAGGAACCTCAACTCCAAGTGCCACTTTGTGACAGCGGGGTCTACCAAATTTGGAGAGCACTTGTACAAGACACAATATCGTGGGATTTTGACCCCCACACTCAGAGATGCCTCTGGGAACACACAAACAGAGCCACTGGAGATTGAACTTAGGACCTCTCACTTCCTGAGCCAACCAGGCCAGCGGTTTCAACGCCTCTGATTCTAAACCTCTGATTCTCTGAAAGGATAGTTGATGTAGATCTCTGTTATTGTATCATAATTCATAAATAAATGAAAGTATGATTAATTACAAGGTTGTCAACCCGCGGGTCGCCCCCGGGTAGACCCACTTTGACCCTGACCCGATGAGAAAAACGGGCCGCACGCACCCGCCGGGTCAAACGCTACAAGGTATCGGGTTGGAGGTCAAATTATGTCATTCTTTTCTTTGGTTTGCGAAATGCGCCTATTTTTCGAATTTTCTTTTCGCCTAACTCAATCTTTGGAATCCTTAGTCGAACATTTGAATATTGATGTTATATAAGTGTGTGCAGCGGCGGATCTAAGGGGGGCCAACTTGGGCCTGGGCCCAGCCCTCCCTTGGTTCCAGAACTTGTATAGAGCCCCACTCCACATCATTTTATCCGGTGATAATCTGGATGGCCCAGCCCTCGTCTCTTTTCTCTTTATTGAACAAATCGGGTAAAATGTTTTTACTAGTGGGCTTTTCAAACAAAAGGGCCGTTGGATTGTTTACATAATTAAAATGCAATATAATAGTAAGCTTTTAATTAATGATAAAAAGCCTATCCAATCAAACATAATATACGTGAGATAAAAACTTCATTTCAACTTCCATTCAAAACCAACAAATCAATCACCTCTTGCGTTCATGGAAAAGAAACATATGTTTGTTATTTTGATTAATGATATTAGAATTAGAATCAGAAAGTCAATTAGAAATTTGAATGTATATAATTAATTTATTATATTTTATTATGTCGATTGAAGATACATTATGGCATATTCTCAAGCACCAAATAAAAAGGCAAAGACATTATTGTTTTCTAATTATCGGTTGATTCGTCTAGTGTTGATGTTATCCGTTTCGACGGCTACAATAGAGAGAACATTTTCAGTAGCGGAACATGCGAAAACTGATTTGCGCAAAAGAATGTGCGATGAATTTCTCGCTGATTTTTTAACTATTTTCTTTAAGAGTATGTTATTGGTATGGATGAAGATTCTATTATTGATGAATTTGCTAAACTAAAAGACCATCGTTTATAATTGACATTATAACAAAAAATCTTAGTTATTATTATAGTATTTCTTTTACGATATCTAATTTTTTATTCAAATGCGGCCCAGTGCTCTAAAAAATCCTGGATCCGCCGCTGAGTGTGTGTGAATTTTCGCTATATGTTGGATCTAAGTACGACATGTTACTTTGGTGTAATGTTATATGTTATTACTCATATGTTAGATGAGATTTGATATAATTTATCAGGATAAGTACAATATAATGACTCTTTTCATATTTTCGGGCTGAAAACGGGTGACCCGTTAACCTTTGACCCACTAGCTCGACCGGGTCCGGGTCAACCCGCAGGTTGACAACCTTAATTAATTACGCTGGCGGGTGGCGCGGCGGCTGGATAAGACAATATTTAATTCACTATTACTCCGAATTAATTAATTAATTAATCAAAGGCAGGTGGTAAAGCTCGGGAGAAAGGCGCGGGGTGAGCACGACTTCCAGCGGCTTCTCCTTGGCGAGCGTGGTGCTGTCCGCCTCCGTCATGTCCACCGGCAGGTCAAACGGCGTCCCGAAGTCAAACGCCTGGATCAGCCTCGCCGCCGTCAGCTGCACAACTTGCATCCCGAAGTTCATCCCGGGGCACGACCGCCGCCCGGTGCCAAACGGCAGGTACTCGAAGTCCCGGCCGTAGATGTCCACTTTGACCTCCTTGTCGTAAAACCTCTCCGGCCTGAACTCGTCCGGCTCGGAAAACATCTCCGGGTTCCGGTGAAGCTTCCAGAAGTTGGCGAAGAAGCGCGTGCCCTTCGGCACGTGGTATCCGCGGATGGTGATGTCCTCCGACGCCACGCGCGGCACCGAGATGGGCCCCGCAGGATGCATCCGCAGCGTTTCACGTATCACGGCGTGTAGGTAGGTGAGGTTCTCGAGGTCGGAGTCCTGGACAATTCGGTCTTTTCCTACTTTCTCGTCCATCTCTTGCTTCAGCGCCGCCATCGTCCGCCGGTTGTTCAGGAGGTTCGACAGCATCCACGTCAACGTCACCGATGTCGTGTCCGCCGCCGCAATTATCACCGCCTGTATATACATAACGCACAAGATTGGAAATATTAGTGTACGATACGTAACAATTTTTTTTTCCTTCTTCCTAGAATATATATGTTGAGACCAGATACTCCGTTAGTACGAATATTTGCTTTAGGTCTAATCCACACGAATTTACTTTCGGATTTTACGTAAAGACAATACGGTTAGCACGTAAACTTACCATAGCGGTTGACTTGACGATGGTTTCCTTGTCATGCTTGGAAGAAGGATCGAAGTTGTCATCGACGACTGAGAGCATGACGTCAATGAAATCCTCAGGGACCAAATTCTCACCCAACTTGTTCCTCTTCACCTTATGCTCCTCGATCCAGCCGTCCACGATCACATCCAACTCCTTGGAAATCCTCCTCATGGCCTTCTTCATCCCCTTGACGTCGATCCACCGAAGGATCGGGATCAAATCCGACAGCACGAGCGATCCGTTCACGTCCATGAACTCCCTGATGAGCTCCCTGACGGGCCGTCCTCCCCCGTCAGCCACCTCGCCGACGCTATCCGTCAGGTTCTCGAAGTACTTCTTCCCCGCCACCATCCGGGTGATGATGTTGAGAACGAAGTTCTGCAGCCAGTCGCTGATGACCACCACAGCGTGGTGGTCATCAGCCAGCTGGCTGCTGTTGCTGCACTGCATGTGCAGGTCTCTGAGGAGGACGTCGACCTCAGAGACCTGGACGTGCCTGAGGGCCCTGATCCTGGGGAGGGAGAGGACCTCGGTGATGATGAGCTTCTTCACGTTGCGCCAGTACTCGCCGTACGACGCGAACCCGATCACCGCGAAGTTTTTGCCGAGGATCCTGCCCTGCGTGGAAGGAGGGCGGGCGGCGAGGGCTCGGTCGTTCTTGACGAAGCAGTCCTTCATGGACTCGAAGTCGCTGACCACAACGGTGGGGTAGGAGCCCAGGCGGATGGTGAACATGCTGCCGTGCTTGTCGGCGAAGGCGGCCAGCTTCCTGGCCAGCATGTCCTTGCCGCCGAGGAGGTGGAGGTGGCCGATGAAAGGCAAGCTCCCCGGGATTTCCGGGATCTGGAGGGGTTTGTTTTTGCGGTTGCTGGGGTTGACCGCCAGCCTGCGGAGGAAGAGAAGGAACAGGACTCCCGACAGTGCCAAGAGTACTGAAGCGAGAATATCCATGGCTAATATATACTTTGAGCTACTTGGGTGTGGATGATTAGTTAGTAGTTTGATGGATGAAATTATGGTAAAAAAGATGCATGCGGTGGGGTGTTTAAATAGGCGCATGCATGAAGATGAAGCACCCCACGAGGAAAGAGATATAAGTTGAAAGCAATGTTGGGGCAAATTGATATCTTATTTATTCATAAAAAAAAAACACTTTAAATACGGATTACAATGACTTCTAACAGACTCCACGATGACTAGCCAGTATCCCAACACCCCATTTTCCTGATTTCCAACAACTAACTCTAACAACTCAGTTGACTCAAACAACTCTTCCTAACTTGACTGCAAAGTAGAGGTGGCAATTGGATCGGATTCGTGGATTGGATTGGTGGATCCATGGATCAAATGGATTGGATCCAATGGATTGGTGGATTCATGGATTGGATCAAATGGATTGGTGGATTGATCCATGAATCCAAATGACATCCAAGGCTTGGACCAAAATGTAAAATTTGAAAAGTTTTGGTACTAAAATGTCATAATGAAAAATTTTAGGTACCAAAATGTAATTTTCCAATGTAATTTTTCGTATAAAAATATAAATTTTAGGTACCAAAATGTAAAATATAAAAAATATAGGTATCAAATCATAATTTGCCATTTGGATCCATGGATTGATCCATGAATCCACCAATCCAATTGGATTTGGATCAAATGGATTGGATTTAAATGGATAATTTGGATTAGGTGGATAATTTGGTGTATGGATTGGATTGGATTCATGGATTTGCATCCTAATTGCCACCTCTACTGCAAAGCAATCGACCTGGACTCTTTTGTAACATAAACAAAGATGAATGACCAAAGCAGCAAACTAGGGATGGCAATTTTACCCATACCCATGGGTATTTTACTATCCAACCCAATTGGGTTGGGTATGAAATCCAAATATATGGATATGGGTAAAGTTTGATGGGTTTGTACCCATACCCATTTACTTTGGATTGGGTTGGGTTTATAACACATGGATTTGGGTTTGTACCCATGCCCAAATACAAATTACAGTTTGGTACCTAAACTTAATAGATATGCATATTTAGTACCTAAATTTAATTTTTTTTGCATATAAGTCCTCAAAATATCGATGGAAAATTACGTTTTGGTACCTAAAATTTTTTGGTCTTACATTTTGGTACCTAAAATTTTCAAGTTTTACAAATAAGTTCAATTTTTGCATGTGTAGTTAAAACACCCTCAAGTAAATGGATATCCATATCCAACCCATACCCATTTAGATAATATCCATATCTAACCCAAACCCATATACAAACCCCAAACCCATACACACATCACCCAAACCCTACCCATAATAAATGGGTCTACTTGGGTTTGGGCAAAATTACCCATGGGTGGGTAAATTGCCATCCCTAAGCAAACACATACTGCTTAGACTGACACACAAACGACAACGTACTGACATAATTCAAACGTAACAGATTCCAACACAAGCAACCAATATAGAATTGTTGAAGGGAAAGAAATATGCATGTGGCTATAGTCAAAGTTCCAATATTATTAAAAAAAAATGTAATCAGATTTATTCCTTATGGAATTATTAAAAAAATGATGGTAGGTCATCAAGAAAAGGAACCAGGAATTCCAGAGGGGAGAAAACGTGCTTTCATGGGTAGCTACGTAAGTAGTCCTCCGTTATCTAATAAATATACTAGAAAAAACGAGTCTTTTCGTTAAATATCAAGAAAAATGAGTCCTATGTATGCAAAAAACGAGACTTGGAAGTGGAAGTAGAGTGAACGAGATTTGGTGAGATGGGAATGTGTTAGCATGATTATTAGTTTTTTCAATAATTACGGTGGCTACCTATATATTTACCATTTATTTTCATCATTTTTAATTAATCACCAAAATTGATTAGGAATAATTTTGGAATAAAAATAATAACCTCACCTAATTATAATTTTTAAAATATTAATTTTTATATAAACTCCCAAACCCTAAATATTTTCCCCCTATTCTCCGGCATTCTCTCACTTTCTCTCCCCCTGACCGCCGCTCTCACCCTTTTTCTCTTCCTCCTCCACCGACTCTCTCCGCCATATTCTCCATCAACCCTTCTTCTCCCCTCTCCACCACCTCCCCTTCACCGCCGGCCATACTCTCTCTCTCTCTCTCTCTCTCTCTCTCTCTCTCTCTCTCTCTCTCACAATGATGTTGGAGCTCTGGATGTGTAAACTTGGTATGTATTTTTCTGAAATGATAGTGGTAATGTTTTTTTTCCGCATTGGTATTGTTTTTTGTATTGGTATTGATTATTATGTAATGGTATTGATTTGCATGTATTGATATTGATTACATTTGCAATGATATTGGTGTTTTGTGAAATGGTAGTATTTTTATTTCTCGAACGATATTGGTGTTTTATACAATGGTAGTGTTTTTTTAGTGGATTGATATTGATTTATTGTTTTGTTGTTGGTATTAATTCGGCCAAAAGAAATCAAGGAAAAGATTTGAGAAAAATAAGAAAGAGAGATCTGGTTGAAGATTGTGAAAGTGAGAGAAATAGAGAGAAAATTGTAGTTAATATATTTATGTACTTTCCGAAAATGTAATTTATTAAATTTTTTTTAATAAATATTGATTTTCATACCCAATTTATCCTTAGTAACCATAATGATTATTAATCCGTAGTTCTCACCATAACCCCTTCCTTGAGAGATGGGACACGGGGCAGAAAAAACGAGAGGGAAGGAAGGGCGAGTATAACTACTATATACAATAGTTATCAACTTATCATAACACCCCCTAATAATAAATATATTAATATGATACTAACATTAAATATTAGTGTTAGCATCTTATCGAGTCTCATGATTCGAACACGAATTATCTTAAGAATGTTCAGCGATTCTCCCACCATTTTGTCTCCACGCAGAAAATAAATCGTCAACGATATGGTTGAATTTGTCTACTATATCATGTCTCTTGTCAAACCATAAATATTAATTATGTTGCCTTTGAAAAGAAAATCTCTTACCATAGCAGTGATGCGTCACCAAGATAAACGCAAGAAAGAAATAAAGGATGGCCAAAGTCTCAACTGGAATTATTTAACTACTCTTTGTGAGTTATTATTAAGTCCCAACTCATCATCACTATGGACCTCTCTGCGTAGTAAGACAATTAAGATACGAGAATTGATATGGTGTGTTTTTAGATTAATGTAGAATATTTCTTTAGAGTTGTTGACAGAATTGTAAACCTAAATCATCCACTTCCATGAATTTATCAAGCGTCTAAAAAAAAGGTGCGGATAGCATTTGTGTTGTTATAATAACGGTGTATGGGCTCAATGTTATTTGGGTTCGGGTTCTGGGCCTGGTCTGTAACCGTTTCCTTTGTCAGATTGGATTAGGTTTAGACTCACATGGAGAAGTACTATAAATACTTCTCATACTCCTCTGTAATCTGTAATCTCCTCGATATAGTGAAACTGACTCTCTCTCGCCCGTGGACGTAGCTAACACACATCGTGTTAGTGAACCACGTAAATCGTGTGTCGTATTTTCGATTCTCGCTTTCGTATTCTTGCTTTGTCGATTCCGGCGATTTCCCGATCCGTAGCAGCGGGTTTATAACATAGCGGAAACTGGCGGGGATATCTTCGGCTGCTGCTGCAGATCCAAGCCGACGGCGGAAGGAGCTCGCAAGGTGCAGAGCGAGAGGATCTGACTTCACGGACTAGGCCGCTGAGCGGAAACCGACAGGGACCGTAGAATAGGCCGTTGAACTTGATCCAAAGTATGAAATTGACGATGAACTTGATGCAGAGCAGGCAGTAGCCGAGGATAGAGGGGGAATGTAGTCGGGCGTCGAATACGTGACCGGCAACGGGAAATTGCGGTGGAAGGTTGTGAAGGTGATGTCGATGATTGACATGCGGAGATTCCGGCCAAGAGTACGGCCGTGGTGGACGGTGAGGGGAGCGTTGCCGCGGATGACCGGCGGAGGCGAGCGGCGATGAAATGGGGAGTGATTTCCATTGCTAACCACGTTTTCATCAGCTCACCCATCTTGAATTTGTTGCTGCTGCTCCTTCTGCTTCCCTTTGCTTACCCAAACTAATCACCCACATCCATCGATCTAAAACGAGGAAATGGGGTGTGATTTCCATTCTCCAATTCTCCAATTCGATCACGATATCCTCTTGAAGTGATTTCATTAATTTTTTTTTACAACAATGATCGGTCCTATTTGTTTCATTTTGTTTTCTAATTAATATTTAAGTATTTAGATCCTAATCATCCAATTTTCTTAAATATAGATATGTTGAGGTTTTTATATGGTTTTGATGGGCCTTTTTATGTATTTTTAGTATTTTGGTATGTATTATTGCGTTTATGGTATGTATATTAGGAGTTATTGGTATGAAGATCACAAGTATCTCATAAGCACACCAAAAACTTCCTAATATAAACCACAAACATGGTAAAACAAACCAAAAATGCATATCAGAAACCTTCAAATGCAAAGCACAAGTCTCGTAAAAAATACCAGAAATGCAAGAAAGCAAACCACTAATATTTCTAAATCACGCCAGAAACCTCGTAATAGAAACCACACACACGATAAAACAAATCAGAAACCCCGCAAAGCAAACCACAAAAGTTTCGAAAGCACACTAGCTAGAAACTTCTTAATGCAAACCAGAAACCTCCTAATGCATACCACAAATCTCCTAAAACAAACCACAAACCTCACAAAGCAAACCTCAACATTTGCGAAAGCACACCAGAAACCTCATAATGCAAACCACAAACACGATAAAGCAAACCACAAAAACAAACCAGAAACGTCCTGATGCAAACCACAAACGTCGTAAAGCAAACCAGAAACCCCGGAAAGCAAACCACAAAAATTGTTAAAGCACACCAGAAACTTCTTAATGCAAACCAGTAACACGATAAAGCAAACCACAAATAGCATAAAAAACACGAGAAACCAAACCATCAATCTCACAATGCAAACCATTATATCCGGTGGTCGTTGACCGGTCAATGAAAATCGTTAACCAAACTCCGACGACCGTCAGTGAGTAGATTTCGGCACCGATAGGCATATTCCTGCCCCGATGACTAGATTCCGACGCCAGTAAGCATATTCCGATGACAGAATAGCATACTCCGATGACAAAAAGCATATTCCGGTGACCAGATTCCGACGACCAAAATTTTGGGCAGAAAATAAAAACATATTTTTTATTTTTTATTATTTAAACATATTTTTCATAATGACAATTATACCCATGCTTTGATTTTACACTAGGTCAACTAAGCTAATAAAAAGTCATCACAAATTCACAACCCTAGCTTCCTATTGGTTGGAGAGTAGTGTTGTTACAATAACAACAAATATGGTGTTGTCACCATATCCGCTCCCAAAAAAAAAACCCTGAAACATATATAAGTCAAGCACTCTCCTTATAAAGAAATATTTGTACCATATAGCTCCGGACACGATCAATGATATTTTTAGAAGTGGGATTTGACTCGTGGAATATGGGGATGTCCCCGGATTATACTTCGATTATCAGGTTAGTATATATGGCGTAGAGAAATATGAAAAAGTATTCAGAGAGAGACAAAGTGTAAAGTGAGAGAGCAGAAGTTGAATCCCCTCATTGGAGGACTTGGATGTCCTTATATAGTTGTGGCGAGCATCAAGCGTCAAGCTCACTAGTGGAGTGCTCCACTACTACTTATTATCAGTTTGACATCACTAATAATACCTTCAGCCGGTGCTTTGGTATTTAGTCTGTTTGTTTTAGATTCAGTAACACCCCAACAAAAAAAACAAATCATCTCACTGAAGTTATATATTTGTTTTTGTTTGCGTATATTCAATATTCTCAATTTCTTATGCCAATCGACAATTCTCATTTGCACACCTGGATTGGACAAGCAGGACGTTTATATAGGGTGATGTAGGATGTAAGATAAACAAAACCCTCCTGTTGACCTCGTTTTTACCTTGCATTACAAGTACAATTGTTTATGATTTTTCAATACATAAAATTGACCGGTTATATTCTTGAAATTATTGTTTTTAAAGTTAACTGTTAACTCAAAATTCGACGATTACGCCAAACATGAAGGGTCACCTTTACCCTGGGCTTTGAATGTACAATTAGTAACATATATATACTATATAGTCTTCGAATTGAATGTATTCACATTTCTAGTAATTATATTATACTAGTTTATTGATCAGTTTCTCAACACAAAAATGGAAAATACTGATCAGTACTTCGTGACGTACGGGACGATCATATTCTAATTATAGTTGGATTGTGTCATCGCTTGGTGTCTAATTGGAATATATTTCTTGTTACTAGTTTGTAATTTACTCCTTAAATGATGTAAATTATAGGAGTATAGTTGTTCTTGTTAAAACCCCGTTTATTCTAATGATTGGAATTGTAAATTGTTGGATTGGATTTAAAGATATATGGATATATCGTTTTTCTCCTAATCTGTCTTATGAAACTCATCTCATAAATGAGAAGTTTATACTAAGTACACCATACAATCTGTTCAAGTAATAAATCCTTAACACCAAGGAGTTATACCATGACATAACCACATGAATCACCAAGAAACCTATTATTATTGTATTGCAAACCAATTAAGGGAGCTCTAAAAAAATTATTCAATTTAATATTTGCAATGTCTCTTTTTTATCTTTCATTTAACTTTATGTAATTCTGACGACACCTTTAGGTCATTATAACGTGAGGAACGGGACTTTTCGAGCCGCCAATATAGTAGGTTTCCTGGGTCGTATTCGTAAAATGTTAGGTCCGATACATATGGGTTAATAGAATTTTATACCTCTCTATTCTTACAAGTTAACAAACATACTCCTCTAATCCTCTACTATACTTTTGCACAAATGTACCTCTTTACTATTATCAAAATGTAACAAATATACTCTTTTTTTTATTTTTAAATCATAACAAACATACTCTTCCATCCACCATTCTTCTAACTAACTGTTAAAGGGGACAAAAAATGACCAAAGTGTACATCACTTATTTAAGAGTATTTTTCTATTTCTTAAGAAGAAATAAAAGGGAAGGAAAATAAAATTTAAATTTAGTAAAGAAATTAATTTATTAAATATTTTATGTATTATTTATAAAAAATGAAAAATGAAATTTATGTAATAAGTGAATGTCAATTTGGTCATCTTCAGGCCCCTTTAACGGTAAACGAAAGGAATTTGGACGCAAGGTATGTTTATTACGTATCAATAATATATGGATACATGATCTGTGTTTAAAAATCATAAAAAGATATATATTTGTTAACTTACAATAGTATAAGAATATAAAATACTATTAACCCAAAACATAAATACTTACCTAATATGTGCTGTACCCACAAAACACTAGTATTAGTATAGAATGATATTATGTAACAGTAGCGTAGGGACACGTGTCTTTACCATGCAAAAAAATGGACGTGTGTAATCTGCCACCCACTCATGCAAACGTTGTATTAATTGGACTCGTCCAAAGCCAAGCTTCCAAAACCTAAATTGCGTATATTTGGCAAACCGGCCAATCAAAAGTTGCAACTCTTGTTCCATGCAACTTGATATATTAAACACAATTGTTTTGGTGAGAAACATATGTATATGGGAGGAGTAACCAGTTGGTCCAGCCGGTCAGTTTTGACCCAATTTGCGAATGTTTCCAAAACACTCCATAAAAAAGCCATCATGATTGAACTAGTTCCCCCAAATTCTCCATGCACGCCCGAACCGACGGCTACTCACGTGGAGAGATCTTCGATTTTGGTACTTTTAGTTACTGTGCAAGTTGCTACCGATCAGTACGGTAGTTACCCTGGCCGTTAAGACCGCCGCCGATCGAATACCGGCAGCCCACTAAGACCGCCATCACACCACCGCCGGCGACAATGCAGGCTTCCTAGCTAGTTTTTGACTACGTACGTTGCTACTAGAACTCCTGCACCTTTTTTCCTGATCTAAGATGATTGTTTTATAATTTCATTCGAAAGAAGTCAGATTTATTTTATGATTTTAACACTGACCATTGAAAATAAATAAATAAATAAATATTGGGAATTTTGACCCGAAACCAATACTTATCTCGGGAATTCCAATGTGTCGGCGCCCCTGAGCTAATGGACAACGTGGGCTGCTGCTGCTGCATGCCGATGATCACCACCTATTTAAACACCCCACTCCATGCATCTCTTTTCCGCCATAATCTCATCCAACAAATTAAACTACCACTAATTAATCATCCACACATCCACTTAGCTCAAGGATTAATTAGCCATGGATATTCTGGCTTCAGTACTCTTGGCACTGTCGGGAGTCCTGTTCCTTCTCTTCCTCCGCAGGCTGGCGGTCAACCCCAACAACCGCAAAAGCAAACCCCTCCGGATCCCGGAAATCCCGGGGAGCTTGCCCTTCATCGGCCACCTCCACCTCCTCGGCGGCAAGGACATGCTGGCTAGGAAGCTGGCCGCCTTCGCCGACAAGCACGGCAGCATGTTCACCATCCGGCTAGGCTCCTACCCTACGGTGGTGGTCAGCGACTTCGAGTCCATGAAGGACTGCTTCGTGAAAAACGACCGAGCCCTCGCCGCCCGACCTCCTTCCACTCAGGGCAAGATCCTCGGCAAAAACTTCGCGGTGTTCGGGTTCGCGTCGTACGGCGAGTACTGGCGCAACGTGAAGAAGCTCATCATCACCGAGGTCCTCTCCCTCCCCAGGATCAAGGCCCTCAGGCACGTCCAGGTCTCCGAGGTCGACGTCCTCCTCAGAGACCTGCACCTGCAGTGCAGGAGCAGCAACAACAGCCAGCTGGCTGATGACCATCACGCTCAGGTGGTCATCAGCGACTGGCTGCAGAACTTTGTGTTGAATATCATTACTCGAATGGTGGCGGGGAAGAAGTACTTCGAGAACCTCGCAGACAGCGTTGGCGTGGCTGAGGCAGGAGGGAGGCCCGTGGGTGAACTTATTCGGGAGTTCATGGACGTGAACGGATCGCTCGTGCTATCGGATTTGATACCGATCCTCGGGTGGATCGACATCAAGGGGATGAAGAAGGCCATGAGGAGGATTTCAAAAGAACTGGACGTGATCGTGGACGGTTGGATCGAAGAGCACAAGGTGAAGAGGAACAAGTTGGGTGACAACTTGGTCCCCGAGGATTTCATTGACGTCATGCTCTCAGTTGTGGATGACAACTTCGATCCTTCGGCCAAGCATGACAAGGAAACCATCGTCAAGTCAACCGCTATGGTAATTTTACGTGCTAACCGTATTGTCTTTACGTAAAATCCGAAAGTAAATTCGTGCGGATTAGACCTAAAGCAAATATTCGTACTAACATATATATTCTAGGAAGAAGGGGGGGAAAATTTGTTACGTATCGTACACTAATATTTCAATCTTGTGCTTTATGTATATACAGGCGGTGATCATTGCGGCGGCGGACACGACATCGGTGACGTTGACATGGATGCTGTCGAACCTCCTGAACAACCGGCGGACCATGGCGGCGCTGAAGCAAGAGATGGACGAGAAAGTGGGAAAAGACCGAATCGTCCAGGACTCCGACCTCGAGAACCTCACCTACCTACACGCGGCGATACGTGAAACGCTGCGGATGCATCCTGCGGGGCCCATCTCGGTGCCGCGCGTGGCGTCGGAGGACATCACCATCCGTGGGTTTCACGTGCCGAAGGGCACGCGCTTCTTCGCCAACTTCTGGAAGCTTCACCGGAACCCGGAGATGTTCCCGGAGCCGGACGAGTTCAGGCCGGAGAGGTTTTACGACGAGGAGGTCAAAGTGGACATCTACGGCCGGGACTTCGAGTACCTGCCGTTCGGCACCGGGCGGCGGTCGTGCCCCGGGATGAACTTCGGGATGCAGGTGGTGCAGCTGACGGCGGCGAGATTGATTCAGGCGTTTGACTTCGGGACGCCGTTTGACTTGCCGGTGGATATGACGGAGGCGGATAGTACCACGCTCGCCAAGGAGAAGCCGCTGGAAGTCGTGCTGACTCCGCGCCTCTCTCCGGAGCTTTACCAGCTGCCTGTGATTGTTTAATGAACATTGAAGTTAATTATCTTATCCAGCCTCGCGCCGCCGCCGCCGCCGTCAGCCGGATCGTCTATTGATCATATTTTAATTAATTTATTCATAATGTAATAACAGAGATCTTCTGTCGTCTCGAAGGCGTTAAATATGGAATTACGGGGAATAAATATGACTTGTTTGTTTGTTTTTTTAAGATGATTTATAAAGAGACTTTAGCATTTCAGTTCATTTGTCTTCAGGATATTATCCTAATTAACGTTGAATTCGTTTTTTCTTAACATAACAAACCAATTTTGTATGAGTTTTAGAATGCATAAAATTGACCGATTCATGAAAATATTGTTTCTAATGTTATCTATTAACTCCAAATTGGAAGATTACGCCAAAGAATGTACTGCCAGCTATCACCCTGGACTTTGAATATGCAATATTAGCAAGTCTTTAACGGCACTAATTATAACATTAAAAAAATATAAACAAATCTGTTGTCATTACAAAGTACTCATAATTCATTTCCATTGATACGAAACAAAAAAATCAAACAAACAACCTGATACCCTGCACCCAGCGGTACAATGGAGTACAGAGTTACTTAGGATATCTAGCAGAAAGCTCCAATACTATGTTAGGATACGAGAATTCTTGAAATTTAAGATAGATTTCGACGATGAGTATAATAAAAAGGTTATATGTGTATCACGATATAACAAAAATAATAATTTCATATTTTCCATCCATATTTCCATTCCAAATGTACCTTTAGATTACTAATTTGTTGTACACTTGGTATACATTGAACTTAAATCCCCAGAGACACTGCTATGAGATTCCATTCTAATGTACAATGAGATGTGTCATTGTTGAGGAAGAAGAAGAAATTACCTCTCGTAAGATTAATCTACGAATCCATGAATCTACGAATCCATTCAATCCAATACATGAATTCAATCCATATGCGCTACTCTAATTACAGGAATGAAAGGTGGGTAACATATATCTTAACATGATGCAGTAGAGAGTTGTCTAAGAAGTTTAGAACGGGTAGCTACTCTCAGGTAAAAATAGACAAACACTTTTTGTATCAAATGTGTAGCTTTCCATCTACCATCGAGCTTCCAAGGTGGTTACTGACACACGGTTGGTGGAAGGATCTGTGGATCCGACAGCCGCGGTTGAAGAGCGGAATTCATCTTTTGTTCTTAGTAGAACGAATGCTGGCTTTTTGGGTGATGGCAGAGTGGTTGCATTGCTCAGCATGAAGACAACATTCGACATGGTTGGCCGATCCGAAGTTAATTCTTGGACGCATAAAAGCCCTATCTGAATGCACCTCGTCACTTGATCTGTGGAATATGATTCTCCCATTGTTGAAGAATCCATTATGTCTAATGCTCTTGCTTCTCTCCACAAGTCCCACACCTGGTATAAGTTCAGAAAAATCTTCTTGTATTGAGTTAAACCCTAAGTGCAGCAAGCTGATTAATCTCGTATTAACGAACTTGACAATTCTCTTAAGAGAAAGATAAAGAGCACTTACATGCCCAGTTAGGGTCACTGGTGTACTTTCTTGGTAAAAGTGGTTGCTCCTTTTGCTACTGACAATCTCAAGTGTTAGCACTCCGAAACTGAAGACATCAGATTTCGTTGAATACAGACCTTCCATTGCGTACTCTGGCGACATGTATCCACTGCAAAATTTCGTGCAAGGTGATGAATACATCTCTTAGACATGCAATCTTCCAAAAGATAATCAAGTTGTTTTAATTGCTTTTTCTTACTATGTTCCAACAACTCTGTTTGTATTTGCTTCCATTTGATCTTCCATAAATAATCTAGCCAACCCGAAATCTGAGATTTTTGGATTCATTGCAGCATCTAGCAGGACATTGCTAGCTTTAAGATCCCTATGAATGATTTTCAATCTTGAATCTTGATGTAGATACATCAAGCCTCGAGCAATCCCAACAATGATATCAAATCGTCTCTTCCAGTCCAACATTGAGCCTTTGGTTTTATCTGGATCAGTTTCATGCGACTTTAAATCTTAATGTTGATGATACGAGAGTTAACAGATGGCTGAAAGATGTGATGCAATGATTTGAAGAGGGGAAGAAAATGTACCAAAGATGAAGAAGTCAAGGCTTCTGTTTGGCAAGTACTCATAGACCAACATCTTTTCGTCATCATGAATGCAGCAACCAAATAGCCTTGCTAGATTCTTGTGTTGGAGTTTGGAAACTAGCTTTACTTCATTCTTGAATTCCAAAATTCCTTGTCTTGATGTTTGAGATAATCTTTTCACGGCTATTTCTTGTCCGTTGGACAACAAACCCTGATCAAATCAAGATTTAATCACAAGTGGACACGGTTTGTGAATTCATGTGAAAAACCAAACCAACTGAGACCAACTGCATAAAGTTTAATGACAAAACCATAATAAAGCATAAAAGATCATACTTGGTTGATCTTTGGTACGACTGGCCAATACCATTCGCAAACAATACATAGTTGTACGTGCGTGTATTATGATTAAAGGAAGGGCACAGAAAATACATAGAAACTAAAAGTTACAGTAATTGTAAGGAGAGTATTGGTGTACCTTATAAACAGAGCCGAAACCTCCTTGTCCAAGTTTGTTGGCCATAGAGAAATTTTCCGTGGCAGCGTATATGTCATTTACATCGAAAATAGGTACAGAGGAGTCTTTATCTTCATACGAATTTTCCTTTTCTGCATCGTAATGTGTAGTAGGGGAAACATGCTTTGTTGCTTCTCTGCTTCCTAAGCCATTCACAAAGAAGCAGAGGCAACATTGTTTTTCACCGCAGTTCATCAAAACAGACACCGTTGAACAAGGAAAAACCGAACAATCATACAATATTTACGTGATTCGGTAAGTGCCTAAGCATGTAGCAAGTGTGCTCAACAAAACTGAACCATCTCATAAGGAACATTTTCCTCATATATGATTTGCACTATTAATTGAGCTTTGCTTACCATTTCGTTTCCTGTTCCGCAGGCAATACACAGTGGAAATTGCCAGAATGAAGGCTACACCAATAGAGCTTAAAACAATTGCTAACAGCTCCTTCTTCCTCGTATGTCCTTTCGACCTTTCCATGTACTCAGCTAACAAACCCACAATTCATTAAAACCGGTATTATATCCTCTTGCAAAAAGCATATGACAGAGTAATGAAACCAGTCCAGCATGTAGACACTTACCTAACTCAATTGCATCCACTCGGACGTATAAGTCTTGCCCACCATCACTAAACACTCTAGTATCCATCAAGTCCCCGTGTAGCGTTATGCACCCAATTCTACTCGTCAAATTCGAACTCGCATAAGCTGTACAAGAACAGTTTCTTAGACACTCTTGCCTGCACATGTTCATATCCATGCCAACAGTCAATCGCCCGGTTGACGTATCAGGAACTTTAGCATTGTCCAACTTCACAAAACCATCACCATCCCCACACCTAGAATTATTTCCGGACCGCTTCCTGATGCACCCGGCCGAAGCATCTCTCAAAAACCAATCATTCGGGGACCTCGGTTCGAATCCCGGAAGGCAGTTGCACTCGAACACCCCTGCATCATAAGGATCGCATTTCCCATTCGGTCCACAATGTCCATAGTAGTCACAGGGCTCCTTAGGGACGGTCCAGAACTCGATCCACCGACTATCCTGATCATGCCACGTGGCACGCTTCATGAACCCCGTTGGATCTAGGTACAACCTCGATATGATGTTGGGGTCCAGGATCCCCCAGACGACACTCGACTCACTCTCGTTGTTGACGATGCTCGTGTTGAAGATGAAAGTACGAGACATTTCGGGAATTCCACTCCACTTATTTCCATTCCACGGGCCGCTCCTCCACCATCTGGTCTGACCCTGGTAGAGCATCAGCTGGGGCACCCCATCTGGGTCCAAGTAATAGGACCAGTTCCCTGTCGCGGGATCGTCAGGGGCCTTCCAGGACCGAGCCGATTTGATCAGTCCTGTTTTACGGTCCAACCCGAACTTCATGTTTGGGAAGATGGTGTCAGTGGGATGATCAAAGCTCTGCCATAGAACTGTCTCTGCATCCTGTTGAAGTATAACAAAGTTTCCATCATCTAACAACTTAGCCATAGAGCTCCCACCTGCAGAGATATTTGTAGACCATACAGAACTAATATTTCTTCTTCCCCGTTGCAGAACTGCATCGCCTCGTCTGTCTATCAACAGCAGCCCGGAAGTATCATCGATCGGGTTGTCTCTATTGGCGACCCAAACAACGGTCTGAACTGAGACTTTGGTGTACCAGATTCCAAGGTAACGATTGCTTGACTTTCCGGGGCTGAAGAAACCAAGAGTGTACCTTTCTCCATTAGAGACCAACACTTGACCATCTGCAAGAGATTCATTGAAACTTATGGTGTCTGTGGATGAAAAAGAGCAAAGACTAAGAGAAATTATGAGCTGAAGAAGTAAAGAAATGAATAGTCCTTCAGCCAGGTCCATAGTTATCTGCTGGGAATTGTAGAATGAAACACACAGATCAGTTCATATTTTCACCGAAGTCTATAGGTAGTAAATTGTTATCCTAATGACACATCGCTGTCATTTAAGGGTATTTTTCTCCTTTCTGTTCTCAAAGGTGTTATAATAATTCATGTTTGACAAGAAAGGCCATTAACAGACAAATTGGCCATTTTGTCAAATGCAATTTTCTTACGTGAAGGGGAAGGTGAACCGCTGGATATTTTATAAGGCACTTATGTGGTCAAACACGTATTATAGGCGTAATTTTTGCCAATATGTCTCACATAATTCAGTTACATCAAACAAATAACATCCATTTAACAATACAGTGGCTTAAACAGAATCCATTAGTTTTACCTCCTTTGAAGCGGGAAACATATCCGACAGGGTGAGCATCAATGGCGGGCCTCCACAAAAAACATGCCGCAGGTGGTCAGAGTCAGTTGCAGCCGAAGTACTAACAATGAGACGGTGTCTTTGCTTGAGGAAGAAGAAATTACTTCTCGTGAGCCCAATCTAGTCAATGTGAATCATTATTCTGCATGGCTAGCTGATGTCTTGCGTTGGGGAAGCTCATTGATGAACTAAATATGCTACATCTCAACATTGATTCAATATTCCTATGACACTCCAACAATAGCAGAATGCCAATTGATCTATACAGTCACATTGGTCACCGGGACCTCTAAACCACTTCCTGGCACTGAAACCCCATCCACAAACAACCAACAGAAACAATCCCCCCACTGCTACCTGTGTATAGTTGAGTGTCTCGATGGTGATAGGGTGGGCTACCAGAAGAGAGAAGAATCGAGATAGTCACAACCCAGATCACAGCAATCCAAACAATAGCGAGACTATACCCAAGTGTAACAGGCTCCGAACAACCTCTTGCAAGCCAATGTCACCCCGAAAAAAGATTGGCACGGCATACACAATATAAAGCCCGATGGTTTGCTGTGGACACCATTGCCTGAAATGCCACTTTGCTTCAAAGATACTGCATTATTAAGAATATGATCAAATTGTCGGGTTAATTGTGAGCTAGGAATGAACAGACAGATATGTTCTAAAGATAGCATTATTACCATTAACGCCATGCAGAAGGATATGACAACAGACAATCAAACAGCATTGACGGGAACTTGTTGGTCGTTGACTTTGTGCCAGAGCAAAGAGAATGACAGGACTCCATCTCTAGAGAACGCATAAGCCATCCTGGAGTTGCTAGTTACCAAACTCGTACCACAGAAGAAGATGGCAACTGCAACAACTCCTAAGCATATAATCCCACCAACTCCACTTCCATATCTTCTTTTGAAAGCTTGGTACTTGGTAGAATATTTCGGCTATGGCATAGCCACTGGCATCGTTGTTTCCACTCAGCAGAGAAGGGATGTTGGGTGACAGAAAATGTGATTCCAAGTATGTACAGCCATCCAAATATGACTGATATTCCGATGGAACTTATTGTCCCCTTTGGACCATTCTTGTCAGCGCTCTTTGTTTCCTCTGTCTATCAAAGAACAATCAATGATACGTACTTCGATGCTTGATATCCGCCATGGAGGAAAAGGGTGCCACCATGCAAAGCAATGCCTACATACTTCGACGCTTGATATCCACCACCATTTTGACCACTTGTGCTCAGCAGAATGGTCACCTGAATCATTTTTGCAAGGGAAAAGTCCATGCTTGTCGTCACAGCCCACTGCAACGAATGAAATAATGCCAGAAAATTCATTACAGCTTACGCTCTTGACATTCCTAGTACAGAATCTGACATCAAAACTCTGAGTAGATCATACATAACCTGGCCAACAATGTCAAACCTGCAGGGAAGTGATAAACACCGACAAAAAAAAAATATGTTTTTGGCATTAGGATAAGTTATGACATTAAAAACAAAGATTGAATTGTAATGCAGTGTCATTTAGCTAGCTGCTAATCATTTGTCAGTTGTCTAATATTGATCACGCCAAGACCAAGGAATCACGAAGACATTAGGATCCTTTTGTGTAATCATAATCAAGTCATCATCTATCTGACCCGAAAACTCTAGTAAGCCAAAGTCAAAACAAGTTTGCCACTAAACAGAAAAGCCAGATTAGGAAAGCAATGCGAAAAAAGAACCCAGTCTTCCCCATCAAAACATTCTGCTTAACTGAATCGGTGGGAGCCATACATGTTTCGCAATTCTTAAATGGAGAAGCAAAAAACATTCAAAGGACAGTAAGAATAAAACAAACAGCAACCCACCAGCCTGAAGCAGCAAACAAGAACAGTACAATCCGACAATGGACCCCCCAGAGGCACACCCAGATTTGAACTAAATGCACGCTCTGAATCTTTATTGTGACATCTCAAGTTTCAGTAAGAGTTGATGAATTTGAGCGCAGAAGTTCTTATGTAATTTTTTAAAGAAAGAAGATTTGCATAAGCATACCAGCCAGTGATCCAGGAAGCATAAGGCGCCCAAGAAGGGCCGGCGAGCAGAGACCACTCGATGTCGGGTAAGCAGAGCAAATGTCACCCATTGCGGACCCGACAAACATGGTGAACAACCCGGCTATGCACCAGCCATATAACAACGAGACGGGCCCTCCGAAGGTCGACCCATTGTTGTAAAGAGTGGTTATTCCGGTGAGCACCGACATGATCGAGAAGGAGAAAGCGAAAAACGAGAACATCCTGCATCTGAAAAGGAAGCAGATTGGATGAATTTTGCGTATAGAAGGAACAAAAGGGAGGAAGGAAATTTGGGTTGGTGGGTTTTACGAGAGGTCCCGCTTGAGCTCTTGTTTGTAAATTGTAGCGGAGCTGCCTGAGGCGGGCGTTGCCGGAATCTTGAGAGCCATCATCGCCAACGCCATTTGCAGTTGCAGGGTCGTTGTACAGAATGCTCTTCGCCTCTTGGGCTTCGTTACTTTGTTAGCCTGAACGGCTGAGATAGAAAGAGTGGGCTTTGGCCCACAGCTTAATTAGGTGCCTAGTTTTAGTGGAGCCCAACCTTTTGCAACGCGAATGAAGAAATAGCCCACTGCTTAATCCACTGCATAATCAGATCTCATCGTTGAGCTATAGTGCTGCTTTTGGTAGTTTTTGAATGGTTAGAAAATGAAGTTTGGTAATCGAATTGTTTCCTTTATCAATCCAAGAAACATGGTGAGTTGGTTATAGGCTAGGCTGTGAGTTTGGTTTGGTTAACCAAACCATTCAATATGAAAATCAAATAAAAGTAAATCAGGAAAATTACCAGAAAACAAAACCGTTGAGTGTCTTATTCTCCGCAGCAAATGCATGTTGTTCGGGATAAGGAAGAGGCATTAATATGATGTAATAAAAAAAACAAGTTTGAAATAATTTTATTAAAGTCAAGAATAAGGCCAGTTAAAATGGATTAGGTTGATCAGAATATCCGTGCACCCCCAATTCACGTTAGATAGAACATATTAGATCAAAATTGTAATTCCTACACCATTTTTTAGTATTGAAGTGCTTGCACCATTCAATCTAATCCATCCAGATTAGGTTGATACGAATATCCTATCATTTTTCCTTTTTCCAAAAGATGCTTTGAACCACCAAGATAGATGGGGGATACACGGTTCAAGAAATCGAAAACCATTGATGGAAATTAACCCTACCAAGCTAGCAGGATACAGAGAGTCAGAGACAGACCCTTTCGAACTACCAAATGATATATAACCTGTTATTTCGAGGACAAACAAGCAAATGCGTCACAGATGATAACATGGCATGAATTGCGCAACTATGCTCGTTCACCTTGTCAATCGACACTTTCTCGTCACCTTCAAACACAACTTCCTGCAATCCCAAATCAACGCACCATCTCAAAGCATAGCGAAGAGCCACCAACTTGTCATGGAAAGGATCCTACAACCCTAGGTATTGCTAAGCTCTCGTCACTGCTACACCCCTCGGACATCCTTCAACACCTAACCTGCCGCCGAATGAGACCATGCAATAATTGGCCCATCAAACGAACAAACAATGCAATTTCCACACTCTGCACCTAATTCCGACTGAACCATCCCCTCGTACCAGCGCTCAATCACTACAAGCAGGATTCCCGAACCACTCCTGCCCCTGCCCATCATACTGTGCGGCCAAAACATCTACCCAAACCAGAGTAGATTCGAAAAACCACAAAGTTACGAGATTTCCAAACACGCCACAGGAGTGAGACAGAGCACATAGCCTGTGGAAACTGGACGAACACACAAATGGCAACCATGTTTCCAAAGTTCAGGCACATCACATCGCATCTTCCTCAGCGTGTTATGACTCCTGTTAGAGTTACCTCGTTTACAGAAAATGATCCTTCTGCTGCACCTCTGGATTTGTTGAAGCAGCTTGTACCGGGAAACCCAGGTTGCTTGGGGCGAGGAAGTGGCATTGCAGTGTTCAACATAAGAACCGTCATCGACATATTAGGTCGATCTTGAACATCTTCCTCTACACATAGCAAACCAATTTGGATGCATTTTAATACTTCCTGAGCATTGAGAGATCCCTCCATCGATGAATCCACGACCTCTAATGCTTTCTCTTCCTTCCATCGCTCCCACACCTGTACCATCAGAGCCAACAACCATTTCGTTTCAGTAATTTCATCCTGCTAGGTTTCCTATCATTTTCTCACCAACTAGAAGCATAGAAAGTTTCTATTTAAGGCTCACATAGGTTATCAAATTCAAGTTGTCATCTTCTGAGTAAACTCTATTGATCTTCTTGCCGGTTATCATTTCAAGCAATATGACACCGAAACTGAAAACATCAGATTTTTCGGAGAATTTCCCAAACACCGCATACTCTGGCGACATGTAACCACTGCATAAAAGAAAGCCTCCCCACGAATTATTACAAAGTTAATTGAATCCCGGACTACACTTTGTTCAAAGTGGGCACATAGAAACTTGAATACTTACTAAGTTCCTCCAATGCTGGCCGTCTTCCCATGAACTTGGTCGGCCTCCAGTATCATAGCCATGCCAAAATCTGAGATCTTGGGGTTCAGTTCTCCATCTAGCAGAATGTTGCTGGTTTTCAAGTCTCGATGTATGATTCTGAACCTCGAATCCTGATGAAGATACAAGATTCCACGGGCAATGCCAACTATGATGCTGAAACGCCTAGTCCAATCCAACACTGTTCCTCCCTTTCGATCTGACGAACAAAAAGGAGGCATCTTTGCATCAGAGTTCGATGGAATAAACATTAAGTAGTCACAATAGAAGAGAAACCTACCAAAAAGAAAAAGGTCCAAACTTCTGTTCGGCAAGTACTCGTAAATCAGCATTTGTTCTTCTTCTTCTATGCAGCATCCATGGAGCTTCACAAGATTCCTATGTTGGAGCTTTGCAATCAACAGCACTTCATTCCGGAACTGCTCCAAGCCTTGCCTAGAATTTGCGCTCAGCCTTTTCACTGCAATCTCCTGTCCATTGGGTAATCTCCCCTGAGTTTTACGAAGGGTGTTAGTTAATCTCATTTCTTCAACGTACTTAAAGCCAGCAAAAAAAACTATACCTTTACCTTGTACACAGAGCCAAAACCTCCTCTCCCAAGCGTGTTGGCTGGGGAAAAATTATCGGTAGCAGCCCTTATGGCATTGAGGCTGAAAAATGGCAACTCTGGATATACTGAATGTCCCTCCATTTGCTCTGTAACCACAGAATCTGTGAAGTGGTTTGAACCATCATTTGGATGGAACAAATTTCTGATCCTTCTCTTCTTTGCTGTCCTCAAACACATCACAGGATACATCCTTAAAAACTCAACGAAGCTTACAAAACCTTCATTCAGCCACAAACCACAAAAAAAAGGGAGCTCTTTACCTGTCCTGTTTCGCCAATTCCTGAGCCGAAAGAAAGCAATCACGATAACAACAAGCCCTACTGAACCAATAGATGGCAGAAGAATGCTCAACTTCAAATTCAACTCAAGAGAATTGTTTGATCCACCCTGATAATTAGCTGCAACACAAATACAATTTCACAAGCGATATAAGATCCAGTCTTTTGTAGCCTCTCCCAAAAACCAGAGAAACTACTAGAAATGAACTAGTTTTCCACACAATACCAAGGTCTTATTGACTTGTATCACTATGAACTATCAACATTTGGTTATGCACAAACTTAAAGGCTAGTGAGCCCCAAGCTTCCCAAAGAGCTAAAACTGTTCATAAGCAAGAATGTTCAAAGGTATCATGCCTTCTCTTTTAAAATCTCGTAACAACTAGAGTATTGCTGGCGAATTGGTTCTCGATGCACTAGCACAAGCTTAAAACCAGTACCAAATCCGAGTATAAGCGCAAACTTGAAAGGCCTAGTGAGCTTCTAAGCAAAAGAGTGGTTCACTTACCAAATTCCTCTGCATCAACTCGAACATACAGATCATGGAAACTGACAGGGAAATACACAGTATCGACCAGCTCTCCGTACCATAACAAGCAACCTTTCTCCTTCAAAGTAGCATCTATTTCAGCATAAGCAGAACATGAGCAGTTCTTCCTGCACTCCCTTTCGCAGCTCAATTCGCCGCCACCATCATTCTCCACCCAAACAGCTCCTGAACTCTCGGGAGTCTTCACCTTCGGCACTCTCACAAACCCTTCTCCCGCCCCACAAAATCCATCAGAAGTTCCCAATCCCAATTCTGGTTTCGATTCGAAATCCAATTCCAATTTCGATCCCGATTTCGATGGCTTCCTAACGCACCCACCGGAGCCATCGAACAATCGCCAGCTTCTCGGCGACCTGGGTACATATCCAGGCAAGCAAGAACACTCGAAAGTGTTGAAATTGCTCGGATCGCACAAACCGTTGGCGCCGCAGCGCCTGTACGAATCGCATTTCTGAGTCGGGGTCGCCCAGTACTCCTTCCATCCGTCGTAGCCCTTTCGCCAGATCTTCTCCCTTATGACCCCAGTCGAATCCAAAACTTCCCAGAAGAGAAAAGAATCGTCGTTCAGAGCGATTTCAAAGAACGTTGCTTCTTCGTTGTTCACGAACGAGACGTTGAAGATCTCGCCGTAGCTCCCCCACGGCCAAGGAAAACTTCGAGAGTAAGGTTTCCCGTCTTCGTACAAAAAGAATTGCGGGGAGCCCTTCGGGTTGAGCCGAAACGAGAATTTCCCGGTTGCCGGGTCGTCCTCGGACAACCACGAGTTTAAGAACCGGTCCAGACCCGATTTCCGATCCAGCCCGAGCTTCGCTCCGGGTAGGAAAGTGTTCGTCGGGTAATCAACACTCTGCCACAGAATCGTCGAATTGGAACTGCTGAACAGCGCGAAATTCCCCGAATCCAGAATCCGCGCCGAGCGCGGAGAACTAGAATCGAGACCGGCCGAAACGTTGGTTGACCAAATGGGAACTTGGGTTTGAGTTCGATTTCGGTTTTGATCTTCTCCGTCGCCGGCGAACAGGGCGAGGTTGCCGGTGGAGTCGATTGAGAGGAATCCGGAGTCGCCGGCGGCGATGGGGTCGTTCCGATTGGCTACCCAGATGACGGTTAGCTCCGGGACTTCGTGGAACCAAATGCCGAGGTACCGGTTGGTGGAGCGGCCGGGGGAGAAGAACCCGAGAGCGAATTTGCCGGTCTCCGAGACCAAAACGTCACCGTCCTTAAGCGGTTGTGCCGGGGTTAAGGCGTCGCTTGTAGCGGTGGCGCGAAATAGGAACACCGAGAAGAAGACGAAGAGAAATGGCCGAGAGAAGGAGCCGATTGGGAAGATCCATGGAAATGGTTTCTCGCCTTCGGCGGCCATTATTTGAAATCTGCAGTGCAAGTTTCTATCATGGCGGTGACGACGCAGTGGATTTTGTCCAAGAGTTTGTCTTGAATGGCGAGCTTTGGAGTAGTTCCAAAATTCAAATAATAACTTATGCAAAAGGGATTTCCCCTTGTTGGAAAAAGACTGAACTGTTGAAGAGATTTTGGGTGAGCGCAGTTATGGCGGGTGGTGACTCAGCTGCTGGAGGAGGAAACTGGCGCTCTGTTTCGCTCGGCGGCGGATTTTGGCGGGTTGCAGGTAATCAAACCACAATTTCCACTCATGATTAAAAGGGTCAATTTTCATTAATATAAAATCTTCATCGATTGCTTGCCGGACCTGTTTTTTCAGACGCCGGTGGAGTCCCACCGTATCCGAAGATCTCAGATTTCTTCAATTGCGGTTGGCGATCGACGGCGACGGGTCTCGTGACGGCTTCAATGACGTCTTCAAGATTTCCCAATTTGGTGACAGAGGAACGATTCATTCACCAATAATTCCGCCATGTTGCTGCATGTAGCCATTCCCCGTTAAGTGGGAAAGCCGCCTTATATTGAAAATTCGATATGGTTTGACTTGTCACAGGCTCGGATTACATAATCTTTGGTTGTCCACCGCTTTGTAATCAAATCTCAATGTTCTAAATCAGTTTAATGGTTGAGATTAAATAAAATTCTTAATCGCCGTTTTTCTTTTAAGGTTATTTAGATGAATGATTCCTGGAAAAAAAACACAATGAAATAACGATTGTGACGCCCTAAGATCCATCAACGACATATTATCTTTCCGAATATGTTGTTGAATTTTACATGATACTTAGGACATTTTGATATCCCACCTTCCACATTATCAATGTGTAGACTGTAGAGCAGATTACCAACTAGAGCATTATCGAGAATTAAATGCTCACAACGACTCAAAGCAAGTCGAAGTATCAATACTTAAAAATAATTATTTCCAATTCTGGATAAGATATTTTATTCCTGAAGGATGTTGTATAGCATCATTCCATTCCAAACCTTAATCAACCCACTAAGTTGACTGTAGATCCTTCTACTTAGGCATCCATGGAGTTTCTACCGACTACCCGCTAATGTCAAATGGTGAAAGACATTTTCATTTAGTCTCGTATATAGCAGGCTAGCAGCTCTTGACAGAATACCTATTGATGCAACTATGAGATCGATTCAGCGGTTGAAGATTCCTGAGAATGACATCTCGTTTACCGAGCACACAGGTTCTTTCACGAACGATACCTTGGATCTCACGCAAACGAATGCAGGTCGATTTGGCGTTCGAAGAGGCGTCGTTTCACTGTTCAGCATGAGCACCACTGCCTGCATATCGGGTCGATCTGCTGGATTTTCCTCCACACATAATAGCCCCACTTGGATGCATCTTATTGCGACATTCGAGTCCTTCAGCATCAGCGACGAATCGACTACCTCTGCGGCTCTTCCTGCCCTCCATAATTCCCACACCTGTTAAACCAATTTTTGACATGAACACAACGATTGTTCAATGTCTGTTCAAGTAAGAAAATCTCAGAAGAATGAACTGAATTCAGATTTTCTAATTGAATTAACTTACATGGCCGATCAAGCTCAAAGAAGGATCCTGCTGAGAGAACCAATTGATCTTCCTCCCCGCTACAGTTTCCAGCAAGATCACCCCGAAACTGAAGACATCGGATTTTACCGAAAACCTCCCAAACAGTGCATACTCTGGTGACATATAGCCACTGCCACAAGCAGCACAGAAAAAAGATTGTCGCAGTTCAATATATACCAAGGTTGGCTTATTCGAGTTATTTAATAACTTACTATGTCCCACAAATTCTGCTCGTCTTGCCTTCGGTTTGGTGGTAGTCCAACATTCTAGCCATTCCAAAATCAGAAATTTTGGGGTTGAGCTCAGCATCCAGGAGAATATTGCTAGGCTTCAAGTCTCTATGGATAATTCTGAACCTCGAATCCTGATGAAGATACAACACCCCACGTGCTATCCCGATTATGATATTGAACCGTTTCCTCCAATCCAAGAACAATCTCTGGCTATCATCAACTACAATAGAAACCAAAATCATAAGAACAAACCAATGTTTGATTTGAGAGATATAGTTGAACTTCACAAGTACACAAGAAATTTACCGAAGAGAAGCGAGTCCAAGCTATTGTAGGGCAAGTATTCATAGACCAACATCTGTTCACCATCCTCAATGCAGCATCCATGGAGCTTCACCAGGTTCCTGTGTTGGAGCTTCGCAATTAATAACACTTCGTTCTTCAATTGTTCTAGCCCCTGGCTTGAGTTTTTAGTAAGTCTTTTAACAGCAACCTCTTGTCCGTTGGGTAGCTTTCCCTGAAATTTCTAGGAGAGATTAGTACAACAGTGGGCATTATCCAGCTTACGAACTTTTAAGACAGATTTACCTTGTACACTAGAGCAAAACCTCCTTGTCCAAGTTTGGTGGTAGGAGAAAAATTGTTGGTGGCGGCCTGTATTGTCCCAAGGTTGAAAAATGGTAGTTCAGGATATATGGTAGTACTATGCTTGATGTCCTTTGTTGCTTCTGAAGTTTCAAAGTAATTTGAACCATCACTTGTATGAAACAAGTTTCGGATGAGTCTGTTCTTCACTGCCATTAAACATAAGTAGCCAAGTTCGAAAGCAGATTAGTTGCAAAACAACTCACCATTCACAAAAGTAATTAACACAATAAGGCAGAAAGGAATGGTACCATACTACCTCTCCTCTTTTTCCACTTCCTGAGCCATAAATAAGCAAGTAAGGCAATGACAATCCACACTGATACAACAGACGGTACAATAATGCTTATCTTCAGCTTGAACTCAACAAAGCCACTGGAATCCTTCAGATAATCCGCTGCACAACCCGGGAGAGGGGAAGAAAGACAGAAACCAATTTGATTCGAACTTTGCTTGAGGTTAAGCAATGCTGAAGAGAGGTAGGTGTCAGAGAACATATTGATTTACCTAGTTCAAGAGCATCAACGCGAACATAGAGATCATAAGCACGGAGTGGGAAATCCACAGTATCCATCATTGCTCCATGCCATTGCAAACAACCAATACCTTTCCCACCAATATCGATAGTAGCATATGCAGAGCATGCACAGTTTTTCCGGCATTCCCCTTCACAGTTTAATTTACTCGTTCCCAAGCCCACCCAGACGGCTGCTGAAGTATCAGGAAGCTTCACTTTTTCAACTCTCACAAACCCTTCTCCTTCTCCACAAATTGAGGTTGCTTCTGCTCGCTTTCGGACACACCCACCAGATCCATCTCTTAAATGCCACTTTTTCGGAAACCTAGGTTCATAACCAGGTAAACAAGCACATTCATAGGGAAAAACAATGCTAGGATCACACTTACTGTTAGGGCCACAAGTTCCATAGAAATCACACTTCTGCTTAGGTGATGCATAAAACGCCTTCCACCGGCCATCACCTTCATCCCATGTCATTGACTTCAATATCCCTGAGGGATCGACAACAGCCCTCATGTAAACTGAAGAATCCATTATAGCAGTTGAATAGTATATCCCATCTTCATTGTTGTCAAAGGTGTCGTTGAAAAAATCATGGTTACTCTCCCACGGCCACGGAACACTCCGCCAATAAGGACTGGTACCTTGGTACAGAAAGAACTGCGGTGAGCCACTTGGGTTCAGCTCAAATGAGAAATTTCCTGTTCCAGGATCATCTGCTGATCTCCAAGATGTCAACAAGTGGCTCAAACCTGTTCTCCTATTCAGCCCAACTTTTATCCCAGGTAGCAGGGTGTCTGTAGGATAATCAAAGCTTTGCCACACGGTATACATCTTCCTTTCACCTTCCATCAACACCAAATTTCCAGAATCCAGCAACCGAGCCGCACAGGGACCATTTACTCCCACAGAAACATTCGCAGACCACACCGGACGAAGCGCATTCTCGCCACTGCGATAGAGAAAAAGGTTGCCATGTCCATCATTAGAGAGAACACCAGAAGTTCCAATGATGGGATCATTCCTATTTGCTACCCACACCACCGTTGGTTCTGGTATCTCATGGTACCAAATGCCAAGATATCTATAGCTAGAACTGCCAGGACTGAAGAATCCCAATGCAAACGTACCTCCTTCAGAGATCACCAGGCTTCCATCATTGATGGACTGATTAGCAGATATTACATCACTGTAACTAGAGCATGTTTGGAAGGCGAGAAAAAGCAGAGGAAACAGAACAAAGTCTGCAGCTTCCATGGTCAAAGCCTCCCAACTGGCAGGCCGCCATCAATCCAAGCATCAAGTATTCGAGCCCTTGTGTCCCAGCAAACAGAACCTGAAAGGGGGATGACACTTTTTCAACGAAGTTGAAATGCCTGCCATTTTTGGAATGGCGGGCAGACTGGACTGCTTTACTTTAAGAGTCAATGCCCTCTCCATTTTTTTCTAATCCTGGCCCCAGAAGAATCTTCAACAACAATACTCTCTTCTTGTTTTTCTCTCTTCTCGTCTTCCGTGTTGAATAAACAAAGGCATGGAAGGAAAGGAAGCAGCGGTACGAACATTGGAGACATACTTTGACCGTTGACTCGTGACGAGGTGAGTCGCTGCTTTCGACTCGGTGTCGCCGAAACGGCGAGCGGAAACGAGATTCGCCATTGAAATTTCAGGACAAAGGAAGCATGCAGGTGGAATCAGGCTCGTCGCAGAAGCTTGCAGAGCAGGAGAACCGAAATGGCTTACCTAATTTTGCCGGCGAATCAAACGTTTCATCCATGGCTGTCTCGAATTTTGCCAAGGCGCAACTTTCAAGTATCCTCCTCCAATTGAAAGGAAATAGATCATCACTCTTCGAGCACCGATCAGAAGAAGCGAAAGCGAAGTCATGACTGAACAATGAACATTGAAGAACAACAAGAAGATTACGAAGTGACATACGCGGGAGAAGGAATCAATCGCTTAGTTTCGCTTGGCAATGGCGGTCGTGGGCACAACGAAGGAAGGAACAGAGCTACTGAGTACTGATTACTGAAGCGCTGATACTATTTCGCGAAGCGAGGGAAATAATAAAAAAAATTAAGTTGCCAATTGGGCTCGCGCATCACGGCCTTGCTTGTCCATTCAGCGAGTGGGCCAACGAGGCCCAACTTGCTGGGTACGGGAGTGCTTCTTTCGGCCCATGAAAATATTTACATGAGGGGCTTCCTTGGAGCAAAGGAAACGCCAGAACAAGAAACCCAGAAACGGAGAGAAACAGACAAAAGAAACGTAGAAACGCGAGACGTTTCAGTTTCTTCCTGCACTCGCCTTCACAGGTCACAAACAATCTACTTGTTTCTTCCCAAATAACTAATCACTGCTTATTAAATTATTAATAAGTATACTTGGTTAAGGAAGTGAAGAGCTCGATACAGATATGATCACCAGGAGAAACAGTGACATCCACATTTACAAAAGTAAGCAGCCTAGGCGAAATTATCGAAGTTGTTGGGAAAGGTCCATGTACGGTACTTTAACCACTTTTTTAGACGATTGATATCTAGCATTCGACTACGGAGAGGGTACGTCAGCGACTTAAGATCCCTGAAAATGACATCTCATTTAACGAGCAAGTACGTTCTTCTGCGAGCAATGCCTTGGGCCTCACGCAAACAAATGCAGGTCGTTTGGGAGTCGGAACAGGTGTTGTTTCGCTGTTCAGCATAAGAACCACAGCCAGCATATCAGGTCGATGTGCTGCGATTTCCTCCACGCACAACAGCCCGATTTGGATGCATCTCAGTGCCTCGTTCGAGTCCTTATGTGACAACGACAGCGACAAATCGACCACCTCCGAGACTCTGTCTGCCTTCCATAATTCCCACACCTGTAAAAAGTTCTACCATTGGAACTATCAGATAATGCACATGATCGATAAGATGAAGAGCTGGGTACCATGTAATTTATCGTACCACAGATTTAATGAACAGTCCCGGCGAAAGTTTATAAGAAATCATGCGATAAGTATCAGATAACCACTGATAATGTCTATTCCTAACAATAACAATGTAGCCACAGTAGTCTTCTGAGGTGATGTTTTCAGTTAGACCACTTACATGACCGATCAAACTCAATGAAGGATCTTCATGGGATAGCTCATTCATCTTCTTTCCAGTGACAGTTTCCAGTAATATCACCCCAAAGCTGAACACGTCGGATTTCACAGAAAACCTTCCAAAGAGCGCATACTCAGGTGACATGTAACCACTGCAACAAGAAACATGGTAAAGAGAGTTATACTTCAAAACATTCACAAATCACGAGGCAATTGAACGCATAACAAAAGTTCTTTCAAGCGATAAAACTTACTAAGTTCCGCCAATTCTACTTGTCTTCCTTTCCATTTGGTCACCGTTCAATATTCTAGCCATCCCAAAATCAGAAATTTTGGGATTCAGCTCAGCATCCAGGAGAATATTACTAGGTTTCAGATCTCTATGAATTATTCGGAATCTGGAATCATGATGAAGATACAAGATCCCACGAGCAATACCAACAATGATGTTAAACCGTTTCCTCCAATCCAAAGATGATCTTAGGCTCTGGTCAACTGTCAAATATAAAAGCCAGATATGAAATGAAATGAACGGCAATGTCAAATCAGCTTCTCTGAATCATCCCACCTTGAGGACATCATGAAATACAGAAGAATTACCAAAGAGAAGGGAATCCAAACTATTGCGGGACAGGTACTCATAAATCAGTATCTGTTCATCTTGCTCAATGCAGCAACCATGAAGCTTCACAAGGTTCCTGTGTTGGAGCTTTGCAATCAAGAATACTTCATTCTTGAATTGCTCCAGCCCCTCTCTTGAATTTTTGGACAATCGTTTTATAGCCACCTCTTGTCCGTTTGACAGCTTTCCCTGAAAATTCAAGAACTAAATCACAGCAGCCATTGTCAAGTTTCGTGGATATTGCATAGAGACTTTACCTTGTACACTAAACCAAAACCCCCTTGTCCAAGTTTGTTTTCTGGGGAAAAACTGTCAGTGGCTTCATGTATGGTGATGAGGCCGAAAAAAGGTAATTCAGGGTAGACAGTACTTCGCTTGATGTCTGTTGGAGCCACAGAATCTTCCAAGTAGTTTGAACCATCACTTGGATGAAATAGATTTCTGATCTGTATGTTCTTCGCTGCCATCAATAACAAAAGTAGCAACAATGTTAAAACACAGACAATAATTATGGAGGCACAAAGCAATGAAGTTAGATGGTTAATACCCCTACTCCTTCTCCTCTTTCTGAGCCACAAATAAACAGACAAGACAATGACAACCCATACTGAGACAATGGACGGTATGATGCTGCTCAACTGCAACTTCATCTTGAACTCGAGAAAGCCACTGGATTCCTTCAGATAATCAGCTGCTCATCAAATGGGTTACGACATTAATCAGATACTGAGAAAGAAAGAAAAAAAAAAAAAAGCATATCATTCTAGGGGGTGGGGGTGGGGGGAAATCAGTTTATTTTATTCACTCCCTTCTCCTTCTTCCTTAACATTCTTTAGCTTTTGTAATGCTACGGATAAGTAATTTCGTGCACCATATTGATTTACCTAGTTCAATAGCATCAACACGAACATAGAGGTCGTAAGCACGGACTGGATAGTAAACTGTATCATTCAGTGTTCCATACCATGTCAAACAACCAATCCCTTTCCCATCAATAGCCATGGTAGCATATGCAGAGCATGAACAGTTTTTTCTGCATTCACCTTCACATGTCAATTTCTTTCTTCCCAAGTCCACCCAGATGGCTGCTGAAGTATCAGGAAGCTTCACTTTTCCTACTCTCACAAACCCTTCTCCATTCCTACAAATCGAAGATGATTCTAATCTCTTTCTGACACACCCGCCAGATCCATCTCTTAAATGCCACATTCTGGGTACCTAGGTTCATAACCAGGTAAACAAGCACATTCAAACGGAAAAACAATGCCAGGATCACACTTACTGTTAGGGCCACAACTTCCATAGAAATCACACTTCTGCTTAGGGGATGAATAGAAGACCCTCCACTGGCCATCGCTTTCATCACGTGTCATTGCCGTCAAGATTCCTGAAGGATCGACGACTGCCCTTACGAGTAAAGAAGAGTCCACAGTAGCAGTTGAGAGGAATATCCCGTCGTCGTTGTCTACAAATGAGTCTTTGTAGAACTCATGGTTATCCTCCCACCTCTCCCACTGCCAAGGAGCGCCCCGACAATAAGGAATGGTACCTTGGTACATAAACAACTGCGGCGAGGCACTTGGCTTAAGCTTATATGAGAAATTCCCTATACCTGGATCGTCTTCTGATCGCCAAGATGTCAAGAAGCTGCTCAAACCTGTTCTCCTACTCAACCCAATTTTCATCCCAGGCAGTACAGTGTCCGAAGGATAATCAAAGCTTTGCCACACAGTAATCCTCTTACTTGCACCTTCCTTCAACACAAAATTTCCAGAATCCAATAACTGAGCTACACAGGTGCCGTTTGATCCCGCTGAAACATTAGCAGACCATAGTGGAAGCTTGCTGCTACTATTACTGTAGAGAAAAAGGTTGCAATATCCATGACCCGTAAGAATCCCTGAAGTCCCAGTGATGGGATCGTTACGATTTGCAACCCACACCACAGTTTGCTCTCCTATATCATGGTACCAAATGCCAAGATATCTATAGCTCGAACTACCAGGACTGAAAAATCCCAGCGCAAACCTACCACCTCTGGAGATCACCAGGCTCCCGTCGCTGATGGATTCATTTGCAGCTATAGTATCATGAGAGCCAGAGCACGTTTGGTGCCAGAAAAGGAGCAGAGAAAGCAGAACAAGTTTTGCAGACTCCATGATCAGTTTCCTTCCCAAAGGGAACAACAGGCAACCCATCCTTCATTAGAAGCCATACGAAAATAACACGTTATAACGAAGGCTGATTACATCGAGGACTTTGCTACTCGATGCTGGCCATTCTTTCTTACCATAAAATAAACGGACGAGAAACGAATTTCAACGGGAGACCTTTTAGTCAACCCCCATGTGGCGATGACTTTTACACCACCATGGACTACGGCGGACTGGTAAGTAGATGTGACAGCTGACCTTCAGCGCTGAATTGCAGGAAACTGGCCCGAGATGGACTCCTTTGAGGGCCATAAAGGTTCCGGTGAGACGGGAGACGGCAATTCAAATTTAGGGTTATGATTTTTCGGGAACAGAAAGTGAGAACGCGATTCCAATAGAGAGGAGCCACCGATTGCGGGCCTTTTCCGTGAAAGTTAATAGAACTGGCGACCTGACTTCCGGGGAGCTCGCCGTCGCCAGTGCCGGTGCCGCAACCGCCGAATTGAGTATTCATCCATAGCTAATCCCGCTGTTCGTCGAATGAATCGACCATCAAATTAAGAGTGAGACCCGTTGTGGGAGAAGCGTGCAGTACTGCAATCTCTCTGACTGAGGGATGAAGTATTAGATTTGCGTGGCGGGAACTAAATGGGCCAGCTATCCTACCTACTTGGGCTTGTCAGCTGGTGTTGATTTCCCCTAAGCTGGGCCCAACTCTGGTATTTGTATCTACAAATGCCTCTGTACTCTCGCCCTCCTTTTAATAATAGTGTCGATTTCCCTCTAATTCACTCGATAGTGTCACTGATCAACCCATTATTTTTTAGAATAATTAGCCCATCAATTATTGGGTCCAACCAAAAAAGGACATCACTTTTAAGTTTTAATTAACATGTTACGTTAATATATGAGAGATTCTTTGGTCCGGGATTAATATGTTCACTTATTTATTAAAAACTAATCCGGACTCCAACTAAAAAAGGACATCCCTTTTAATTAACATGCTATGTTATATATGAACTTATTTACTATACTTGAAAGTATTGATTTTTGCATATACAATTTTAATTTGTGTTATAACGGTGAAGGATAAGTTCACTTTGTATCACAAAGTAATTTGGGTTGTATCGTAAATGAATTTGTCTAAAAAGATATTGGTACAAACTAAATTTGTATCATAACATCAATGGTACAAGTTCAGTTTGTACTAAAAGAAATTTGTACGAAAATGCATAAACACAAACTAAATTTGACTATAACGTTAAAGGTACAAGTTTAATTTATACTATAAATATATTCTCTTTTTTTTTTAAAATGAAACAACCAATGGTATGAAACATATTCCTCTATATATATATTTGTTAAAACTATTATTAGCATATGGTTTTATAGTATCCATTGAGGTAATTTAGCTTATTGTTAGTTTATTAACAGATTAGGTGTATAATTCAAGGTGCATAACGACTCCTTATTACTATTTGATTAATCATCTTTAGTTTTTTCTAATTGAAATTATAAAATTTTAACAAAAAATCAAATTAATTATATTAATAAAATTATATTAATAAAATGTTATTCTAGCATCATGTACAACAGGATTCATGAACTATCATATCTTTTATAATGGTATCCGATCTATGCAGCGATTCCTAATCATATCCCCATAAATTTTTCGTTGTATTATTAGAAAAATGGGTCTCACCTTGCTGATTGATTCATAACTTACAAATTGGGCAATAAAATATGCAAGTATTAAGAAAAAACAGGAACATATCTATTGGAGAGTAGTCAACCCTAAAGGTTATTCATTAAGTTTTCATCATACATTATAAAATTTGTGTTGATCCATGGGTTGATTATCTGAGAAGGAACAAATTTCATTAAATGTTCATGAGACAGTAATTTATATTGCATGTAATATTTAGTGTTTTCAAATATTTTACTATTAAAGATTGGGTTCCAATGAGAAATAAAAGAAAAAGAGAAGGAACAACATATTTTGAAGATAAAGATTTCGTTAAGGAAAGCAAATTCATGTAATTGGTGCAGATGTTGGTGCTTTAGAGGGCGGAGGCTGAGAGACCAAATGAGATTCAAAATTAAATTTGTACTAATTTTTTATAGCTAGAGAAAATAGTGTGGGCTCACTAAATTTTTAGGAATCGATTTTCTTGGATGGCTTTTGTTTTTTACTTTTAGTCAGGATTTTAGTCAATAAATCTGGTTAGCATAGTAAAAATTATACGAGCATTATATTCTCAGTAATGAAATGATTTGAAATTCGTATGGTATGAAATAAAACATGTCCCATTCCGAATAATTACTACAATTCTGATGAAATTCATCCGACCAACGGGCGGGCCCAAATCTAGTTAATCATAATTCATAAGCATCTTCTCAATAGTAAATAAATAATTTGGATTTATTTAATTCTGCTGGTACACAAATGCGAAGTTAAGATTAAGACGACATACATATATTCGAGAACAAAATAAAAGTAAAGATAAATTGAATTTCGAAGACAACAGTTGATGGGGATAATGTAGAGTTGACGAATGACGTCGAACATCTCTGCGCTTTTTCCAGTTCTTCAAAGAGTGTAGTGCTGGTTCATGGAGTCGATATCGTAGCCCTTCAGCTTGGCAAACGACTCCACTCTTCCTTTGAGCGTGTGAAGCTCCCTCATCCTCGCGATCTCAGCACGTTTCCTGGCTTCCTCAGCCATGAGACTGATCTCTCTGTAAGTGCTCTTGTCCGAGAAGATTTTCATGTCGGAATCGCTCTGCAGGCCATGAAGAGTCCTTTGCTCCGTCGCCCATGCCGCTTCCCTCTCTTCCCTCCCGAAGTCCTTCTTGTTGGTGAACGCAGTCTGCAGAAAGAAGTTTGCCAAAGCGAAAATGTCAGTTAAAATTTTTCATTGATTCTGAAGCAGTTAGTTGAATTGGGTTAGGAAATGTCATTTCATCATTACTAATATTACCCTTTTGTCCACAACCAGTCCCCAAGCTCTGCCGCTGAGAGCGTACATGACGATGAATTTGATGGGATCGAGGAGCACGTAAGTGACGGCGTTGAAAGCCCATATGGCTCCAGTCCACTTCCATCCAATGCTTCGGATTCCAGCGAATTTCCAGTTTGCTTCTGCAGAGATCACGGTTGCAATCTGCAACAACTCGGGAGAGTTTTGAGTTATTGTGTTGTGATTGTTAAGTGTGACATTGGAAGAGCAAGTGGATTTTTTGAGATTTTACCAGTTGGGCGACTAGGAAGGCGAAGACGAGCAGGAAGCCGGGGCGTTCCTGGAAAGACCATCCCCTGGAGCGGGTGACAAAGATCAAAGCTTGGCTGATGGTGCTAATCTGGAGATACAATGCTGAGGCTAATTGCTGGTTGAGTTGATCAGCAACTGCTTTGTTTGTAAGGTCGTAGTCGTCCTGCTGGAAGCTCGTTACGTGGAAGTATTTCTGTTGAAGGGTGGAAGAGAAGAGAGGGGAAATGGTTCATTCAATCTTCTAGTGGATGATCATGAGAGGAAAAAGCACAGATTGTTTTGTTCTTACTGTGAAGAAGTTGGTCTCGTAAGCCAGCCAGAAGAAGGCGACGGTCATGAGTGCTAAGTAGCCACCAAGGACGACGCCAGTGGCGAAAATCTCACTCAACCTCCAGCTATCAGGTACGGGTGATGGCTTTACTCTGTCCTTGGATATGGTCATGATTGTTCCTGCAACCCGAAACAGAAAACCCGCTTCAAAACTTGTAGCAACTAAGGTAACAGCTTTTATATGCTGCAATTCAAAGAACAAGGAAGTGGGAAATGAAAGGAAGCTGACCATCGTTGAGAATGGCTATGACTAGGACCATGAAAGGTGGGAAGTCGAACTTCCAGAAGCAAGTCAGCATCAAGAATCCAAAGACGATACGGATGGTGATGGACACAGCATAAATCTGGAAGCAAGAAAGCGCATACCACGAAAGTAGGACGGTGTTAATATTTGTTTTTGAAGTTGTACAATGCCATCACAGGGAGGGGTTTACTTACAGTGTAATTCTTCATTCTCTGGAAGATGGATCGGCTGGTCAGCACAGCGCTGATGATGACACTAAGACCAGGCTCTGTCAAGACAATATCAGAAGCACCTCTCGCAGCATCAGTTGAATCCGCCACTGCAATACCAATGTCTGCTTTCTTCAAGGCAGGGGCATCATTCACTCCATCTCCAGTCATTCCACAAATGTGCTTTCTGCCTTGAAGTCTCCTCACAATCTCGTACTTATGTTCTGCCATATAATGTCAAAAGGTGTCTCACGGAATTGTTGGGATCACAGACCTTGAAATGGAAACGAAAAGGGGTTGGATGTTGTTTTGTTACCAGGGAACACTCCGGCAAAGCCATCAGCTTTCTCAATGAGCTCATCGATGGGAAGAGACCCAGTTGCTTCGTTTCCACCCTCCGTAAGCAGGGACGAAGATGGGTACATATTTGTTCCCATTCCAAGCCTTCTTCCTGTCTCCTTGCCAATGGCAAGCTGATCACCTGTAATCATCTTAACACTGACACCTAAATCCAAAGCTCTCCTGATTGTTTCAGCACTGTCGTGGCGAGGAGGGTCGAAGAGGGGGAGAAGGCCAACAAATTCCCACGGTCCTCCGGCGCTGTCCTTATTCCCATCTGGAACTTGCTGAAATGGGAAAGAAAAAGAGTTTTTTTCAGTGTTTCAGAATGATGGCTGGCATTGAAATGGAGCCTTGTATAATATGAGTCACGAGTGATGATGCTACACATCAGAAGTTCACCTGGCGAGCAACTCCAAGAGATCTTAATCCGCGTTCTGCAAATTTGTCAATGATTGAATGGACCTTGTTTGCGATTTCTTTTTTGTTATGTGCCAGGTTGAGAATCTGAATGTAACACCAAGAAGAGGTCAAATTTCTTAATAGAGTGAAAGCGAATACTTCTTCGTGTAATATCGAAGTTCTGATTCTGTACCTGTTCTGGTGCACCTTTGCTGACTCTGTGCATTTTACCTTCGCCGTCCAAGTATGTGAGGGCAGTCCTCTTGTCAGTTGGGTTAAAGGGGAGGAAGTGAATTTCTCTAATGCCGGCTCGTGCCTTCAAAAGGTAAGCCATTGTAATTTGTAAAGTGAAAAACTAGAAATTTCCATTCTGAAGGAGAGATGATATGTTCAGGTGGAAAAAAGAGAGTACCTCCTTAGGGTCTCCTAACATGTTAACAATTGCAGTATCAATGGCGTCTTGGTTCTCAAGCCTTGATGCTCTGGCAGCCATCAGCACGACCAAATCCTTGTCAACACCCCTGGCGAAAACCTAATGATCATGAAGGCAGGCTATTAGCTACTCTGCAATCCAGGTCAGGTATCGAGAAGAGCATTCCATTCACTTACCTCAACCATAGTTTTGTCCACTGTTAGTTTGTTGAGTGTCAATGTGCCTGTTTTGTCACTGCAAAGAACATCCATTCCTGCCATTTCTTCAATAGCTGTCATTCTTTTCGTTATGGCACCCTGTGGAACAATTTCCAAGCTCACTGTAAATCACCCAAGTTTTGCACTTATTGCGACTAAATATTAGTGCCGAAGATGAACTGGCCATTACCTGCTGAGACAGGCGATGTGATCCGATGGCCATAGTGACTGAAAGAACGGTTGGCATGGCAATTGGGATCCCACCGATTAGGAGAACTAGTAGATTATCAATCCCAACTCGGTACGCTCTCTTTTGTAGGCCATAAATCACCACGATTTCGATCACCATACCAACAGCAATTGAGCAAATGCAGAAGTTTCCAATTGCTGTCAAAACCTGAATCATGTGCAGTGGTACCAACTCGATTAGTGATCTAGGCAAACATAAAACGGGTTTCCTTCCTAATTTTATACTTCCAAAAGCCAAAACGAACCTTTTGGAAATGGCCAACATTGTTTGTGCTGTCAACAAGATGAGCTGCTTTCCCGAAGAATGTGTGAACTCCAGTAGCAATCACTACACCTTCTATTTCGCCTTGCTTGCAGGTTGAGCCAGAGTATACTCCATCTCCAGGACTTTTGGTCACAGGTAGAGACTCTCCAGTCAAAGCAGCCTGTAAGATTTTGCCACATGTGTTCCCAAAACAAGATTGCTTAGGAAGCACGCAAATTTCTTGAGCTCTAGACAATTGCAAACAAAACTAACCTGATCAATCTTTAAGGGATCTCCTTCGAGAAGGCGGGCGTCAGCAGGAATGATATCACCAAGCTTGATGCTGACAATGTCTCCAGGCACCAAAACAGCAGCATCTTCCTCACTCCATCTACCATTTCGAAGGACCTTGGCCTTTGGCGCCAGCCGAGCCATGAGAGCAGCAGCTGCATTACCAGCGTTGTTTTCCTCTATGAAACTGATAGTGGAGTTGATTATGAGCAGCACTATGATGCCAACGAAATCATGGTAATCTGCACTCTTCCCCTGCATTTACCCAGATTACAAATTCCCTCGATCAAAATTTCTCTGTCTGTCAAGAACATGTTCAGCAAAGGGAAAAAGAAAGGAACTTTGAAAGACATACCCCTCCATGGGCAAGAGTAATGGCCATGAGAGCGGCAGCTTCCATGACCCATGAAAGAGGATTCCACATAAACCCCAAGAACTTGAGGAATTTGTTTTCAGTCTTCTCTTCAAGCTTGTTATATCCAAACAGCTCCAACCGCTCTTGAACTTCGTCAGAGCTCAGACCTTCTCTTGTGCATTTGAGATGCTCAAAGACTTCTTCCATTGGTGCATTTTCCTGTCGAAGGATCAAAAGGTCAGCCAAATACATAGACGGGCGAAAAGAAAGCGATTATTGTACATTGTACAAAGTAAGTTAGCAGATCTTGTTCATTCACGTACCAGATCGACCGATTCTTTCATAACTGCATCAAGTGACTGGACACCCATTATGTCTTCCCTTTCCGGGCTATAGCTATTCGATTGAAAAGAAAGCAGCAGATAGCTCCTGGATTGCCTTCTTCCAAAGAACTTGCTGTTTGAACTACTTTAAATTTTCAGAGGAAGGAAAACTTAAATCAGAGGAAACACAGGAAGATGATCAATGATTGGTGGGTTGAGGATGAAGAGAGATTGTGGGAACTCTACTATATATATGAAAACAGAATGGCAGAAGGGAACAAATGAAAGAATGATTTTTTAGAGGACAGAGAGAAGACAATGATAAGAAGTAGGAGACCGAAAAGAGAAGGGTCTTTAGTTTGGCAACTATTGCGGCTAACTGGTGGAATTAAGCTCTATTTTGGAAAATGGACAGCTTTATGAACATTCTTTTTTCTTGCTTAAGAAGATCCGCCATGGGGCCTTAGTGTCTGTGGCCATCAGGGAGATGCTCTTCCCTGTAAGCCTGCCCCCAGCAGCATGCTACCTTCAGTCCTCTTCGAACTGTAAAAAGAATCGTCATATCTCCGTCGCAGCCAGTGTTCTCGTTCACACTGTGGGAACTAATAACAGCTGCAATCCGAGGATATAGGTAGGCACCAACGCAGCAGCGGAGGCTTTTCCACCGCGAATTGACAAGACCATGTCAGCTGCTGTCCTTTGTTGCTTGATTATGAATTGCAAAGTAAAATATCAAAACTACTTTCTAGCAGCCCTAGATTGCTGCTACAAGCAGCGTGAATGAATCACGCCCTTTTTTGCATCGCTGTGTGCTGTTGGGAAATAAGATTTAGTAGAAAAGGCACTCATTGTGCTGGAAGAGAACAAAAAAGAACCCAAAACGTACATCTATTATAAAGTTCTTTTCTGGCACATTTCATGATTTCCCTGTCAATCAATCCAATTTCCCAAAGCTTCATTCAAAAGAAAAGAATTTATGACAACTCAAATGGACTTCTTTTACACAGATTTGCAGAGAGCAATTCGTTCCCATTCTTTACCACTCTTTACTAAATTCATACACGGCCTCAACAAGGGAAACGAACTTGTCAATGCTACTCTTAAACTTTTTCGATCAATTCGTTGAATTCTATTAGCTCAAACTGGTTTTTTTTTTTTTTTTTTTACGATAGCTCAAGCTTGTAAGTTGTAAATGCTGCCAGGAAACCATAAAAACATAGTCTTACTACATTCGTCTAAACTTAGACTACTCCCCCAAAATAGAAGCAGCAGTAGAGCAGCAAACAGAGCCTATGAAGTAAGAGTTGAAATTCCTGTAATTCACTCTCCATACCAGGTTTACCCCATAGATGCAGACAGATGTCAACCCTGAAGGTGATGATGAGAGCTGCACCACATCTCCGAGCTTTTTCATGCACCATGCAACAATGCTCTTTCGACAAAGTAGAGACCAAAGCACACCATACAGCTCTCGAAATTCTTCCTCTAGCACTAACTTGATTCGCCAAAGCATACGGAGCTGCCAGATTTTCAAGCCACTCAACCCTAATTGCAATGTCAGCAATTTGAACAAACAGACTGGACGAAACTTCTTTGAAATTCACAGCTAAAGAACAAGTGTTCTCTTGATTCATCTCTAACTTCGAATAGCACATATGGGGAATCCAGTTGGAGAAATCATTTTTTCCCTCCAAACTGTACCCTTCCCTTAAGCCCTCTCTGTCATCTCTAGTTCCATCAGATAAATCAGTTGGTCTTTCTCCCACCTGGTCAACGTAACATCACCACCTTGGAGTTCCATGGAGACCACAAACTGCATTGCCGACCTCACCCTATCATATGGTCGCTTGCCTAACTTTTCAATCACCCTGTGATTTGATACATATGCACCAGCGGAGTTCCAGCAAACATCCACATAATGATCCTCATTGAGACTGTATGAAGAAGTCTTCTTTACGTTAGGGTATTATCCTAAATCAGCACGTTTTTGCACGAGCTGGATTCATGATCCTGATGAGCTTAGCTCACTGACTAGCTGCTTAATCACAGTGCTGTCATTGCAGATTCAACGTATGTAAGTAGGCAAAGCAGCAAACCCACCGTTCGAAAAGTTACCACAGTCCTGTTGTGTTCTTGAAACAACTTTCCTTGGCTGCAACAGGGTAACACATAGCAATCTGACATGAGTGAGCACCTGAGCAGGAATGTACTATCATCCCATCAATATCCATTTATATTACTAAAAACTAACTCATTTCCCATTAAATCTACATTTCATAAAACCTTACGAAACACTTCCCTCAAACTTCTACTTCTACTTTTAAAAAGGTAACTTTTTCCAGAAAAGCTAAAATAGACTTGATCATTACCTTTTACATAGCCCTGTTCGCACCCACAGACATAAGTGGCTTGGGAGGGGAGAGTGATCTGATCTCAGGCGCAGAACTAGGGAATAGTATGTTGAGTTTGTGCATGAGTATGTCAGCCCTTGACGGAATCTCATTCACCAGAAACTGCTGTACAATGGGCTTCTTAAACCACTCCATCACCCCATCCCCTGGCGCTCTTAGTACCACCTTACTCACCTCAAAGGGTGACTCCAACCCACTCAGCATCTGAGCCACCACAATCTTCAGAGTCGGCCCCGTGACCAATTTGATGCGTCGCGGTATCACCCCATAGTACAGCATCCGCTTCCTGAACCTATGGAGTGTGTGCACAACTGCTATCAGAGCGGCCCCCACTGAGAGGTTCCTCACATCCAGTGACCAAGCGATGTGCTGATCAAACACAATGGCCTTTGGAAACAACTTGTTCTCATAAGCCACTTTCCAAACACATCTCGCTCGGTTAATCTGTCCCATCAGGACCAAGTAATTGAGCAGAACATTCACATAGTACCTCGCCGCTCCTTCCTCCAACTCATAGTCTATTCCTTGAAAGAACTCCCTGACAAAGGACAGCACTGGTTGTTTCCTCTGTTCAGGGCCGGTGAACAGCCCACACATAAACTCATGGGCCCTGTGCCTCGTACTGCCCAAAATTGACATAAGATGCCTCTCCTTATGCTCATCTTGGCACCGAACAAGATGGGCTAGTATAGAAGTATAAAGGATTAGATCCACTTTAGCAGCAGAGTTTATGTAAGTCTCAATCAGTGGCTTGGCCTGTTCATACAAACCATTCTTCATACAAGACTCAAAGAGCTGTCTGATTATGAAGTTATTCGTTCTAATCCCAGAAGATCCCATGAAACGCAGCCACCTCAGAGCAAGGTCAACTGAACCATCCCTTATGTACACCATTAGAACATCACTGGCACTGACGTCAACAGAGAACCCCATACTTTTCATTTCCAGTAAGATTTTGGCCGCCACATCAACGAGTTTTTTATTGGCTAAAAGGGTTAGAAGGGAAGTGTAGGTGCTCAAACCTGGTCTAAGGCCTGCACTAGTCATTGAGTGATACAGCCTCATGGAAGAATCTACTTGTCCAGAAGCAGCATGCATCTCCAGAAGACAGGAATATGTTGATGGGGTTGGTAGAAACCCAGCTTTTTCCATATCGCTGAAAATGGACATTGCAATGTCCAGCTTCCCGGACTTTGCATGGGACTCAATTATCAATGTATACAAGCCGAAGTTAGGCCTGAAACCCGTCAACTTCATCTCATCCCATAGCCGCAGAGCTCTATCTAGCTTCCCAGACTTGGTGTATGATTCTATCAATGAGACAAACATGGTCGCAGAAGGCCTGTGTCCAAAACCCTGCATTTCCATGTAAATTTTCATGGATGTGTCCAACCTCCCTGCTTTGCCCATGGAATCAACGAGGGCTGAGAAAATCCCAAAGCTTGGTTGAATTTTCCTTTCCTTCATCTGTTGAAACAACTGATTAGCTGCATCAAGCCTTCCTGATTTTGCCAAGCTTGGTATCATCATCTCATACGTTGACCTATCGAGAGAAGCATTTGCTGCTTCCATGCTCTCATATATCTCAAATGCTTTGTACGGCAGACCCTTGTTCAAAAACAGAGTTATCAAAGCGTTATATGTCTGTGTATCAATCTTACAGCCCGAATCCTGAACTTTCTTGAAACAATAAAATGACACCTCCAGCTTTTCAGCTTTAGCCAAATGCTGGATTACCCTATTGTGCGCACCAAACGAAGAAGGAACCTGAGCTTCACTTGAATCTCGAACCAGCTCATCAAACAACAACTGAATGGCATCAAAATCTCTGCTTCGATTCAGCCCGTCAAACAACATGACATAGCACTCGTCACTGGGCACATACCATGGCTTCCTCTTACCCCATTTGAACAAACTCAACAATGCACCAGGATCATCAATGAGTTTCATGGCTTGAATGACGTGGGTCATGGTCGGCACGAATTGCAGATTGTCCAGTTGGGTTTCCAATTCAGGACCCCATCTCCATCTCTTCGCAACCTCAACAATTTTGGCCACTGCAGAAGCGTTGAGGATCGGCTTCTTCAGCCCACCAATCATCACATGGTCGTCGATTCCAGGTTCCACTGCCCGCACCCCTTTCCCGGCATAAATTACACTGCCGGACTCATCCAAATACTCAATCTCCTCCGTCCAGGCACCACCATCCCCGCCGCTGCTCGCTCCTGAGCAGAAATGTCTCGCGAACTTGGGATCCCGAACCAGAAGGGAAGAAGTAGCTGCTGTTGCATAGCGATGAACGAAACTGGCGAACAGAAGGCGGGAGATAGAGCTGATCGCCGGGGGGGCGGAGGAGCAGGAATGGAGATTGCGAGAACTAGCGCAAGAGGATTGGAACGAAGGGGTGGAGGCGGGATTAACGGTGACTGCATAGAAACGGGTACGGCGGCATAATCGGCCGGTGGGAAGAAACATTGAACTCGGTGGAACCGAGAGCAAAAATAGCCAAAACCCTAAACCCTTTTGCAGGAGCAGAGCAGGCAGAAAGGAAGAGCCTTTCAGCAGAACTGAGAGTCTTGGAGACGAAGAAGAGGCCATTACACCTGTGCTCTTCGTGTTCCACCTTTCTTTTTCTTACCGGCGGGCTTGGGCCGCTAAGTTTAAGTGACATGTATACAGACTACAGAGCTGAAGCCCAACACAGAGCTTACATAGAACTTTACATAGACCAACTAACTATACGACGACTGATTTCAATCGACGAAACGCATAATTTCTGATGGTTCAAGAATCGAATTATAAATCAAAATTGTAGCAATGATCTATACTTACATCGATACTATCCCTTAACTATGTACTTGCAAACATGTAATTTTCATCGGCCTTCAACGATGATAGATTCAGTCAAGTCGTTGATGGACCATTTCTCCGCACTGGAAGAAGATTGAGGATAGTAGATCGCAGGATTCGGGGTCTTGTTCTGGAATGTGTACGTCGGTTTATTCGGCTGGGGGAGAGTTGTTTCACCATTAAGCATTGAGACCACGCCCGCCATTGTTGGCCTGTCAGAAGCATGGTCTTGCACGCAGAGCAGTCCAACGTTCACGCATCTGCTCACTTCCGACGGGTTGCTCGATTCGGCCACTGTCTGGTCGGCCATGTCCACTCCCCTGCTTTCGTCCCATGATCGCCATGCCTGGGGGAAGAAAAAAAACACACCTTGTTAGCATCAAGTACAAAAGATTGCTGTGAAGTTGGATCAGCAACTTTGGTTCGCACCACGCGTGCAACTTACAAAAGAAAGAAGACTGGGATGGTGCTCTTCGTAATGGAAGCTGGTAGTTTTCCTGCCACTAACGATTTCCAACACGAGTACTCCAAAGCTGAACACGTCAGATTTCTCCGAGAACATCCCGGCCAGTAAGTACTCCGGCGACATGTACCCCCTTCAAATTTGAGATCAAACGCAATGAAGATCAGTAACTATGTTGCAGCATCAGCTGGGAATGGTAAAAGAGAAGAAGTGTTCTAGGGCAAGAGTCTACTTACAATGTTCCCACTACCCTGTGAGTACTAGTCAAATCCTGTGTCCCCTCGAAATTCCTGGCTAACCCGAAATCCGATATCTTTGGGTTCATCTTCTCGTCGAGAAGAATGTTGCTGACCTTCAAATCTCTGTGTATGATTCTCAAACACGAGTCGCGGTGGAGATACAGAAGCCCTCGAGCAATTCCGTGTATGATGTTGAAACGTTTTGGCCAGTCCAGCTCCGCCTTCTTCGTTGAATCTAAGCCGACAATCGAGATCAACCAACGGTAAAAAGAACATGAGAGAAGAAACTCTCAGATCACCAGCAAAACGAAGCACAAAAGGGAGAGTAGAGCAAGAAACCAACCAAAGAGGTAACAGTCCAAGCTTTTATTGGGCATATACTCATAGATCAAGATCTTTTCCAGATTGTCAATGCAGCAACCCACCAGTCTCACGAGATTCCTGTGTTGCAGTTTAGATATCAACATGATTTCGTTCTTGAATTCATCTGCGCCCTGTCCTGAGCTGCTCGAGAGCCTTTTGATCGCCACAACCTTCCCATCCGGTAGCTTGGCCTGTGCATTGGACGAAGGTTATCAGCCTTTCAGCCATCAAAGGATCTGATACAATGTCTTAACAATTTGTCGCAATAGCTCAACTTGTAAGGAGCAGTCTGTAGAATGAATCATGTACCTTATAAACAGGACCAAAGCCTCCTCGGCCAAGCAAGTTTTCTGTGTTGAAACTGTCTGTCGCTGTCTCAATGCTCTCCAAATCAAACATGGGCAGCTCCAATGACTCGTCCAGCTCGTCTGGGTAACCCTTAGGCACATATGTAAGCCGTTTCGAAGGTGCACTCGAGTTGTCAGTTCCACCTACAAGAACCACATTACAGTACTATCACTCTCAAAAAGAGCTTCAAGGCCCATCAAAAAAATTCAAGCATAACCTTTATGACAGAATCTTGTAATCAAAGCTGATTAATTACGTACCCTTCGTTGTATTTACCCTTCTTTTCCTCCACATTATCAAACCCAAAACCAAAGCAGCAATGACAAGGGTTCCCAGAATAGTGGGTAGTAAAACGATCAGCCTTGCAGACTGCTTCTTCCCGTCAGCTGAGAAAGAAAAAGGAAGTAAAGCAGCAATCTTTAGCAGATGAAATCCCAAAATCATTCAACGAACGAATGTGCGGTTTATAGTTAACTGGCTGGCTTAACCGATCCCTGATGCTCACCTAAATCTGTACTTGCTAGACGAAGATACAAATCCTGCCCAGCAAACTCCAGCTCCTGCAAATCCACAACCTTCTCTGTCCACATTAAACACCCGATCCCATTCACATACGAATACGCAGTGCATGAACAGTTGTTCAGGCACTGCCTCGAGCATTCGCCATTGTCCCAAACCCTCATGAACTCTGAAGAATCAGGAACATTCACTCCACTCAACTTCAAAAACCCAACTCCAGTACTACTCACATTACTCGTCCCACATAACAACTCGGTCCTTCTTATGCAACCTCCAGACCAGTTCCCTTGCCTCCATTCCTCCTCCGATTTCGGTACAAATCCTTTCAAGCAGTTGCAAACCAAAGGATCATTCCTCTCACAGACACCAAACTCCCCACATGAACCATAATTCTCACATTGAGATTTAGGAGTCCGCCACCTAACATACCAACCTCTAATACTATCCCAACACCTCAATTCCAGAGATCCTGATGAAGACATTACAAATGTTGTATAAGTGCAGTTTCTAGGTGGACGTAAGGAGAGATAAACCAAACCCTGATCTAGATCGTTGAGCAGTGTGAGTGAGCTCTGGAAATCGGTGTCCATGTCTGGGATATTGGTAAACCTTGCTCTGTCCCAAGGACCGGACCTCCAATACGTCGTTTGGTTCCTCCGTATGATCGCCTGCGGCGGGGTTTGGAGGAGGAATCCGGCCGTGAATTCGCCGGGGGAAGGATCGGCGGCAGATTTCCATGAGTTGAGGCGGAACGGTTCAGCCGTCGGGTTGCTGGCGTTGAACATTAGCCAACTCCCCTCGATGAGCGTGTCGCCGGAGTGATCGCCGCTCCGCCATAAATTCTGCCCCGTCGAACTGTCCCTCAACACCAAGTTGCCGTCTTCTTGAAGCGAAGCGATTGCTGCAGAAGTAGAAACATTGGTCGACCAAATACGACGCCGCCTCCCATCTTGTAGCTCCAAATTCCCGCCGGCGTTAATGATTAGCCTCGCCGCGGAATCCGTCACCGGGGTTTCCCGATTGGCTACCCAAACAATCGCCTGGGGAGAAGTTTGCTTGAATCGAATCCCTAAATAGCGGTTTTCCGAGCTGTTATCCGGAGCGAAAAACCCCAATTCGAAAGTCTGGTTGGGGGAGATGAGGGTTTGGTTAGGGAAGAGTGGAGAAGAAGAAGTCAGGTTAGCGAGGGAATCGGAGAAGCAAAGAAACAGAGCAAAGAAGAAGAACCCAAATCGACCCATTCGAATTGGAAAGAACCCTACTGAGAAAGATCGAAGCTTGGTGTACCACCATAAATGGCGACTCGTTGAGTGGATGTGCGTCAGTCAATAGGGAAAAAGCGTAATATTCAACGAGGGAACTTGCTTGTCCATTTCTGGGTCGACGAAGGTCATCAATTGAGGTCGGAGGAAAAGGACGGGTAAATGGGAAAACGAAATTGTGGTGTTGACTTGGGGGTCGTCTTCCTCGTCGTCGCCCGCCATTTCATTCAGTCAAGCCAAGATGTCACGTTGTACGGGATTAGCTGAACCTTGTATTCTCTGATAAACTTCGAGCCCACCCAAAAGCCGAGCACGAGGGCGCGGTCGCCATCCTCATCCGTGAAGGGAGTCTTGGAGAGCTGCGCGTCGGGCGTTGTGTTTGCTTCTAGGCGTCGACGAAGCTTTTCAACGCGGTAGTTTGTTGTTTTCTTGGGCTTTGGATTTTCTGTTGGAACTTTTTCTCTCGTAGTTCTTTGTTTTAGGTAGTCCTAACTTGGCGGGAACGTGAGGATTAATATATTTAGTAATTAGTTTAATCTTAGTTCAGTAGAGCAATTTTTATGATTGCTTTATAGTGTTTGTCTTTTGGTTTAAGAAGAAAAACTGAATTTGCATCTCTAACCTTCTAGTAAAATTCAGTTTGTATTTATATTTTTTTATAATTTTTTATGATATAAACTGAATTTGTACTTTTTGTTATGGTACAAACTGAATTCGTATATTTATGTTGGGCACAGGTAAATGGTTATCCTATTAGCGGTGTGACCGATAACCTAATCGGAGTCGATGAGTAACAGTTACATTGATAACTGATTAAACGATAAATAATTGGTTCCCGCTAGCCGATTAATCTTTTCTCTAAGAAAAGAGAGGATCTTTGATGGCGAAGAATGTTTTTTTTTTTTGTATTATTAGGCATAAGCCAGAGTGGGGAAATAGGTTACAGACGAGGGATGAAGGTTGATGTGAAAATTCAACTTAAACGCTCACATGCGCTTTGGAGGATTTGACATTATTTTGATCAGTGTACTATAACCTAATAAGGCGAGACTATGACAAAAACGGGTACTAATCTTTAAAAGTTTATAATCGTTTAGATATAGATTAATCTGTCTAGTATGACAAATTACCACATCATCAATGGGTCTAAACTCATCGCAAGATGTTTTAGCTTGGGCCCAAACACACTCAAGGAGGCCCCAAACCCTATATAAGAAGGGTTAAGCCCTCCAAGCAAAGATTTCTCTTCCACTTCCTCCGCTTGACCACTCAAGGTCAATCTATAAACTCTCTCTCTACATTCACATATACCATTATCCATATCTCGTAATAACTTGGGCGTCTGAGCATAGATTACTGAGCCGACCCTCTCCTCTCTACAGATACCTCACCTCCAGATAAGATCGAACAAGTGAGTGCATATAAGAGCCCCAAATATTACTGTTATTTGCCAAGGGTATATCATAGTTTAAAACATTTGGCGCACTCATGCCTTCAACCTCCGGACTAGACTGGAAGACTCAAGCCTTATGCCCCTGGGCAATACTTGGAGACTCATGCCTCTGGCCTCTAGGGTGGGGCAGATAATTCAAATTGACCCGTTTTAAATGACTCGTTTTGTAAAATGAGACAATCGGCCAAATTATATAGTTTTTTAATTGATCCATCCAAACGACCTCTTAATCTATTGGTTAAATGTGAAAGTCATAATAATGATTTGAACTCATAGGTTGCAAGTTTGAATATTGATGATGATGATGAGTGATGAATATATGCTTATTTAGTTTTGGCTTAATGGAATTTATTTAAAAAAATAAATGATTAAAATGACATGGAAATTTGTGGATCATACTAAATCATATGTGACAGAAATTGTTCTAAGACAATCATAATATAAGTCAAATTAGATAATTAAAAAAATGAAAAGAAATTGGTAGTACACACAATCTAATACAAATCATCAAGGCTCCACTGCATGAAGCTAAAATGGTTAAAACTCCAACAACATGAACGTTATGTATTTGAAAATAATACAACTTTGAATTAACGAATCGGTCCTATGTTTGCACCTACATGAATTTTGTTCTCTGGTAGTAATTCAACTTCCTTGATTCGGAGGTCATAATGGATTTCTTTGGGTACAAAATTGTTTATACTCTATCGTCTCAACTACTTGCGGGAAAGAATGTGGTTAAATTTGTGTATTATGCGCGTACCAATTTTAAGCGTAATGACGATACTCGTTCAGTCTTTCAATAAACTTTGAGAAAAATATGAATATGACGTGTTTGTGTCCTATGTTCATCACATTGTCCCTTCGACTGACAATCAGACACAAACTGGAAAAGGTCGTAGGAAGGAATCAGTGGGCAATATTGCATCCGGTGTGAAGATAGATATCTCTATTGCAGCCATGTTCTTCCTCTGATGTCCAAGTACTGGTTGACCTTCTTCTGCTAGCATTCTTCTGTTGATCCAGCTATCAATCAAATGAAGGATAAGATTAGAAGCCACACAGTAACAATGTCGACAGAGTGACATTAGAGAAAAGGTTCTGTGCAGCATCTTATAATCATTTGACAACTTTGTTGAAGCGCAAGACAGATCGAGAAAGGATCAAATGATTGAAGTACAAATGAACGATAAGTTCAATACCCGTTTCTTAGGAGGAGTTGCTAGCTGCTCCGCTGCTCTGAAACCAAACAATGGAGGCTTCCATCATACTTACCTCGCAGTTCATCGTACCTTGGAAGAATCATAGTAGGCAAACAGTCATCCAATCGAGGCTGGAACACCCTCCAAAGAGACTCGCGACGACGACATCTCACTCGATCAAAGAGCTCTAGCTCGCCCTTCCTCAGATTACACCAGAAGACAGAGGACCCATTTCCCCCACGATGGAGAATCTCCAAGAAGACAATTTCGGAATCTTCGGGATGCAGAACCAGTGCACAACACTCGGATTCTCGAAATTCCTCGCAATTCGATGTATCGAGCAGCACGTCGTGATACTGTCTCCTCCAAAACTGACGGTTTCGCCCCAGCCTCCATAGGGTCAATGTGCTCCTCCGACCACAGTTTCTGAGTATGATGACGTGCAGAGCACCTTGCGAGATCGAAATATCCCAAAATTTAGCAGCCAGCCTGGTGGATTCATCATCAAAACAAGAAGAATCACGGATTCGAGCCGGAGGGGATTCAAGGCTGAACGCATCGAACGCATCGACCACGCAGCGATCGTCAATGCCAGGACGACCGGGCCAAAACAACTCCCCGTTGCACGAAACTACATTTCTCGAGCACGGCCCTACATCAGGTTTGAGAACACAAACCTTCTCCAACCATTCCCCCGACTCCGAAGAGAAAACATCGAACACAGTAGGATTCCGCCAGTACGGCTTCCACTGATGCATCAACACGACCCGGAATTCGTAGTCGTGGAAATAAGTAAACGATTTCCCCCCTCCTAGGTCAAAAGCAATCGATTTGCTGCTGCGCCGCGCAACCACTCTGAGGTTCAGCGGCTTCCTAGGCGCTAAAGGAAGAGCGATCCACTGCTTCGAAAACGGATTGCAGATCAAGTAAGAATGCGAGCAGTACCCACCATTGATCTTGTCGGGGAACCCGCACAGAAGCAAGTCCTTGAAGGAATCGAGGACCCGGAAACGGCGTCGGATTTTGGGAGGCAGGGGTGGGAGAAAGCAGAGGATGGATTTCAACGGGGCGGCGGCGTCCGATGAGGCGATGAAAAAATTGTCGTCCTCGGTTTTGGTTCTGAGCGAGACGAAGCGGCGATTGAATTGGGTGGTGGAGATGAGGGAGTTCCACCGCTTGCAGACGGGTTTGCATCGGCAGGCGGATCTAGGGTTTGGGAGGCGGATCAGGATTTCGACCAGGACATCGTCTACGAGTTTGGCGACGACGGGTTCTGGGTTTGCTACTTCGGAATTGAGCATGACTCGTCTGCGTTTTCTCACAGCGGAGTTGCAATTCCTGATCGCCATGGCGGCGTTGGGGCAAAACGAGGCCGCCGGAAACGAAGAAAAGAAGAGATCGGCAAAGCCCTAATAATGTCCTTTCATTTAGACGGCGGATGCTATTCCTCCCAAGATTGTTAATGTAAGGCAAAATACAACTCCATAGCCATAACTATTCGCATTGTGACAATAATAGCCACATTTTGGAAAATACACAGATATAGCCATTCCGTCCATAAAATTAACGGTTTTCTCATAATTGCTGACTGAACAAACGGTACTTGATGACATGGCATTTTTTTTATCAACATGGCATGCTAAGTGGAAAGCTACCCTTGTAATTTTATTAATTGAAAGAAAAAGGGTTAAAGACACATTTGGTCACTGAGATTACAAAATCGGGACATGTTTAGTCACTAGAATAAATTAATATCAAATTTGGTCACTACAATTACTAAAATAGGTCATATTGAGTCACTCTCCGTTAGTCTCCGTCCAACTCCGTTAGTGGAGTCCGTTAAGTGCTGACGTGGCTAACGGATGCGCCTAGTCAGCATCGTTTTGACCCAAAAATCATCATACCCGACCCGCCACGTCAGTTTCACCCGCCATGTCATACACCAACCCAACCATTAACCCAACCCGACCCAAAACCAAACTCAACCCACCTAACAAAAAAAAAAAAAACGCGACCTGTCCCCGCTCAGCCGCGCTCCAAACCAAAACGCCGCCGCCAAACTCAGCCGCAGCGGCAGCACTCTCCCGAAAACACCAGAAAACACCACCGATCCAACCTCTCTCTCTCTCTCTGTTCTCTCCTTGAATCTCTCTTCCTCAATTCCCTCCCTCCCCAAAATCTCTTCCCCTCTATTTCTCACCACAAGATTCGTTTCCCCCTTTTACCTTCCCACCATTTCTATTTAATCCCATCACTTCTAACAATCACCACCCATTCTTCCTTCCTCTCTCGTTTCTGAATTCTTTTTGATTCAATGGAGGACCGGGCTAAGATCTGCGAGCTCTGCGCAGGAGCGCCGGACGTTTACTGCAACTCCGACGACGCCTTCCTCTGCTTCAACTGCGACGCCAGAGTTCACCAAGCCAACTTCCTCGTCTCCCGCCACCTCCGCCTCCTGCTCTGCCGGACCTGCCGCTGCCTCACCCAGAACTCCGTTTTCGGACCCAGATCCCTTCCTCACTCCGCCGCCTGCGCCTCCTGCTCCTCGTCGGAGGTGGAGAGCGTTTCTTCGGAGCAAGAGATGGACTCGATCTCCTGCTGCTCGTCCTCCAACCCTTCCGAATCGGGGAGTTCCACTGCGAAATTCCCCATCCGCTGCGGCGAGACGGTGGACCAGCGGCAGGGACCGAGGAGCAACAACGCGCCGCCGAGATCTGGAGCCTGCGAGGGGAAGATCGGGGCCGTTTTCGCGAATTGGTGTAGGAAGGTGGGTGTGGAGGCGGATCTGGTGGAGCCGAGGGCGGTCCAGGCGATGGGATTGTTGAGCGCGGGGCGGATCGGGAGAGTGCTGCCGCTGCGGCTGAGTTTGGCGGCGGCGTTTTGGTTTGGAGCGCGGCTGAGCGGGGACAGGTCGCGTTTTTTTTTTTTGTTAGGTGGGTTGAGTTTGGTTTTGGGTCGGGTTGGGTTAATGGTTGGGTTGGTGTATGACATGGCGGGTGAAACTGACGTGGCGGGTCGGGTATGATGATTTTTGGGTCAAAACGATGCTGACTAGGCGCATCCGTTAGCCATGTCAGCACTTAACGGACTCCACTAACGGAGTTGGACGGAGACTAACGGAGAGTGACTCAATATGACCTATTTTAGTAATTGTAGTGACCAAATTTGATATTAATTTATTCTAGTGACTAAACATGTCCCGATTTTGTAATCTCAGTGACCAAATGTGTCTTTAACCCGAAAGAAAAAAGAAGATCAAAAGTCGCCCTCTTCACTATACCATTTTAGACTTTTACCCACTTTCAACTTCTCTCCCCGCAGTCGAACCCCTCCACCAAAACTCCTGATCGCCGGCCACATCCCTCCGTCGATCCACCCTCCATCCGGCCTTGGGCCGTGTTATTCCCACCAAAAACCTCTCGCCTTCCTTCTCCTGTCCAAACACTTCATCGGTGGAAATAAAGTCTCCTACATAACCAAAACCTTTTAACCCCACTAATTTCAGATTGCAACCTTAAATTGGAACAAGAACCAGTTGCAGTGATTTGTAGAGACCCAAAGGAAAGGCGAGTGAAGTGATGGCATCGGAAACGGAGACGGTCGCGACGAAGGTGAATGCAGTGGACGATGGCAGTGTCTAGGCGAGATTGGTGGGTAGAAACTTCCAATCGACTTGCTTCGTCGCGAGGTTACCGTCGCCTGAACCGACATCATCTGCCTTCGTCCTAATTGGTGGGTGGATGCAGAGGAACCTACTTCTCCTCTGTCGCCTTCTGCCACCATTCTCATTCTCATCTCCCTTCTCCCTCTGCTCATCATTCAGATCTGAGTGAAACAGATCTGCGAGAACGAGGGCCACTCGGCAGCGCAGATCGCCGATACATTGGCAGTGAAAATCATAAGAGAAACACCCTTTTCAGCGCCGTCACTAAGCATCAGGGATCCTTGCTGATCGAAACTCCAACCACCGTCAAGGAAAACGAGGAAGAATGAGGAGGAAGTAAAGAAAGCAGAGGTCTTCTCACAAATTGCCTCTGCTTCCAAATCATACAGAGGCGAAACGCAAACTGAAACGTCGCCTATCTTCTCCAGATGTGCCGCTGCCTCTTCCAATTTTCTTCATCGAGAAATCCAGAGCTTGCAGGAGAGATTGAGAGCCTTCAGGGGATAGAAGTTGATTCGCATAGAAGAAGCTAGAGCGGTGGTGGTGGAAGCTTTAGATGAAATTGGGTTCGGCAATTTCTTCTAGTTTAGATGGAATTGGGTCCGGTGGGTGGAAGCTCTAACCGTCGGGACCGCTTGAGACGATGATGGCCTATTGTGCCTCAGATCTGAAAAAGAAAAGGGGAGATTAAGGATAATTAAAAATTAAAATAATAATTTATTTCTAAGAAAATTAAATTTTGAGGTTTATATTTATTTTTTAAAATACAATGTGGCATCCACGTGGCATGAGAAGTCTAGTTGGAGATGATGTGTTGTCCAAGTGGCATCCACGTCAGTTTAACATCCACTTAACTGATGACGTCGTTGACGGTGTTAAAGTTTGTAACGGAAATGGCTAAAATTGTCAACCAAGTTTAAAAAACGTGGCTATATTTGTGTATTTTTTGAAATTTGGCTATTATTGTCACAAAGTGTATACTTATGGCTATACAAGTGTATTAAGCCTTAATGTAAATGACAATTTGACAAATGTATATTCCTTTATATATATATATATATTTTAAAGATGGGGAAATTTTATTTTTGATAATTAGGTGATAATTAATAGACTCTGAACATGTAACTTCTAGATTCAAAAAGGGTGGTAATAGTATTACAATATATATTTTTTAATTTTTAGTAATTAGGTGCTACTCTATTACAATTGTATCCTCTTTTGTAATGTAAATATTATAAGCTAGTTTGGTGTCCGACCTGTTGGTCAAAATTTCATTTTTTTTATCGTCAAAATTTCATTTGAATATAACATATTTATAATGTGTATCATAATTCATAAACTTTCAAAATTAATTGAAATATTTAATTTCATGTGACATTAAGGTGAGATCGAAATTATCTTTTAAAATTTTGAAATTCTATTAACCTTTTGTCAATGATAGAGCATTAAACTTTTAGTGGTCATAACGCTCGTGGATAACCATCCATGACCTGTCTAATTAATGATGCAGTCACTTAATCTGAAAAAGCGTCTTGCATGAGAAATAATATATATATAAATCAATATCTAAACTTTCAAGTATTAATAACAAAATTAATAAGAAAATAACTTTCTCATCCATACTCTATTTCATCAGAATATATTATTTGTCGACCAACATACTGGAAATTGAGTTGAATGAAAATCTTATTCCATCAACAAATAAAATTAAACATCCCTTGTGGTACCCACCCCGCTAATGCATATAACCACATCAATGCGTCCAATAAAAAGTCCAGCTCGACTTCATGATTTGCCTTTTACCGTGATTAGTTCATATTAAACCAAATAACTCTGAATGATACATATTAAACAATATCCAGCACGCGCTGGCGTGTGCACGCTTACCTTACCGTACGCTCGTCGAGTTTTATTATTTAAATCATGAATTAACCGGAGTTTGGGGGGTATGATACTATGCCCTAATTTCTAATGAGTGAAACACATCCCCAATTCTCTAACCCAAACCATAAATTCATTTAATCTTAAAATGAAAATCAGCGAAACTGATTCGTCAAAATCATCAAAGTACAAACCACTATTGTAATTGGTTTAACAATACTACTAGTTCGAACTGTGGTCCGACCCGGTACAATTCTTACACAAGAGTATATATTATATATGTATATTAACTACATTTTTACTTGATTTTGGTATATTACTGTTTTCTATAGCATTTTAGCATATTGTCATCGTTCGAGTCCATTCTTATTCGTGTACTCGATCGATCAGAGTGACCTTCGCAGAAACCACCTCCCAAAAGCTATTTTGGCATGTATACACTCTGTTTTTTTTATCCATACATAGTTTCCTGTTAAATTCTTCACTTCTATAGCTATTTTAGCACGCCCGGCCAAAAATTCTCCATAATTAGCTTCTTGGTGAAAACTGACGTGAAGAGGACTTTGGAACATAGGAGACCTCGAAGAAAATGCGTCCCCGCCATGATCTCAAAACCGTAACGCCAACTTATTCCCATGCAACTTCCACGAAGGAGGACTCAAAATCTTGAATCTTATTTTTAAAATGAAATATATATCCCCAGTTCGGGTTCCCCACCCAAAAATAATAATGCCTTGCACGAAGTTATAACCGCCGTGTACAACTATTCCACTCCCATATTGAACAGCTAGGTTCGACCCGATAACAAACGTCGTTGAATCGATCAAGTCGAACCTAATCGAAAGATTTCAGATCACAGTGAGGTTCAATTTGCGTTTGTTTCGAGATATTTAATTTGATTTGATTTTAACTTTTTAAATTCGTAACTCTTTTCTAATAACATTATGCGAACCATCATAGAAGCTAAGCAGCGTACAAATCGATCTAACCAGTAAATCGAACCAGCACAAATTAAATCGAATACAATTTCGTTTTTTCCAATTCTCGTCGTACGGTCCCCCAACCGGTTCGATCCAGTATCGGGCCAACCCACGCTTCTCTCTCTATATATACGCTCTCGAACATCAAACGCAAAATCGATCGAAACAATTTTTTTTCTTTTCTTTTTCTTACTAAATGGCATCCATACCTAACGGCGGCGGCAGCGGGGGAGGCCGGAGAAGGGCGGTGGCGTTCGAGGACCACTTCCCGGCGATGGTGGAGAGGCTCGGAGCGGAAGGGTTCATGGACGAGCTCCACAACGGGTTTCGCTTGCTGATGGACCCGGAGAAGGAGATGATCACGGCGGAGAGCCTGAAGAGGAACGCGGCGGCGGCGCTGGGGTTGATGGGAGAGACGACGATCACCGACGAGGAGGCGAGGTGCATGGTTAGGGAAGGGGATTTGGACGGCGACGGCGGGCTGAGCCAGCTGGAGTTCTTCAGCTTGATGTTCAGGCTCAGCCCTGACCTCATGTCGGCTTCCACCGAGTTGTTCTTCACGGCCGTCGCCGCCGCCGCCGACGAGGATGATGATGGTCGCCGTGGTGTTTTTCATGATCGACACATGAATACTTCCAAGGTTAAATATAATTAGGATTAATTAATTTCGTTCTCTCCAATTAGGATTATTGATATTTGTTGGTATGGATGCGGAACCTTAATTATCAGGGTATAATCGATTGTTCGAGACATGTGTTTGGATCGAACTGGAGTGATAGTACTGTAGTGATGGCAATTCGAATCAATTTAACGATTGTTATAACTAGCCGGGTGGATAGTACTGTAGTGATGGCAATTTGAACCCTCCTCGCGGGTATTACTCGATCTGATCCGCGATGGGGCGGGTATTATTCAACCCGCAGTAGCGTGTGGGGCGGGGAATGGGTATCGACTTCCGCACCGTGCTGCCCCGGCCGCTTCATTCTTGGCCCGTTCTAGGTCAATTTCTTACGCTATCGGTTCATATATCTCCTCTTTTGGGTTTTTTTTTCAACTAGTTAGAGTTGATATTTCAACTAGATACACACAATTACCGATTATATTATCACTATTATTCATTTATGAAGTCTTTTACCCTTTCTTCTACCCTGAGATCTTCTGTTTTCAAAACAGTTTTTTTGCATAATCTGCAAATCCGAAAAGCACTTCTAAAGATCGGGCTAAACATAGGCTATATGTACAATACAATTTACTGAGTTACGTTTTTCCTTTTCTTTTGAAAAGTGAAGTTCATTAAGAATACAACGGATCAAGTCCAGAAGAAAAGATACAACAGTGAACAATATAGATTGAAAAATCATAAGATACAAGGCCCAAAACAAAGCCCGAAATCAATAGGTCCCTAAACCAAGGGCCAAAACACATCCCTAACCCTTAACCCTAGTCACCACTGCCCTCATCTGTAATCCTCGTTGCCCTAGTCGAAACTGCTACTGCTCAACTGAACCATGATACCACCAAGCCCGGATGACAGGATTTAGAAGACAGATCTCCAAACAAACCACCCTGAGCCAATAATCTATCCGCCTCCCGTCGCTCAAACCCCAGGGAACCCTAAACAATTTGATCAATCGACCGCCGGTGGAGGAAACAGAGGGGAGACGATCTTCTGTCTTCAAACTCTAATAAAACGCGTTATAAGGGGATTTTTTTTCCGTACATAGTGTTATTGTTATGTTATATTGGTTAACGGAGTTAACTAATTAACCAACCGATGAATCGAAACACCATCTCCCAAGAGAATAGTTATATCTATATATACATTATATATAGTAAAATTAAGATCGATTACACAAGCCAGCTCAAACGAAAGCCCACTTATAAGGGGTTGAAGTTTGAAATGATTCGTAATACCATGTGATTAACACAAGTAGGGGCCATGGAGATTCAAATCCAAGACCCGTAGGTCATACAGAAAGCTCATATACCATGTTAAGTACCGATTGATCGTCCAGTAACTTGAGTTGCTGAAAGATGTTCAATTACGAATCTTGTACCACTTAAGTGAGGGAAACAACTTATATAAATCTCATAATGTTAAGTTAGTACACAATTTGAAGGGAGATTTGATTAGGAGGACAATACCATAAACAACCGCACACTGCAGAACGCTTACTTATATATATGCAACTCATGATGCGATGATTCTTAAACCTCGTAAATCAAGGCTTGCATGGCATCCATGAGCTTAACCAGCCGCTTATCCTTCTCTTGCGAGGATTTCTCCCACATGGATTCCACTTCTTTGTTTCTCTCCACCACCATAGCCAACTGCTTGTCCTTCTCTTGCACGGATTTCTCCCACAGGGATTCCACTTCCTTGTTCCCCTGCATCCATTCCCAAATAACGTACATGAATTAATATTTTCTAGTGGGTAACTATTAATATTTTCAACGTTGATAAACCTTAGGTCACGGTGCTGTTGTCATAAACCAGTTGGTCCCAATAATTCGAGTTGTTGGGAGAGGTTCAATCGTGGATCATATACCACAACACTAACACGCCCCCTCAAACGAAAGCCACTCACAAGGGCTTGAAGTTTGCACAGGTCTGAAGACAAGAATACCATGTGCTTAACAAATGGGGGTCACCGGGAATCGAACACAAGACCTCTCGGTCACAGAAGGCTCTGATACCATGTCATAAACCAGTTGGTCCCAACAACTCGAGTTATTGGGATCAACTGGTTCATGACATGGTATCAGAGCCTTTTGTTACCGAGAGGTCTTGTGTTCGATTCCCGGTGACCCCCATTTGTTAAGCACATGGTATTCTGGTATTCTTGTCTTCAGACCTGTGCAAACAACTCGAGTTATTGGGATCAACTGGTTCTTGACATTAAGAACCCAATTTGTGTCATACAGTGACACAAATAACACTAACAGCTGTCATTTTTTTCGTAGCTAGGGTTCAAATTCAAAATTTGGAGCTCGACCAATATATATGCACTAGAAGTGTGTTGTATGAAAAAAAATTAGTAAACGAAACTCATAAAAACATAACTGCAAAAATAGCAAGAAAAATCACAGAGATATTGTGGAACAGTCCTGTACTCGCAGGTCAACGAGGCTACGAATTATAGAACGTTGATCTCCATATTTGGAGGTCGGTCGATAACTATTAATTAATTAGTGAATTTACAAAGTTTTTGTGCGTTTGCAATTCGAAAGGAACAAAGAGGGAGGGGAGAAAAAAATGAAAGGACATAAAATCTAGTTTCGTCCGGTTACGCGAGGCCACTTCCGCCGCCCCTATAATTAATGGAGGCGCGAAGAGTTTTCTACGTCGCCTTCCTATTGGAACTCAAGCGCGAGAGAGAGAGACATAATTAGTTAGCGAAACTCATGAAAACATAACTAACAAAAATAGCAAGAAAAATCACAGAGATATTTGTGGAATAGTCCTGTACTCGCTGGTCAAACGAGGCTACGAATTATAGAACGTTGATCTCCATATTTGGAGGTCGATAACTATTAATTAATTAGTGAATTTGCAAAGCTATCGGCTTTAACAACAACAACAACATCATCAACAACAACAAAAAATATACGCTTAATAAATAGCGTATATATATATCGAAATATATATACCTGCATCTCCTTCTCCTTGTTCTTCAACAACAGACCTACATCCACCAACGTCTCCCCACTGCTCAGATCGCACCTGTTCCAAATCGTCGACGTGCCGATTGGCGGCTTCACGCCGTACTTGGCCCACCCGAAGTAGTCGTTGACCCGCAGCCGCTTCACCGACGGGCTGCCGACTAAGAGGAAGCAGAGCCCGTTCCGATTCGCCACGAGACAGAAATTCTGGCCGCCGTCCGATGTACCGACCAGGGTCAGGTCGTTCCACAGCTGGGTCAACTGGTTGCCCTCGATTACGACCCCGTGAACCTCAAGGGCTCTGAATTTGGAGTCGCCGGAGGGCCCCACTTTTATCGGGCTGCCCCGCCAGCGGCCGGCGTCCCAGTACCGGATGAGGTCCGGGTCGTATACGTCGCCGGTGTAGTCGATGACGTAGACGTCGACGGACGAAGAAGTGGGCCATGTACGGACGAAGTACCCGTCCGATGACATGTGGAAAACAGCCATTTTATTTATTTATTTTTGTGGTAAATTAGTGGAATTATTGTGCATGAAATATGAATGGGTTGGAGACGTTCTTGGGGATCTGCTTATAAGATGGAAGAATCGCAGTAGCTAGCCTAGCAATATAAGAATATTGCTTCTGCTGGAAGATTACTTTGGCTGCTCTTGATGCAGGGGGATCCTTCTGGGTAGCCTGGGCTTATGAGTATAAAATCAAAAGGAACTCTTTGTGGGACCTGAAGGCGACACAATGTGGTTCCTGGATTTGGAGGAAGATGCTTAGAGTTCGATCTTGGTTTCAGTACAGACTAATGGTGGAAGGCAGGGGTGAAGTATCTTGGGAAGGAAAGCTATTGCCGAGATACAAAATCACAGTTGTTTGGAAATCCTTGCGGGGTAAGCAACCTGCAGTAAATTGGTGGCGGCTTCTTTGGACAAAATATGCTATTCCTAGCAATAGATTCCTCTCCTGGCTTGTCATAAAAGACAGAATTATCACTAGAGATAAGTTACTTCGTTGGGGGATGACGGTGGATCCTAGCTGTGTGCTTTGCTCCGGTAATTGTGAAACGCGTGACCATTTGTTCTTTGAGTGTGAATATACGAGACAAGTTGCTGCTGTGGTTTTGCAGGGCTGTCCTATGCCTGCTGATAGAAGGTGGGAATCGTGGTTGGGAGCAGCTGTGGGGCTGTTGAAAGCAACAACCCAGGGGCCTGTGATTGGATTCTGCTGGTGCTGGCTGCTGGCTGCAATTTGGAGAGAACGATGCTGCAGAATTTTTGGTGGAAACAAAGTTTCTGTCGAGAAGCTAGTAGCAAATTTTAGGACTGATGTTGGTTTGTTTGGGGTCAGTCATTCTGATTTTCTTACTGCATTTAATCTGTGCTCAGATGTAATGCAGCGGGCTTGGGAATAGATAGTTATAAGGGGTGTTAGTAGAGTTTTCTTCTTCTGTAAATTGGTTGTAATTTCGATACTGGATTTTGCCAGCGGAGCTTAATGAGATTAGCAACTTATCGAAAAAAAAATATAATAATATATACCTTTAGTGTAGTCGAAGCAAAGAAGTTTTACTTTTCTAAGTTCTAATCATTTTACAAATTCTTAACTTGTGAAACTAATTATTCGCTGCTCTTGTTTTGAGGGGAACTAATTCACTATTTATTCTGATCTTCTCGGTTTTTTCGAATTTGCTCTCTCTTTATGGATAGTTTTTTCCCCCTACTGTTTTTCTCGATGCTCGCGATAAATTAACACTATTCATCTACTCAATTTGCGAAATTTGCTTTCACGATGATTGTTATAAACGCGCTGCGAATTTGCGAAAACACGACACACGATTTACGTGGTTCACTAACACGATGTGTGTTAGCTACGTCCACGGGCGAGAGAGAGCCAGTTTCACTATATCGAGTAGATTACAGATTACAGAGGAGTATAAGAAGTATTTATAGTACTTCTCCATGTGGGTCTAAACCTAATCCAATCTGACAAAGGAAACGGTTACAGACCAGGCCCAGAACCCGATCCCAAATAACATTGAGCCCATACACCGTGGGCCGAGGGCGTTGCCCCCGCACCCCCACCGGGGCGTTGCCTCTGGATCCCACTCGCTGACCGGGCAGCGAGACCCCCGATTACCAGTCGTAGCGGCTGATAGTCCGATTCAAGTCATATCAACAATGATGCACATTCCAAGCCACAATAATATTATTTACTAGGACGAACAAGTCATTTAATTATAAAAACGATCTGTTGAGCAAGTATATCTTTACCGTTTATACATGCTGGTAATATTAATGGTGCTTTATTCGAGTCAAACATTTGCATGAATTTGGTGGGCGATAGTTTCGTTCACAGTATGACAAATAAAATTATTCGAGTCAAATGAAAAACCATCACAGTGAAAATTTTGTTTCGATTCTCAAATTCAAGATTTTTTTTTATTTATTTATTCTATGCTTACTAAAAATAGCGACAATTGGGTTGGAATCAAATAAAACGTGAAATGTAATTTGATTCTATCAAGTTAATTAGTTTAGTTTGATCTTGCTCATAGAATCTCAAGGTAAGAGTAGGCAATTTTGCATATCCAATCAAGAATTTATGCTAATCTTCTAGGTGGTAATTACGCAAGGAGTGGATGTGCAGAAGTTTTCCCTAATGATCGGTTTTGAACGCAAGAATTTGATTCTACATTTTTTCCCCCCCAAAGAGTTGTTTAATTGTGGTTTGTCTTTCTACTCCTCGCCGGTCGCCGCCGGTTGTGGCTAATGACCATCGATCCAACCAACACAAGCTCGAACATAAATAAATAATGGGTATGTATTTGTGTCAACCATTTTTTTTTTCCCCCTCAAAAATTCCGTACAAACTTAAGTTACTGTAAACGCACATTTTCTTAAATTCTCATCAAAACTCACTATTCATACAAGAACCCACAAATAATTAAATTTGAAATACATTTCATTAATAAAGCATATGCTCTCTGAAGTTATACCTAAAATACTAAATTTTCAAATGTAAATATTAGTTAAGCACAGTGTTTTAGAATTTAATAATATTCTGCCACCATTATATAAAAACATTTAAGCACACTATTTATCATCACACCAACTACGTACTGTCTCACATCCTATCAACTTTATTTTCTCAAATTCTTATGGAACTTTTTTTTCTTCCCAAAATTAAGAGAAAGTTGCCCAAATTTTAGACATGTTTGGATCCATTTAGACCAATATAAATTGTGGGTTTCCAACTGATAGATATATGGCGGTATTTGAAATTCTAAATGCAAAATTGCAGCCTCGCTTTGTTTGTCTGGATCCATGGACATTGGGCTGGACCTGATCAGTTGGCATCCGAGCTAGGAAACTATCTCTTGGACCTGTTCAGATCAGCTGGCTTTGGGGAATTATATTTTGTGACAGCCCATTCACCCGACTAAACTTTGTTATAATCTGGACTTCGGGTATAATTTGGACATTTCCTCGTATTACAAAAAGTTCAGGTTTGGGCACTCGAAATAATAAAATTTAAATTTATTATTTTAATGGTCAACTTTTAGAGTTGACCGCCACGCAAGCAAAAGTTAACGGAGTTGGACGGAAAGTGACCAAATGTGAACGGTTTCAGTAAACTAAAGTACCACCAATAGATTTAAATATTTCGAGTGAACAAACTTGAACGTTTTTTGTAATCTCAGTGACCAACCATGCAATTAACCCTTTCCTCAACACTTAAAAAATGAGAGTTTTGGGAAACAAAAATTGTTTGGGATTTATGATGGATTTATTGGATTATGAATTTGCATGGTAGATTTGATATATTTATGATTGATTTGTTACATAAGGCTCGTTACTTGTTGGATTTAAAAATGAGGATTTTGAGTTTTAAAGTCCTTTGGATTGATAATGAATTTGCTGCGTTGTGGATTTGGAAGAGTATATTGTTTTTTTAGTTGATTTTTATCATGGATTTACGATAGATTTGTCTCATAACTTTGCATTCCATTATCAAATCCCAAATGAAATGTGGGATTTGCAAATTCGTGGGGTCCATGGATTTAGATCTAAGAAAAGGGTCAAAATTCGTGGGGTCCACAGATTTGTGCCAAATCCTTGATTCTTGGGATTTGGGTGCCAAATCCATCACCCAAATCCCACAAGCAAATGATACCTAAATAACTATAATCATCAAGAATTTACAAATCTCAAATCAATATGTGGGATTTATAAGTTCGTGGAGTCCACGAATTTGGTTCCAAAATAATGACAAAATCGGTGGACCGCACGGAGTTAGCACATAACAAACATAGGGCTTGTTTGCATGATGGATTTGGTGAGGGATTTGGATATATTATGAACTTTGTCCAAAATCTATTGTTTGCTTCATGCATTTAGGAGAAACAAATCCGTGGGTCCCACGAACTTTAAGTGACCAAATCCATGGACCCCACAGACTTGAAAGTTCCACCTATTTTGGTGGGAATTGATTATGGACTTTGAATTCCATCATTTTTTACCAACCTACCCTTCATATTTGCTTTCTCTTCTTATATCATTGAGGACAATAAAAGGTAAATTACACTACATACATACAAATTTAATTAACAAAATCTATCATGAAATCCATCAAACAAACAATGGTGTTTATCAAATCCATAATGAACATAAAATCCATCATATATCCATGGGTTTTCAAAACCCAAATTATACCAAAACCTTCATTTTTCAAATCCACGACGCAAATGGACTTGTGTTAAATCCATCAACTTGGGATTTGAGTATCAAATCCATGATCCAAATCCGACTCCTAAAACTAACATGTTAACTATGAGCTTTCGATCAATTCGGTCAAAATCAAATTGATAAAAACCAAACTAACTAAACTTAGGTCATTTTGAATCAAAATATTATGGAGTCGGCTTAATTTTTATAATGAAAAAACCGGCCATCCACTTACGTCCACTCCAACTTTGTTCTTTGACCGGTGACAACAATGGCAAAAGCAATATTTTCGTCTCTATAGTATTGATCTTACGGTAGAACTATACCAATACTCCAATACTCACAAGTCACAACATATAAACAGTACAATAGTAGTCTCCAATACTGTTTGAAACCTACTAAAAATTACAATAAAACAGACTACAAAAATATGCGGTGCAACAAATTCCTAAGACTACTCCTGCTCTCCCTTTCCACCTTCCTCCGATTCCGGCCGCCGCCTCGACCGCCGGGATCATCATCAGCATGATCTTCCACCTGGCCTCCGAATTTCCCATCCAAAGCAACAATCCCTCTACTCTCCAGCTTCCTAGAAACGGCGACAATCTCATGTGAATCCAGCAGCGACTGCCTGAAATCCCAGCCGCCGCCGCCGGCGGCGGCAATCGACTTGCGACCGCCGATCAATGCCTCTGTCCGGAACCTGGAAGGACGGTGGCCGTGGAAGCTGCGCCGGTGAGCGTCGTGCTCGCTCGTCGTGGGGTTGGAGTACTTTATCCCCGAGTGGGAATACCAGGCCTGTGCCGCCGCCTTGAGGATTTCCTGCTCGTGGTGACGCCGGCGTGCATCTTCGTCGACGGCGGCGACTTCCTCGGCAGATGAAGGCTTCTTTTTCTTCATGGGTTTGTGGGTTGCTGGGGATTGGATGAGAGCTGTTGCTAGCTGCTTTTGTGTGGCCAAGTTTTGTTTTTGTTGGGTTTTTCTCAATAACATTAATTATTTAAATCAATTCTTTTTTTTTTATTGGTTGTCTTTTTTTTTCCTTCTGATTTTTGGATCGTTGGTTCAGATAGTACAATACTACAACCATTCAAGCTGTTTGACAACGATGGATTTTAATTTTTAGCTGGCTCGTTTAAATTTGTAGGGGATTTATATGCATGAATTTAGGGATGGTGGGTGGTCAATCCGCGGATTGATATCAATCCACCTGCAAATAACTCGACCTGCAATCAGTGGATGATTGATGCGGGTGGATTGCGGGTCCACCGAATGATCCACATCCTATTTTCATATGAAAAAAATGTTGTTTCTTATAGTATCGAATACTCATCATATTTCTGAACCGTACTATAGTCTGAACCTATACTTCTAAGGGTGGAGAATAGATAATAGTTTTGACTATTTTTTTAAGGGAATAGTTTTGACTGCTATTATTGGTTATTGTGTTGTTTAATGCCCATTAGATATTGAAAATTGGAATGTGAATTATAGTTAATATCATTAAATATTGGGATGAAAACTATAAATTATCAATTGTATCAAAATCAGAAAATGCATAAGTTTTCTCTACACAATTTGTTGATAGAGTAGTAAACATTTTGATGCAAATTCTACGTGGATTCACTTGAGAAAAAGTGAGGAGTGTATAAATTGATACAGTCTTCCGAATTCGCCGTGAACTGGTTATAAATATTAGTCTTGTTTTTCCAGGTTAACCTACGACCCACCCAACCCTACCTGCAGAACAATGTGGGTGGATTGAGGGTCAAAATTATTTCAACTCGCTATAGTAAGCGGGTGAGTCAATTTGAAACGAAACCTCACCCAACTCGCCCATTGCCCACCCCTATATGAATTAGTCCAAATAACTTCTTTGGATTGAGATATAGAATTTTAATCTAAATTACTAAATAATATTATTGACCCTTCGTCTACCTCTTCGTCTAATTCACTAATCTGTTCATTATTTCCATCAAACCTATACATAACATATTCGAGTTCAATACCATAAATCAACCAAACATATTGACGAATTCGAGATATAACACTCTCCCTTTCTCTCTAAACTTCATCTCTCTACATTACTCTCCTTATTTTACAGACAATGAAAATAATGTAGATCGCCAGAGTATAAATCAAGGTCATTCCCACCTCTCCACAGACTCGCATGCCCTCAAAGTAATTGGACAAATGCAGTCAAAATCGCGTAATATCGTAAGCTTTTAAATTTTAAAACGTAAATTTTGACTATATTTGTAAGGAAAAATACGTAGAAACGTTTTGGTAACCCAAAAAGGTAAAAACATAAACTTTTAAGTTATAAAGCGCGATTTTAGCTGCATTGTTATTATCGAGTTCATCCTGGTAGAAACATAAAACTAACATAGACATGTATGCTCTTTTTTGTGTTATCTCCCAAATGTCAGTGCATCTGTACATGATAAGAGATTGTGCTGAAAATATTGTCCTCATCTGTACAAACAATAGCATGAGCAGAGAATATTGTCCTCATCGGCTAGGCCCATGAGCATGGGCCCCGCGGTGCAAACCCAGCACCATAACTGGCCCAAACTAAACATTCACGCCACGACGCCGTATTATCTGTCGCCTTCTTCTCACGTCATCCGAATAGCCGACTTTCCCAAAACCGGAGTCCCGCAAAAATCACCGTCGAATCCCAAATCGATTTCAGAACTTCTAATCCAACTCGGCCCCGGGAAATTTCTAGGGTTCTTAAGAAACTCCAATTCCACCCCCCTCTAAACTAAATCGCCGGCGCTTTATTCCCCAGAAAATCGATTAACCATGCCGCAGAGACACTCGAAGAACAACAACGATCTAGCGTTCTTCACATACGATGAGAAGCGGAAGCTCGGCTATGGAACCCAGAGGGAGCGACTGGGGAAGGACTCGATCAAGCCTTTCGACGCCTGCAGCCTCTGCTTGAAGCCCTTCATCAATCCCATGTCTTGTCCCAAAGGTCATGTCTTCTGTAAAGAATGCATCCTCGAGTGCCTCCTTGCTCAGAAGAAAGACATCATTAGGTACAAAAAAAAAAAAAAAATTCCCTCCATTTCCCCCCCTCTTCTGTTTAGATATGTTTGTTGATTCGCTCGAGCTTGAAAATCTGTCGGTTGGGTTTGATTGTATGGTTGAATTTGAATTAGTTGGAGTTCGGTCTAGCCAGCGGATGTGTGCTCAGTTGAATTGGGATGCTTTGTTGGTGGCTGAAATTGGGGGGGTTTGAGTTAGGAACGAATTGCTCTGAATTGGGAATTAGGAGTTTCTCTTGTCTTCGTCTGTGACTGTGCCTAGTAGAGTTGAACTGTGTAAATGAAGAGGTGGATGTCGTACTTGTGTTACTGTTTCATGGGGAAAATCTCTTGACTGTTTGGGTCGCAAGGTGATCTTCAATGTGATTTGAGCGTCTTGATAATGAATAAATTCTGTGATATGTATAGGTGTTGGTGTCACTCAGTTTTGGCGATCCCATTTGCTGACCTGTGCCTAGTAGGATAATCTAGCTAGTGGCTGTGATCTCAGCTTTGAGGATATTTTTCTTCTCTTGTCTCGGAAGTTGATGGATTTTAGGGTTTTGAGCTAGGTTTTGGATGGTCCTCAAAGATTTAGAATTGAGAATTTATAGGTTTGTGTTATGCCTACAGTTTTTAATTTTTACTTGTTTCACTAGCTTTGTTAGGAGGGTTGAATTGTAGCATCTACATATGAGCAAATTCCATCGAGGTTGTCTTGCGTGTGCGATCTTCAGTGTACCTGCAAATCTAGCTTCTTGATGATGAGAGAATTCTGCAAGGAGCTTAAGGCATGTGCTATTAGTGGTGCACATGGTCTGTTCACACTTCACCCGTAGCATGTGTTCCTGTTGTGTGGAATCTGTTTTCCTGCTACATGATCTTCAATACACATGCAATTTGAGCGTTTTAACTATGAAAAAAATTATGTGATAGGTATTGAGTATACTGCTCGTGTAATTTTTCATACATTCGGTGCTCCAGTTTGCTGTGTCTAGTTGGATGATGTATGCTTACCTCGCAGGAAGCAAGCCGCCCACGAGTTACAGAAAAAACAGGACAAGGAAGAAGAACAAGAGAAGTTAGCAGCCCAGCGAGCTCGAGAACTCGACGCATTCGACCAGCAGAACCACGGCGCAGTCCCACAGTACAGCAACGACAGCCGGAACTCCAACCAAGACAAGAACGGCTTCCACGGTGCAAACAGCGTGAAGACAACCTCGTACGAGGCGGAAGCCCTCCGTACGATGAAAGCCTTCTGGCTTCCCTCGGCCACTCCGGAAGCCGCCGTGAAGGTAGAAGCCCCGTCCTCCCACACGACATGCCCCGAGGGGAACGAGAAGCTCAAAATGAAGAGCCTCTTCCCTATCTACCTAACCGAGGACACGAGCGAGAGCGACAAGAGCTCTCTCGACAAGAGCTATCTGTGCCCGAGCTGCAAGGTCACTCTGACCAACACGCTGACGCTGGTCGCTGTGAGCTCGTGCGGACACGTGTTCTGCAAGAAGTGCGCCGACAAGTTCTTGGCGGTGGACAAGGTTTGCTTGGAGTGCAGCAAGGGGTGTAAGGGGAGGGATTTGGTGCAGCTGGAGAAGGGCGGGACTGGGTTTGCGGGTCACGATGAGGGTCTTGTGGCGACGGATTTTAAGCACTTGGGTAGCGGTTCGGGTTTGGGACTTGTGAGGCCTTCTTCGAAAGTTTGATCAAATGCGGACCTGGTTTTTGTTTGTTATGTTTTCTTCAACGATGTAATCTCTTTCATTGGATTGAAGTGGAGGAATGCTCGTGATGAATTCTTTTTTGGTTATGTTGCAGGCTCTTTCAGTTTCTCCTTTTCGCCAACCATTATGTAATTTAGAAGATGAAACTGTTGAGAAATTAGAATACGGTGAAAACTGTTGTGTATTATTACTGGAACCATATAGACTGAAATCTATATTATCTAACTTCTACGACTCTGATAAGGAATATAACTCTACCCAATTACATAATAGTACTCGTAGTATAATATAATACTACTCGTACTACCTATACTCTAATAGAAACGATTGACCACGCGTGATTAACCGTTTAAAATGCACATTAGATTATCGTTCAACTCTCTTGTTGGTAATTTCCAGCTAAACCTTTTATCTTCTTGTGCCGTTAAAACCCACTCTTCCTGGACTTTCACTAATTAAAACGACTCAGCAGACCATTAATCCGGATCATAAACCATAATTAAACGAGAAACCTCCCAAACAGGCCAAAAACAAAAATAAAATCGATGAAAATCTGAGAGGAAATGGCGTGCCACGTGTCCTAAGTTACACCGTCGATTACCAACCGTCTCGAGTGGGTCCCACAATATCTCGCTCTGCCCGCCCGCCCGCCAACTTCCCCACTAAACTCCGAACTAAAAAAACAAATAAAAAAAAAACAAAAAGGAAACGAAGAAGGAAATGAATAGGAGAGAGATGAATCATCGTCGTCTCTCCTCCTCGCTTCCGTTAAAAAAGTGGCCTCCGCCGCGGCCTTCCTCCGCCCGCTACACCCATTATCATCATCGAATCCAGCCTCTTTTAAAAACCCAGTTCATTATATCTTCTTCTTTCCATCTCCTCCTATTTCCCCATTTCTCTCCCCCGCCATTCAATCGATTCGCCAAGGAAGAGAGGGGGAAAAGAGGGGATTTTTACATACAAGGGAAGTGTTTTGTTTTCTCTCGGTTCCCCGCAAAACCCTAGAATTCGTGTTTTGGGTTTGAGCTTTTTTCTATGGGGGAATTCGAGAACCGGGTAGCTTGCGACGGCGGCGCGGCGGAGCCGGAGGGACGGATTGAGGAGGAGGAGCAGAAGTTGATCGAGGATGTGGCCATGGTGGACTTCAACCTGCTCTGCTCTACCGTCGCGATGCAGACGCAGGGCAAATGGACGGACAAGGTCCAAGCCGACGACGAGGAATTCCACGACGGCGGCGCCTCCGTGTTCCGGATGTGGGAAGGCGGGGTGCTCGATCTCTGTGACGACCGCCGCATCGCCGTCGAATCCTTCTGGTAAATATTTCCCCCTTTTTTTTACTTATTGTTCATTGATTTTGATTCCTTGTTTTCTGCTCGGGATTTCTTCCTTTCTCCCTATTCTTACTCCAAGAGATTTTCCCGGAAAATAACCCGCCGTCGAATATGTTTCCTGAAATTCTGGCGAAATGTGTCAAATTTGATCCAAAATTTTTAGTAATCGGCACCTAGAAACTACGAAATTCGTCTTATGTTGCAGCTAATTAAATATATATTCCATTAGAATCATCCTTTGAAGAATGTGTTCTTCTGGCGTTGAATTTTTTCCAAATGGGTTCAGTCAAACGACCTTGATGAACCCTTTGTTCGTGTATCATTCACATTCAAAGTCGTTTGACTGTTTCCTGCACTGAAACTATGCTCCATTTTGATGGTAACTGTTTGGTTAATCCATGATCGAATGTTCGACATGTTTGCAGTTGCCCTTGCTATAGATTCGGGAAGAACATGAGACGAGCTGGTTTTGGTTATTGTTTCCTTCAGGTACAGCTATCATTCCCTATTAAGTGTTAAAAAGTAACAATTTGGTAGCGAAACTCCACTGCATTTATCATATTGGGCACTCAAACTCGATACTGGAATAACTAAAGCACCAAACTCGGTCTAGTAAACCACGTTATTGGCATTCTCGTCCCATCGATCAGCTGTTGCCCGTGATGTTACTGATGTGGTAGCCTGGGGAAACTGGAAATGCTAATACTGACTTATGAGGACGAGTTTGGTGCTTTAGTATCTCCATGATGTGAGTTCAGTTGCCAAACCGGTAATAAATTTAGTCCTGAGATGGAGGTGTTGAATACTTTTTCGTTTGCAGGCAACAGTGTATCTCATTCTAGCTCTATTTGCGCTTCTCAATCTCATTGCATTCTTCGTCACAAAGAGGCACCCTTTCCTTTATCTAGCAATCGGGTTCACAGTTCTTGTAGGAATTTATCTGGGTTTCTTCCGGTCACAGATCAAACAAAAGTTCAACATCAGGGTGAGCTAGCTGCTTAAAACTTGTACCTCACTCGATTCGGTTTATGGTTCAAAAGCCGAAATGTAATTGATTGAGTTTTTCTGTTGCTGTTTCAGGGTAGTGATAGTTCATGGGACGATTGCTTCTACCATATCTTCTGCCCTTTCTGTGCTTTGAGCCAGGTAGATAGAGAAGGGTTTGCCCTTTCTCAGTTTTTGCGATATCTCTCTGTGATTCGATTCCATTTCGAAACTTTAATTTGGTATATATTTTCACAGGAGGCGAGAACATTAGAGATGAACAATGTACAAGATGGGACGTGGCATGGACGGGGTGATACGATATGCGTAGGTGGGTATACGGAAGGGAATCATGCTTACTTGCAGCTTCACCCTCCTGCTATTGTTACAACAAAATCCTCGGATAACAGCAGCAGCAGCAGTCCACGGAAGGTCAGCGGCAGCGAGTGCTGACTGGTTTCTCCAAGTTCTGTCTTCTCCTTTCATTTTCTGTTCTGCTTTGCTGAACATTTGGTAGGGTGAGGGAAGGAATGGGAATGCCGCAGGATGAAAGCTAATTGTCTGGTTTGTAGTTTGTATATATTCTATAGCGAGGAAGTATTAGTCCAAGTGTATGATATTCATTTTTTTTAGTCTTGGTATTTATATAAATCACCATCATTTGACACCACGTTGTTATTTCTTCTTATACCCCTTTTGTTCCATCAATTTTCTATCACCAACAGTGAGGAGCCGCACTCCCATGTGATTACTGATAAAGCTCTTGTTGAGACGAGCTCGGGCTACAATATTTCTGTACTCGTTTTAAGTCGAGCTCGAACTGACTTCTACATTCGACTGAAAACTCAGTTCTGTTCGTTTGCAGCTTTACCTGGGTGAAAGCAAATGCTCGTATATAGGAGACAATATGGTGAAGTGCCTATGTTGCGATCCACACCAATGACATATGATGGTGGATTAACTAGTCTCAAGAGATTAATCCACAAATTTGAATCCAAAAAAGAGTTCAAATCCGAAAACCCCACAAATTTGATACACATCAAGCAAAAAAAAAAAAAAGGGATTAATAAATAAATACACAATGCTTTGAATTTAAATCATAAATCCATAACTCAAATCCAACCGTCCAACCACTTCTTCGAAATCCAAGTTGGCTTGATGGACAGATAGAGGGATCTTCTTTTGGGCTTGTGTCTAGTCCTTGTCAAATGTGACAAAACCCAACTTTCTACTCCCAAATTGACTTGCAACTTGCAAGTCCATTTAACCTAATCTCCCATCTAAAGCCTTTTTCCCCGCCTAATGATCCACAAAGATATTAATTACTGCACTTTCGTGTTATTTTGGTTCGATACAGAAAACCCACAATCTACCTGAAAATTAATTAGGGTGACATGTGCATTGGGCAAGCCCCAAAAATTTCAGACAACATCAACAAAATAGAAAAGCACCCAACTACCAGTATTACTTCCTGATGGGTTCATTTCATTCATCCAACCAGTTCAGCACTGAGCAATTCATGGTTCAACCGCCATTTTTTAAGTTGCAGAGGCGACTCAGCTTCTCACTAAACCAAATAAACTTCTCAGTACAAACACAGCGCAAAAAAAAAGAGAGGCCAAAGTAGTGATGAACTTCCTCCTGCTGCCTCTTCTTCTGCTCGAATTCATATGCTCATCGGATCATCACGCTCACGTCGCAGCATCCAAATCCGCCGTCGAATACCTTCCTGGATTCCAAGGCCCTCTCCCGTTTTACTTCGAGACCGGGTTGGTCACTGTTCATCAACGTAGTATGTCGAATCGGTTACGTGTTTAATGTCAGGATTCTGCGACTTACCGCGCAGTTTGTTTCAGGTACGTTGGAGTAGGGGAAGCTGCAGAGCTGTTCTACTACTTTGTGAAGTCAGATGGGAATCCTGAAGCTGACCCTCTCCTTCTCTGGCTCACCGGCGGCCCTGGCTGCTCTGCCTTCTCTGCTCTTACCATGGAAATTGGTTATAAACTAATGATTCAACTCCTACTGTACAACTATTACAAGTCCTGTTTTTTTTTTTCTTCATGTTCTTCATATTGCTCTTTCAGGTCCCATCAGGTTTCAAGGACCAGTAGCCGGATACAGTGGGAGCTTGCCGAATTTGATCCTTAACCCGTTCTCGTGGACTAAGGTAAAAGTGCAGAGCACAAGACCATTGATAGATTTGATTAGTCGATTCGCGCCCATATCGATCGCTCTTATCCGCTGCAGTTCTCGAGCATAATTTTCCTGGACTTGCCTGTTGGGACTGGATTCTCTTACACAACAAACCCATCTCCTGCTGATCATCCTGGTGACCAGGTTCAGGTTTCCCAAGCTGCAGAGTTCATCAGGAAGGTAAAGAAGCCACATTCTGATGAAATGGATCATTACGAAAGGAAACGCGAAAAATTTCATTCGATGTTTTCATGTTTGCTTCGTGTAGTGGCTAGGAAATCACTCGGAGTTCCTGCAGAATCCACTGTATCTTGCAGGGGATTCCTACTCAGGAACCACGATTCCACCCATCGTCCAACGATTGTCCATTGGTAAGAACAAGATATACACATGTTGTGACCCTAATCATAATAGCATGGATCTTAGAATTAGATGATTTCACGAATCGATAAATAGATCGGGTAAACCTACCTCGATCCATGACGAGAGCGGCGGCGGCGCTGGAGTAGTAATCACCGGAATTGAGTTTCTCCCTCTTGACCCCTTTAGGTTTTAGGTTTAGAGATTTCTGTGATGGTTAAGAAATTCTACGTAATGGGTTGAGAGAGGACCAATCCTAGAGCTTCTTTATATAGACCCACCATCAGGGTATATTAGGAATTTACCTTTCATTAACCTAATCAATATAGGATTTACCTTATATATTAAACCATTAAATGATAATTACACTTGGGCCACAATTATTCCCTAGTGACCCACGGGAATTGGGCTTACATTCTCCCACTTGGTCCATGTGTCATTATATATCACAAGATCTAATAATATACATAAGTGTGCACATCATAAGATAAATCCATAATATTTGGTTCACCATAAAGTCATAATCAAGTATGGAAACTAGATTAGGATCATGGCGGTTCTATATCAATTTATCGACATAGTCCCTTCCATGTACCACCAAACCAGTCTCATGCTCAATATGACACAATACAAGGTATTCATAATGGTCCAACAATAATGTCTTTCCTAAAGACAAAATCTTGTTTTGTTCACATAATGCATAATGTATATATACTGATCATAATAAATAAAACAAGATTCATAACTTTATTTCAGAAACAAAATAAATGAGCTCAAAGTGTCAATCCATGAAACATAAAATAACTTTAGTCATGACGTCCTATAATCCCCATCCTTTCGATATGTTCAGTAAATGTCTTAGGAGGCAATCATTTTGTTAATGGATCAGCAATCATAAGCTGTGTGCTAATATGCTCGATCGACACCCTTTGTTTCTGAACTTCTTCCTTAACGACAAAGTATTTCACCTCCATATGCTTAGCACCCTTCGAATACTTGTCATTCTTAGAGAAAAATACCGCTGCGGAATTATCACAGTAAATTTTCAGCGGCTTGGCGATAGTGTCGACAATTCCAAGTCCAGAAATAAAATTCCGCAGCCATAAACCATGATTCGTAGCTTCATAACAAGCTATGAATTCAGCTTCCATAGTGGATGTGGCAATAACAGACTGCTTCGCACTCTTCCATGAAATTGCCCCTCCGGCTAGAAGGAACAAATAGCCAAAAGTAGACTTCCTGGTGTCTACACATCCAGCATAATCTGAATCTGAATATCCAATCACCTCAAGGTGATCAGATCTCCTAAAGGTGAGCATGTGGTCTTTTGTTCCTTGCAGATATCTTAGTACCTTCTTTGCAGCTTTCCAATGATCTACTCCTGGATTACTTTGATACCTGCCCAGCATTCCGACAGCAAAACTGATGTCTGGTCTGGTACAAGTTTGTGCATAATTCAAACTTCCAACAATAGATTCATAAGGAATGTGTTCCATTTGCTTGCGTTCCAATTCATTCTTTGGACATTGTTTGAGACTAAATTTATCTCCCTTCTGAATTGGAGCGACATTTGCAGAGCATTCAGCCATGTTGTATCTCTCTAGGATCCGGTTAATGTACGATTTCTGAGACAATCCCAACAGTCCTTGTGATCTATCACGAAATATTTCTATTCCAATCACATAGGATGCCTCACCCAAATCCTTCATTTCAAAGTTCTTAGAGAGAAACTCCTTGGTTTGATGTAATAAACCAAGATCATTAGTAGCAAGCAAGATATCGTCAACATACAGAACTAAAATTATAAACTTACTCCCACTAATCTTCAGATATATACATCGATCAACGATGTTATCCTTAAATCCAAAAGATGTAATGGTATCATTGAACTTAATATACCATTGTCGGGAAGCTTGTTTAAGTCCGTATATTGACTTCTTTAATTTACACACCATATGTTCTTTTCCCTCAACCACAAAACCTTCAGGTTGATCCATATAGACTGCTTCATCTAAATTCCCATTCAGAAAGGCGGTTTTCACATCCATCTGATGGAGCTCTAGATTATAATGAGCTACCATTGCCATGACAATCCTTAAGGAGTCTTTCTTAGAGACGGGTGGAAATGTCTCTTTATAGTCAACACCACTTTTCTGAGTGAAACCTTTGGCAACAAGTCTGGCCCTGTGTCTTTCCATATTGCCATTAGAGTCGTGTTTGGTCTTCCAGACCCATCTATTACCAACTCTTTTACAACCTTCAGGCAAATCAACAAGGTCCCAAACTTCATTTTTATACATAGATTTCATCTCTTCTTTCGCGGCAGCTAACCATTTATCAGAATGCTCACTTTCCATGGCTTGTGAAAATGAAACTGGATCATGATAGAGTCCTAAATCAGATTCTAACTCGTGAAGATAAACCTCATAATCATCAGAAATTGCAGGCCTTCGATTTCTTGTAGACCTTCTTAATGCGATTTCTTGTGGTTCATCTATGTTAGGTTCATTCTCAATAGCAATATTAGGTGGTGCTTGACCGTTCATTTGTTGTTCCTGCAAATCGTTATCATGCTCAACATGTGCAGGAGCAACAACTTGAGAAGAGGGTAGAGGCAAGGATATTTGCACTCTAACTTCTTGAATTTCCACATTGCGTGGCTCTAAGCTCCCACTAACTTCACCATTCTCAATGAACCTAGCATTTCCAGTTTCAACAATTCTTGTACTATGGTTAGGGCAATAAAATCGATACCCCTTAGATTTTTCTGGATAACCAATGAAGAAACCACTGATTGTTCGTGAGTCCAGTTTCTTTTCATGTGGATTATATATTCTCACTTCCGCTGGGCAACCCCAAACATGCAGGTGCCTTAAACTGAGTTTCCTTCCCGTCCACAGTTCAAAAGGTGTCTTAGGAACTGCTTTACTAGGAACCCTGTTTAACAAATACACAGCGGTCCTTAAAGCGTGCATCCACAATGATTTGGGTAAAGATGAGTTGCTTAACATACTCCTAACCATATCCATTAAAGTACGATTCCGCCTTTCTGCAACACCATTTTGTTGCGGTGTTCCTGGCATAGTGTATTGAGCACAAATACCACGTCTTTCTAGGAACTTAGCAAATGGACCAGGGCACTGTCCATTTTCATCATATTTTCCATAATATTCTCCACCTCTATCAGATCTGACGATTTTCACCTTTCTTTCTAATTGCCTCTCAACTTCATTGATAAACACCTCAAGGGTATCTACCGACTGAGATTTTTCATGCAGCAAATAGATATATCCATAACGTGAAAAATCATCGATAAAGGTAATGAAATACTTTTTTCCACCAAGTGATGGAACATCAAAAGGCCCACAAATATCAGTGTGTATAATTTCAAGGAGCTGTGAGCTTCTTGTGGCTGCTTTCTTAAGTGTGTGTTTTGTGTGTTTTCCTTTAATACACTCAACACAAATTCCAAGGTCAGTAAAATCCAAATGAGGAAGGATTTCATTCTTTACTAGCCTTTCCATTCTTTCTTTGGATATGTGACCCAACCGTTTATGCCACAAGTAAGCAGAGGATTCATCAAACAAACCACGTTTAATACCAACATTATGATGCAAGGTTAAGAGAGTCTCAGCGAATAGGGTATCAAGCTTTAGTTTGTACAAACCATCAACAAGGGTACCAGAACCCAATAAAACATTCTGTTTGAACAAACTAATAGAACCATTTCCAATGTTCCAAAAATACCCAGCTTTATCTAGTTGAGACACCGAAACCAAATTACGAGAAATAGAAGGAGCATAAAGGGTATTGACAAGGTCCAAATGATGACCAGTATCTAAAACCAAACGATAAGTCCCAATAGCTTCAACTGGAACTTTGGCTCGGTTTCCCATATATATGAACTTCTCATTTTGCCTTATGGTTTGGGTCGTAAGGAATCCCTGCATCGTTTTGGAAACATGAATGGTACAACCAGTGTCAACCCACCAAGTATTATAAGGAACCTCAGTTAAATTTGATTCGAAACATACTGAAGCACTAGGCTTACCCTTTCTTTCGAACCATGCTTTTCTTTTCAAGCAATCTTTCTGATAATGTCCGGCTTTCTTACAGAAGCGGCATATATCCTTACTTGGTTCCTTCTTGTGGATTTTGGCAGATGGCTCATTAAGCTTTGATAGTCCTTCCTTGCCCTTCCCATTCTTGTTCCATGGCTTCTTTCCAGCTCCTTTATGACCAACAAGATTGGCAGAATGATTTCCTGGTTTCTTAAGCCTTGCTTCCTCTTGAATGAGCATGCTTTGTAACTCGTGCACATTCCATTTATCCTTTAGAGTATTGTAATGCACATGGAATGTGCCATACTCTCGAGGTAAGGAATTAAGGATGAACGTTACTAGGAAATTTTCATTCACTTCCATTCCCATGGTCTTTAGTCTTGCTGCAATGTTCGTCATTTCGACGATATGCTCATGCATGGTACGAGAACCATCAAACTTCATGGTGGTTAGCGTACCCATCAGTGTCCCAGCAAGCGACTTATCAGCAGACTCAGATTGAGAGCTTTCTTTCACGGAATTCATAAATTCCTTAGCACTTTCAGTATCATTGAAAGTTGACTTAATGTTGTTTGCTACAGTCATTCGCATAAACATTAGGCTTAGTCTGTTAGATCTTTCCCAAGCTTTATGGAAAGACTTTTCCTCAGCACTGCTAGCATCAGTAAGAGCAGCAGGTTTCTCACTTAAGAGTGCCAAATCAAGATCCAGAACACCGAGGTGAAACTGAACCTGTTCAGCCCATTCAGAGAAGTTGAGGCCATTAAACTTAACAACAGACGTGGCTTGCGAATGAAGAGAAACAGGAACAGATGCTGCAAACATATATAACATGTACTCACACATTAATGCTTTGGGTAATAAGCATAAACTATAATACAGATTCGAAAACATAAAACATATATTGGTGCTACCTTTGGGCAAAACAACAATATATATGCGATAAATAATCGTAATTGATGCTCAAAATAATCATATAATTGGTGATAGACATACTCAAATTAGATATACTTGCAATCTTTGGATATACTAAATATATCTAACCAAGCACATCAATTTACCACAATAATGTTCATGAATTATAAAACGAGCAATCAACCTTTGGGCGATTCGAAAATATTTTATAATCACGAACTTCAACTTTAAAGCATCACATAAACATTAGTAGTTGAACTTGATTCAACTTGATATCTATAAACCTTATAATTTGGCCACTTTGGTGACTAACAAATTAATCATAACATAGATATCAAAATAAAATTTAACTCAAGTCAAAGCAATTGTTAATCATAATTCTCAAAACACATACGCAAAACTTGTTTCATTAATGGGTTTTTATTTATTTATTATAATTACTTAACTGATCAATCATCAAGCCTACTGATCAAATTAATTATCAGGGAAACTCAAGCATGTTATCACAAACACAAGAACTTTATCAACCCATCTCATAAATGTATTCGATAATCACATCCGTAGCCAAAATAGATTAGCAACGTGGGAAAAGGAGGGAAAAAAAAAATGGCAGTGGAATCTGTTGAAGCATAATGGCTCTCGCAGAGCTTGTGAATATAATGGCCTTGTGAATATAATGGCCTTGATAATAAAGGAGAGAATCAAAGACAAAACCCCGGTGGGTACGGTGCCCAATCGGCGAGAACGCCTGGACCGATTTGGATGCCATTGTTAACAAATTATATGGCAGTCCACTAATTAGTTTAGCGTACAGATGCAGCGGAAAATATACATAATCGAAAATCATCTATTCATGTAAACCTAATGCTCTGATACCACATGTAAACATAAATCATAATAGCATGGATCTTAGAATTAGATGATTTCACGAATCGATAAATAGATCGGGTAAACCTACCTCGATCCATGACGAGAGCGGCGGCGGCGCTGGAGTAGTAATCACCGGAATTGAGTTTCTCCCTCTTGACCCCTTTAGGTTTTAGGTTTAGAGATTTCTGTGATGGTTAAGAAATTCTACGTAATGGGTTGAGAGAGGACCAATCCTAGAGCTTCTTTATATAGACCCACCATCAGGGTATATTAGGAATTTACCTTTCATTAACCTAATCAATATAGGATTTACCTTATATATTAAACCATTAAATGATAATTACACTTGGGCCACAATTATTCCCTAGTGACCCACGGGAATTGGGCTTACAATTCCTACTCAGGAACCACGATTCCACCCATCGTCCAACGATTGTCCATTGGTAAGAACAAGATATACACATGTTGTGACCCTAATCTAATCCGATATTGTTTCGAGTGCTCCATTTCTTTTTATGGTGTACCATACATGAATTTTGTGCAGGAAATGAGAAAGGCATCAAGCCGATGTTAAACCTCAAGGTTCGAGCCATTCAGATCAATACGATTTCGATCGAACTTTGTATTTTCAGGTTACGTCCTTGTAAAATTGGTGAAATTGTTCTTTCTTTTTTCCCTTCTTCCAGGGATACATAATTGGGAACCCAGTAACAGATAGTGAATTCGATGGTAACGCCCGAATCCCATTTGCACATGGGATGGCGCTCATTTCTGATGAACTCTACAAGGTTCAATTCATCATCTTGTGGGGGATAAGGAAAATCCTCATCCTACATTTCTCCTGTGCAAAACAGAAAACTTGCAGAAATTCTAACTAGTACAGTACTAGCACTAAAGAGTAGTAGTCCACTCGAACTTTGTTGCAGTCACTTCACAAAAGCTGCAAGGGAGAGTACCAAACAGTAGAACCTACCAACTTGGAATGCAAGAACAACTTAAAGGCTTTCTCTGAGGTAAAACTGGAGCAACCCTTAGCAGTCACTTCACATGATAAGATTATGATCTTAACCTATATAGTTTGATTCTCTGGAAGAACTTCTCTGCCCACTTCTTAATATTTACAATGTTGCATCTTTCTTCTGCAGTGTCTCTCGGGTATAAACGTATATGCCATACTGGATCCAGACTGCAATGTAGATCCTGAAAAGGCTGCCGTAAGACGAAGAAGAAGAAGAAGAAGAATGTTGCTGCAGGATGAGTCTCAGCCCTTACTCACATTCGATCCACCTAAGCTCGGCTGCAAGGTAAACGCGAATCACGAAAATCGATCGTCGCCACTAATCACATTGATTTTACTGTTTCTGTCTCGTTACTTTCCTGAGGGATTCATGTTTGCTCGACAGTATTATGACTTCAGTCGACGTTGGGCCAACGATGAACTAGTCCGCAAAGCACTTCACATAAGAGAGGTAAGAGTTGCAGGAAGATCGTGAAGCTTTTCTGGAGTGCTTTTTTTTTCTTTTAATGTTCTTTTACCCTTTAACCAGTTGTGTATAGATCAAATGATGTTAGGTTCTGTTTTGGCGCAGGGGACGATAGGAGAGTGGGAGAGATGTAATTACCGGTCAGATTATCAGCATGATATTCCTAGCAGCTTTGTGTACCATGTCAACCTTTCAACCAAGGGTTATCGGTCATTGATTTATAGGTTCTTGTCTTGTCCTTTTTTTGCATATCTTTGAAAAGGGTAAAATTTTGCTTTATCATTGAGACAGAAGAATCGTTGACGCGCGGTAAATTCTGTGATCCTTTTGAATAGTGGCGATCACGATATGGTTATACCATTTGTCGGAACGCAGGCATGGATTCGAGCTCTCAATTACTCCATCGTGGAGGACTGGCGATCATGGCATGTTGAAGGCCAAGTTGCAGGGTAATTTATTGGTACAAGTAGTTATGATTTCCTTCTTGGCTAAACCTAATTAACCTCTGGAATTGTTATGCTCAAGGGATATAGTGTATCGTTTCAGGTATACGAGGACCTACTCCAATCGAATGACCTTTGCGACTGTGAAAGTGGGTATTCTTTTTTTTTTTATTATTATTATCTTAAACCTTGATTTTTTAGTGACCATGGTATTTTATTTTCGTAACCGTGATTTTTTATTGTTTATTCTACAGGGCGGTTGGCATACTCCTCCCAGTAACAAGCCCGCAGAATGTCATGCTATGTTACAAAGATGGACAAATTATGAGTCGTTGTAAATAGCAACCAAAATGTCTTTCACGCTTCCAAAAAGTCTTGTTGTAACCTAATCAATAATCATTCTACAAACACCACAACGAGTTATAGTGAAGGTGGGATTTCTGTTTCTGTCACAAGTAACTTATCTTAGTCTGATGACATTTACCCTCTATATTCATAGCTTGATTGATTTTGAGGGTATAGATGCTCATTCCAAACGATTCATTCATCTTATTCTTTCTTCCTAAGTAGGTTTTCCGAATCTTCTGTAACATTTTATGATATGGTATCCACTCAAAACATATAATATTTGGTCTTATATAGCACAACCACAAATTACACATCTAAAAATCCTGTAAAACCATTTAATCTATTATCTACTTATTAGTGGACCTTACCAATAATTTATAGACATAAAACCACCATTATAACATATATGCTTCTTTATGTGCCTTTCCCAAGTCGTCACAAACCACAAAGAGAAAGAAAATGCAAATCATAGATCAAAGCAAAAAATAACCCAAAGCCGACCAATAACCTAATTACAGGCCTTATTTCATCATAAACATCAAAATCAACCGCAACAACGACACACAAATACAAACAAAAACAATACAAAATATAGAGATAATAATTCAATCATCACCCAACCATCACGGTCCGGAGATCCGACCTGTTTTCGGGTCGACCATACCTTTCTGCATCTCCTCCCCCGAAGGGGCCATCATCATACCCGGATGACCCGGACCGGTCATGACCGGGTTCGCATTTCTCACCCCGTAATAAACCTGCTGCTGGTTCATCCCGTCCGAAACCATCCTCGCTCCTTCGTACGGATCCATGGCGGGTCGCATCCCGCCATAGACCTGACCCATCCCGGCTTGCACCTGCTGGCCCATATTCGCGGGTACCTGATGGTACCCGACTCCCTGCATTTGACCCTGTGGAACCGCATACTGCGGTTGCTGAACATATTGGGGCCGGTATTGAACCTGTTGAACCGGAACGTTCCCCTGACCCGGTACGTAATAAACCGGTATGTGATGGACCGGGCCGGAAGGAGGACCCGAATAATGAGACTCCGGAACATACTGCATCGCGTACCCGGGCGGAGCCTGCTGCTGCTGCTGCAATTGGGCCTCGGGTATCGGCTCGGAGTACTGCCTCCGGACCACGACCGGTTCGGGTGGTTCGGGTTTGGTCTTGACCGGCGGGAGATCCGGGATCGAAGAGACGCTCGGGATCGTCGAGGTCGGCGGGGCGGCGACCGATGAGGTGGAGCAGTACGGCGACGACGAGACGACCGGGGCGGGCGAACCCGGATCCGAAGCCGAAACGCTGTCGTTGAAGACGGGCTTGCTCCTCAGCCTGTGCTCTCCTCCTCCTCCCCGCTGCGGCGGCTGATTCTCGTCGGGATTCTCCAGCCCGAAGAAGTAATCGGGCATCTCGGAGACGATCGACGAGGCCTCCGACCTGCCCCGCTCCAGGGTCCGGCCCGAATTGAGCGCGTCGAAGAACCAGTGCTCCCGATTCGTCGACCCGTCGAGGAGCGAGCTGATGCTGCTGGTCCTCGAATTGGGATCCAATTCCCCTTCCTTGGGGAAGAGGAAGAGCCGCAATCGGGCCGATCGGGGGTTCAGATTCAGCGCGACGCGGTCGTACTCCTCCATCATGTTCTCGACGTCCTCGTTGGTGGAGACGGAGATCAGCGCGTCGAGGTCCTCGTTGGGGAGCTGGTACTTGACGGCGACGGCGGGGAGGCCGGAGAGCTTGGCGAGCTTGGAGACGAGGGAGGCGAAGGTCGTGGATCGGTGGACGGCGACCATCCGGGTCTCGCCGCCGACGTAGCGGAGGAGGTTGTCGTGGGGGCGGGGGAGGATCTTGCCGCCGAAGCTGCACATGAACCGCACGCGCGGGTCCTGCTGGGAGAAAGGCGCGTTGACGTCGGAGCGAGGGGAGGACGCCACGGAGTCGCCGGCGGCGGAGGAGTCGAGGTCCGCCTGGTGGAGGGGTGATGCCATGGCGATTTTCCGGCGGCGGGAGGTTTTTTAGAGTCGGGCGAGGGATAGAGGGGAAAGGAAGGAGGAAAGGGGAGCGAATGGAAAGTGGTAATTAAAGGAGGAAACAGAGCGCGTGGGGTTCAGCGCCGAGGAGGGAATATTTGTGGGGATTAGTGGGGCGAATAATTTTTTTTGATTAATTTAATTGGGAAGTAATTGAGCAGGCTGGGCTAGCTAGCGTGCTGACTAGGCATATCGGTGACTCAGAAGTCAGGTTTTGTCGCGGTTTTAAGTATGGGTGGTTTTTTGGTCCGAGCTTTTTGGTTTTACTCGAAATTGGACCGTACAATTTGGGCCAAGGTCGGATAGTTACCAATACAATTCTCATATTCGGACATAAATTTGAGGTGAACAATCGCTCGGGACCGGACCGAAAATCGAATAAAGACAGCATAAGAGAGCCCAACATTCAAAACTTGACCAACTCCTCACCCTTTCGGATCTCATTTTGGGCCAATTTAACCGGATAGGACCGTGTAGTCACCCCTAGTTTTAAGGTGTTTGGATGAATTTTGAAATGATCTCATTTGATTACAGTATAACCAATCCCGACAGTAGATAAATAGTTGAATTGTCGATAAAAGTGTTTGGTTCGCCACTAAATGGGTTGTTATTTTAAATCGACATGGGGTGTAAGTACAAGAAAAGAATGAAAAAGACAAAGAAAGTTGACGAACTTCCTCTAAGAGAGCTCCCCATAGACCGTGCTCCACTTTGTACGACCCCACAAGCCGAACAAGAGTTTGACAATCCCCGCAAAAAATGAACCACTGTACTTGTCTCATATGTCGTTGTCTAAAAAAAGAATCATTTCATAATATGTTCTCTTTCCCTATCAATTTACAATAATGCAAAACAAGTTAATTCAAATTGTTTCGTCTCAATTGTTGCATTCTGATTTTATGTTGCCAAACCAAATTATTTGACCGAATTGATTCAAATTGAAACAGTTGGGCCGAATTGTCTCATCCAATACCACCATCCAAACGACTCCTTAATGTTTTATAAGTTACTAATCTAATTAGTAACTGGAGGTGTTAAATTTGTTGGAAGAGGGCAAATCGATGCAATTTTGGGTTGTGATTATATTAAAAACCTAATCAATGTTGGGTTGTATTTAATTCATGGTGGGTAAAGTTCATAATTTCATAATTGGATTGATGAAAGTACATTATAATCCTGATGAAGGCCATTTTAGTCATACGGTCATGACAAGGCCGCAGGCTCATGCTACTTGATCAATTTAAAGAAGGGAGCATATATACTACTGTGTTTGGATTTGATGAGTCAGCATTAAGATTTCTAATTAACATGGCAACGACGTGAAAAGTAGGACCCAGACTTGGCTTGATGTGGTATGAAATGATGGATTTGCTGTCCTCGTTCCGAAGTTTGATATCGTTATTTGAGATATACAGGTATTATCGAATTTCGAGTTATTTTTTTATAATTTGTGATTAAGATGAATCTTGAGAAGTTGTTTGGTATTCAGGATTATCAAATTAAGATCGGGATATGCAGCCTTATGGTCATTGCTCACACTTTGAAAAATTGCAAAATCCCAGCCAATCCGGTCTTATATTCCAATTTTTAGTAGTTCGCTCTAATTTCTCAATAAATCTCTTGTTATTTTTAGAACACGAAAAAGCGGACACTCTCACTCATTAGTCGTTGCTCTGTCTGAACTCAGTTGAATCAAAGATCACCAAAGACAAGATAATGAGATATCACCATCTCATTCCTTCCTTTTGTCCCTACCTTATGTTTAAGGCAAACTCAAGACTCTTTTCTCGAGTCTAGTAGCCCCAAATGAGCACCTGTGATGAATTAATTAATTCAATTGAGACTTTGATTAAATCCATTCAATGTGGACTTAATTGGTTTTTATTAGACTTTTCTCAACTCAACTTTCGATGGTCAAGGTTTTCAATCATGGAATTAAACTTCAAGCCTACACGAAGAAAAAAAAAACTGTTTAGGATTAGATGCATTCGAATCATTATTTATTTGCATGTATTATTTATTAATTGTGAAGGTAATTGATTTGGTATTAGGAATACCGAAACCGATATATCATATTGATTCCCACTTCTACTCCTCACATCTCAAACTGTGAGAACATGCTTACGAAAACGAGACGTTCCTGGATTACGTGTTAAACCTTTCGTGACTATTAAATAGATGCGAAATGTGCAATACTCAATCCAATAACGCACAACCCTGTAAATATGTTCTCATAAATGGACGGTAAGTATCATAGTCGGGTTGATTTAAGTCGGACTCCGACTAGTGATGATCTTATTGTGGTGATGAATATGATGTGCCGTTGTGTAGAGGGAAATATTATTATTAAGCTAAACCTCAAGAAAACGACCTCAAAAACCTATACGTGCTTCAATCTACTTTGTTTTTATTTGTGCCTTGTTTTCAAGCCTTTTGTCGAGTGGTGGTGGGTGTTTGGGCGGTGGATATATATGACTTGGATGTGCATTAATTTTCTCCCTTCATGTTTTAACCTAAAGGAAAAATGTATATATATGATTGTGTTGATTTATATTTTATGGGTCACGTTGTGTCACTATGGTTGGTTCGTTTCATGATAGGTTAGGTTATTTCTAGGTAGAAAACAAAAGCATTGTATGTCGAATTTTGATTCGACATGGTAAAAGTTCAATCAGATTGATTATGAGTTAGTTTGAATGAATTTCGGACTTCAATATATTTTGACATACTCTTGATGTCCTTTTATGGCTTTTTTTTCATTGGTTTTAAATTTTATAGTTTTACTTTCCCGCGTCTTTGATTTGAAGGTTGATGAAATGATAACGAAATTAGTTCTATGCACCATTTATGAATATTTTGTTCGATCAAATCATAAGTATATCGGATGTCCCCGAAGAGACCGATCAATCATAAGTATATATGAGCTATTCATGTTTGATTTTCGCTTTCGCACGACGTATATGAATATGGAAAAACTCGACTTAGTTAATTACAGAAGAGTAATGATTTTCTACATTCTCGAACGAAATGTTACACGACCGAAATAATTAATTTCTGATCACAAATATTACACGGCCTAGTATTCAACCCAATTATCTCACACGAACCGTTTCGCATTAACGACTCGCATGAGTTGCTATATATATACCCAATGATGGAGGTTTGCCTTCACTTCCAAAAAATGCGACATCTCAATCAGTAGATTTGATTGGATTTAGGTTAAACTTTCCAGGTCTGAAAATCTACACAATAAATAAAAGCCAAATGAGAAAACTTGAAGCCCCATTTCAAATTTCCTGCATCCAGAGTGAAAGTAGGAAGGACATTTTGGTCTTCACAATTACTATTTTTTATTCATTAAAAAGACACTTACTAGGATTCGAATCATGACCATTTTAAAGAAAAACAAAGATCATAACCAATCACACTAAGTACATTTGTTGCATCTTTTTAAATTAAAAACATATAATTGCAGAGAGGAAAAAACTATTTCCCCATTTAAAATTCCCTGCTCCAGGAGCGTTTGTAGGAAGAGTAGAATAGGGAGTGTCAATTTTTTTCTTTTTCCTCTGTGGAACGGGCCAACTTACCGTACACATGCGGATTTAAATGGGTCCAGGAGTGTCAATTTTTTTCTTTAAGTCCTTTTATTTCTCCATGGTGGTAAAATATATATATGAAAAGGCAAAACCAATACTCCTTTTTATTGCTAAAAAGAAAAAAATTAACAATAAACTAATGCATGGATTCTAATGGGCTAACCGCTAATCATAAAATAAAAGAGTTGAACGGGTCTGACCTACATGGGATTTGCCCATCAAGTAAAACAAATGAACATCATGGGTTTGTCATTCTAAAACAAACTATTTTCCCTAGCATAATATATACTATGCTATTATTTTATATCTTAGTGGCTAAAATATAATGTATTTTAAAGTTATTCAATGGTTCAACTTCGACCAACTCAATTAGTCCAATTTTTATCATTTCAAATATATATTATATAATTATTTGATATCATAATGATTAAATTATAGTGTATATTATAATGAATCGTTTGGTATTTGTTAGTAAAAAACTAAAGAGAAAGATCTATTTGGTTATTTTTAACATTAAAACGATCCTAAACATTTTCAGTTTCCTTTCGAAATTCTATAGTTTTATTCCCGAATCAGTGATGTGCAAATGGTGAATTGCCGTCATCTCTTTTCTTTTATTATTTATTATTTTCAAATATAAAGTTTAAAAGTAAAGAATAATTAGAGTTTGGCATGGGTCGGTCAAACAAGCTGAATTTCAAGTTTTGGCTCATTTTGATCAAGTCTAATTTATAATCACATGGTTATCTGATACCCTATAAAAATCTCAATCCAAACCAGTTTGGCAGGTGAGTCCGTGTTTACCACCATTTTCTAGGGATACGGGAACGGTGGTTCCTATCCCAAATCGTGCTGTTCATTCTTGATTTCTTTAGATTTTATCATGGCTTGGCAAAAATCCAGAAAGCACAATGATGAGAAGATGAAAGTTTTATAAATCAAATTAATCGGCCAACGGGCCGAGTAAAAGCTAGCAACGATTGTGAGATGCTCATTTCCCGAAAATAGGCGGGATATACGATTTTTTTTGGATTTTCTGGAATTCGGTTTCTATAAAACTTACTCCACCTCATCATATTACCAGAAACAATATTGTTTCACAAGGTAACATGTACTTGATTTTGGTTCATAAGACTGATTTTTGATTCGTTGCATCATTCATGTCTCTTTTCTACTAAAATTCACTATTTTTATCACGTGTTTCCCAAAAAAAAAACTATACAACAATAAACTATACACCCCATTACATTATCAAATTTCATACCTCATTTTTGTCCGGCTAAATGGCCGGGGCCCACGCTAGTTTGTCTTAAAACAAAGATGCTTCATTGCCTATGGAATCTTAAACCAAACTGCTTTGTGATTATTCAGAGTTGCAGACAAAGGGGAAAAGGACCTAATTTCCTGTTATTTTAATGTGAAGACAAGTTTACCAATCAACTATACATTATTAACTAATTTTTAATTACATCATCGTAGTAGATATATTATTATTTTTCACCATTAAATACTGCTTAATCAACCATTATTGCCAGCTAGCCGCCATAGTATCCCAATAGAAATGAGGTTAGTTCCCTTAAGCAGATGTCTAACTACCACAGCAGCCACTAGATAGTACTATAATAATAATTATAAGATGATGATGATACATTAGGGAGCAGTTATATGTGTACATCATATTCGTTTAATTTAGATCCACCATTCAGATTAATGTTTTGTAATGGATGGATGAAAAGAAGGAGTGTGTAAATGAATTGAGAGTAAAGGGTGAGATCCTGGAGAGTAATGGGTTTCAGAATTGCGCTTATCGATATAATCTAGTGTAACGTAGTTCTGCTAGTGATGTGAATACTTCATTTGTACATAAGAAGGGTGTCGGTGTTGATATAACTTGAATCAGATTATTTGTCGTCGATTGGAATTTACGGAATATGCGCCGCTTATACATGTTTGGGTCTCTATTTTGCGAGGGTGGGTTCTTAATCACTCTTCCTCTGGGACGAGACGCCACTTCTTTTACGAGGGAATAAGCTCAATAAAGTAAGGGGTCGTTTGGAAGTTGCGAATGTTAAATCTTTGCGTTGTAATGAATCACCATAATATAAATGCATGTATTGATACAATGGATGCATTTTAACAATATATTGTTTGGTTGTTGAGATTCTCCTTTATGCATTGATTTACATAAAGTTACTTTTATGGGAAAATGTCACATTTACCCTCAACTTTTAGAATAAGACAAAAACTATTGGGAATATAAATGGAAAGAAAAGGTTGACACAAATCTAAACCCAACAATCACAACTTTTAGTTGAGATTGTATAATGCATCATTTTTTGTGATTGTTGGTGAGACCTATCTAAAACAATGCATGCATTGTTTAACACTTTGGGGTCGTTTGGAAATTGTGATTCTTCAAATTGATGTATTAGGTCAATTAGTGTATTATCATTTGATGTATTGATTCAATGCATGTATTAAGAAAATACTTTGTTTGGAAGAGCAATGATGAAACAAAAAGTAGGGTAGACAATCCCTCATTAACAATCTCACCTTTTAGTAGAGATTTATAATCATTCATTTTGAGTGATTGTAGGTGGGCCCAACAAAAAGGTAATGCATGCATTCTAACTCAAAGTGAACCAAAAAAACAACTTAATTTTATCATTACATGTATTTGCTAAATACCTCACTTCAAATCTCAACCTCCAAACGACCCCTTTGACACTTCCAAACATTGTATTGTGCACAATACATGTATTCAACAAACACAATTCTAACAGTCACAATTTCGAAACGACCCTAACAGGCCGTTTGGTATCAAATGAATCGAGAATTCATTTCATTGTAAAATGAATTACCATGTAGAATTTATTTTCAAATGAAATCTTGTGTTTGGTATTGTCATATTCAAATCTTTACAAATAAAATGAATTGTAGTGTAGAATTCATTGTCAAATGAATTGTAGTGTAGAATTCATTGTCAAATGAATTCTTGTGTTTGGTATGTCATATGTATAAGTAATTTAGTTAATAAAAGTGGATAATTATGTCATTCTATTATAATTAGTAAATACTTGTGGAATTCATTTGGAAATTCCATCTCAATTCCTCGGAATTGCATAACTAGTTCCAATTCCGTAGAATTTAAAATTTAGAATTGAAAATAAATTCTTTTAAATACCATACACAAAAATATTTCATTTCCAAATGAATTCTTCAAAACTTATGAAATTCATTTATACCTCAGGTAAGTAACCTTGTTTTTCTGTTTCAAACGGGAGTTAAGGGCCTGTTTGGGCCCGTCTTCCAGAGATACCACGTCTATCATAGGCCCGAGTCATTGAGACAAAACCATGTGGGCTCGCGAAAATATAGCAACGTTATTGGGCCCATGCACGAACGAGTCATCGCCTACAGAATTCTTCTCCCCGACAAATACAAAGTTGTAATGGCAAACATAAAATAGAAATAAAAAAAAAAAGAAGAAAGAAGACAAATACAAAGTTGCAATAATCTATCGGATGGTATTATAATGATTCATGTCATATAGATACAGTACACGATTGGTGACAGGCAATTTTTATTGAACTTGATTGTTTTATAGATAAAACTTCACGATGCTAAAGGTCACATAGTTCGATTGGTGAACTTTCGTTAGGTGATCGTTCTGAATGTGTGAGGTCCTGAGTTTGATCCTTCTCGAGGTCCATTTATGGTGTTCCCGGCGATTTGAATGAGAATATTAGTGGAGGGTACGAAGAGCTCAAACAGGTGAACATTAGGTTTGATCTCATAAGTGAAACAATCGCTATCTTTTCACTGACCGTCTATCTTAAAGAAGATGAAATCTTAGGATTTATCTACTAAAAAACTCTCGCTCAACAAAAAAGTTGTGGATTTCTCTACTAAATTTTTTAGATCTTTATTATATCATTTAGTATCTAGATTTTTCAAAATATACATAATGATCCAACTTTTTAGATACCACTTAAATCCATCAATACAAATATACAATCAATGAATTCACTAATCCATAAATCCAATGCATTCTATTTATCTAGTGTACATTTATGTCCCTGAACAGAGTAGCAGCAATGGCTGCAACTAACCTAACCCCTCCCTCAAGGCAAAGTAATTCACTGCTGAAAAATGATTTCCAGAGATATTAACACTCTCGTCGTCTCTCCACAGATTCCTAACTCTATCAAAGACTCTTCTATGATTCTGTTCTTCCCAAATCGCTTCTTTTTCCAGTAAGCTGTGGATTCCAGTCCTTCATTTACCCGGACCAAATAACGTCGACGCTAACACCTTCCTTTATTTATCTCCATTATTAGTCAATTTCACTTCCCCCACCATTTTCATCTCTCTGTTTTCACACTGTTAAACGGCTGCGACACTGAGAAGAGATTCTCTTCGGCCAATATTTGCCCTTAAAGTATGAACCTTTGAGAAGGGTTTTACCCATTTTCAAAAATTGGGCACTGATTGAAGCTCAGACATGGCGCAAGTAATGAGCTTTTCATTCTTTTCCCTGTTCTGGAGTTTATATTTTCATGTCAGGTTGGTAATATTCTTTTTGTTGCAGGAAGAGATATCTGGTTCTGCTGCTAATGTAGGAGGAGATGGTGGAGAGCCAGCCAGGCTCGAGGTTTGTTTCTACCAACCAACTCTGTTTCTCACCAGCTTAAATGGGTTGGTAAATTTTGAACAGGGGATTTTTTTTTTTTTTTTTTTTCACTTGGTTTCTTCAGGGGAGGTTCAAAGCTTTGTTGGTTTTTTGGATCCTTGGATTCGGGTCACTACTTTCATGGAACAGTATGCTTACGGTTGGGGATTACTACCTCAAATTGTTCCCGGTAGATAAAAAATTCTCAGCCCTCCTTTCCTCTGACCAATCCTGCTGTTGTGCTTTTCCCCTGACTTTCTTTTGGGATGCTCACCATGTGTTTGAAGAAATACCACCCTTCAAGGGTTCTCACAGTCATTTACCTACCCTTCGCCCTGGGAACCATGTCGATCCTCGCGTATAACGAGTCGAGGATCAACACTAGGACAAGGAACATAGCTGGATATCTACTCTTCTTCGCCGGCACTCTCATGCTACTTGTTGTAAGTGCTCCATCTCTAAGCTTTGGAATCCACCCAGAACGCTTGCCAACTCTAAAAACTAAACGAGCTGACTTGAAAACCAGCTGGATTTCGCGACATCGGGAAAGGGAGGAGCTGGGCCGTTTGTTGGCATTTGCTTGATCGTTGTGTCATTTGGGGTTGCAGATGCTCACGTTCAAGGTGGAATGGTGGGAGATTTGTCGTTCATGTGCCCTGAATTCATGCAGGTTAGTTGGGAATTCTCGTTCTCTCTTCACTTCAGCCAGAAAAAGTTCACATCTTTGGCTCATGCTTGTTGATGGGTTTCTGAAAAAGACGGAATTTGTTATTGCTGCAGTCCTTCTTTGCTGGTTTGGCTGCGTCAGGAGCCATGACTTCAGCGTTAAGGTTGATCACCAAAGCAGCATTCGAAAATGCCAACAATGGACTCCGAAAAGGAGCTCGTAAGTCACACTTCACTCCATCTTTTTTGTCACTCAACTTTCCAGTTTCCATTGTGGTCAGCAGTCTAATTTAATCTCCTTTCAAATTCCAGAGCTGTTTCTAGCGATTGCCACATTCGCAGAGTTCCTGTGCTTCCTACTCTATGCGTTCTACGTGCCAAAGCTGCCGATAGTGAAGTACTACCGCGCCAAGGCAGCTAAAGAAGGATCGAAGACGGTTTCAGCCGACCTTAAAGCTGCTGGCATTCATACTCATTCTGAACAGGTAAAGTCTCATCACAACTTCACCATGATCTTCCTCTTTTTTTTTCGTTTCAATTCATACGAAATTCGACGAATCATTTTCGATATCCCTATTAGGGGGAGGACACCAAACTGATTGAACGGCTGAACAACAAGCAATTGATAGCCCAGAACATAGACTATGCCATGGACTTGTTCTTCATCTATGTCCTGACTGCGTCAATCTTCCCCGGGTTCCTCTCCGAGGACACAGGCACCCACCGATTGGGTTCATGGTAAGACCCTCATCAAATTAGGGGGATGACATCAAATCCTTGTCTCATCAGGAAAAAAGTCATGGCTCATTTTACTTTCCTGTCAGGTACATACCTGTGTTGATTGCAGTGTACAATACTTGGGATTTGGTGGGGAGATACGTGCCACTGATCGAGTGCATCAAGTTGACCTCGCGAAAGTGGGTTATGATCGCGATCCTGTCTCGATTCCTACTCATCCCTGCGTTCTACTTCACGGCCAAGTATGGCGGTCAAGGGTGGATGCTCTTCGTCACATCGTTTTTAGGGCTCACCAATGGCTACTTGACCGTTTGTGTCATGACCGTGGCTCCAAAGGGCTACAAGGTTAGTAGTAGTAGTAGTCCTCTCCTTTCCCCTGCCTAAACTTAGGTTCAAAGGGTTATTATGCAGAAAATCGCAATCGTGACGACTTTGGTTTGTCAATTTGCTTGGGTTTGCAGGGTCCGGAGCAGAATGCACTGGGCAATCTGCTCGTGCTGTTCTTGATGACTGGTATTTTTGCAGGCGTGACCCTTGATTGGTTGTGGCTGATTGGGAAGAAAAACGCCTTCTGAAGAAAGCTCAAAGCAAGCGTCAGCAAGAAAGGAAACTTGCTTTTCTGTTTCAAAGGGGGAGTTAAGGGCCTGTTGGGCCCGGTTGCGAGAGATACTACCAAGTATAACAGATAGGGCTGAGTCATTGATAGAGAAACCATGTGGGCTCACCAAAATAGAGCAACGTTATTGGGCCCTTGCGCGCGAATGAGTCATCGCATATATTGTGGACCGAAACGGTGTATACGTGGCGAGTTTTTATATCAGGTGGATTTCACTATATTTGGGATTCGGCTCGTGTGGACTAAATCGTAAGTAGTCGTTCATAATTGTTCTCCCTCAACAAATACCATAATACTAATATCTTGCATGTGAAAGCAAAACAAGTTGAAGAAATCTTCCCGTGGTATTATAATGATACACACTCCGATAGTCCGATGTACCTATCTGACCGAAAGGAAAGATAAAGATCCATAGTTCCCTACAATCCCACTTAACTAAATAGTCCAACCTACGATGGTGCACATAACTCGTTTGCGAGAACTTATAATCATAGGATTGTACGTGGAGCGTTCCACGATTTAGGATGGACTTGATGTCATTTTATTTATAAAATTGTCATATAATGTTCATTCAATTGAATGTATTGTGCTCATTTTAGCAGAATAAAAAAAAAAAACAATCCGATTATGGTGCTCACATGTTGTATATGAGGTAAAGAGCATGCTCTAAGACACCCGGACCAGTCGATCGGATCGGGTGCAAGTGCTTTGCGACGACATGATGGCGATTTTGTACAAAGGGAACAATAGGAACAAAGGATTGTGACACAATTAGAAGGACAAAAGGAGCCTCTCATCAAATCAAAACAATTAAAGCATTAAAGAAGTTAATGTAGAAAGAGACCGATGCATCAATTAATCCATATTAGTCAAACAATGAGTTGGATACTTAACCTTATTAATACGCGATTGAATGACAAACACTCAATTGTTTATAATTTGGAAATTAATAAAGAAGGAACCAAATAAAAATATTTTCCATGATACTTGACCGGGCTGGCCCGTCGTGATTCTTTATCAGCCTGTATGGAAAGGCTAAATTTTGAGGAAATGGAATTCCAATTCCCAAACTTTTCATGATTCTCATGTTTGGAAGTAAAAAGTAAAAAGGAAATGGAATTCCAAAAGGCAAAAAGTTTGAAATTCTAATTCCCACAGAAAGTGGTCAGAATGGGTGGAGGGAGTGATGGAATTAGTGGACCCCACATTAATTTTGACTCACCTTTACAAGAAAGCCCTTACTACTTTTCGATTTGAAATCACTAATACCAAGGATATTATTGTAAAAGCACTTGTAAGAAATCATTTCCATTTTTTCCAAACATAAAAAGATTAAATCATTTCCCAAAACTTTTGGATTTGTTCCAAACATAAAATTTTAAAATGAATTCTCACTTGAATTCAGATTCTCACAAGAAATGGAATTCATTTTCCAACAGAATTATATCCAAACAAGCGGTATGTGTACACATGATACGAGTTGAAATCGTATGAGTGAATGAATCCCTTTTCTTGGCGGGATTGAGCCAGTTCTCTCTTTTCTTGGCGAGAAATGACCAGGGGGTTTCCTTACTAAAATTCTGCTTGCCTCTTATTTCATTTAATCACCCCTTAAATACATCACGTTGGAACAAATAAATCCTATCTATATGGGACTACTCCCACGTCCAGCTAACCACTTGCCACTTCTCCTATAACTGCTCCTACTGACTCTAACAAACATAGAACTCTAACAACCTTGTTGACCCACTAACACTCCTAACTAGAATAGTCAATTACGTTCCTATTTTACAATGGCAAGCTTGCTGTCGGGTTTAAGGCCTCGTGTCTTTATGGGCTGGGCTACGTCTCGTCATCACGATAGCGGTGTTGGGCTACGGAACTCGAGCTGAACGATATATGGTTGCATCATTACCACCCCCTGAAAAACGGCCTTGTCCTCAAGGTCGAGCTGAACGAAGCGATGAGAGAACAACCATTGAATGTTCCCGGTAGCATCATCGATGGGAAGCGGCCTCCCTTGGCTCAATTCCGTCGTCGAATCCAACCCTTCAATTAATGGTCCATTAGTCACCCCAGATGATTGACTAGAGTTGCATATCACCTCAGTTAGCTCCTCCACCCTTGCAATACTCTTCTCGTAATTTATGGGGTTCCAAAATGTCAAGACTTTTCTTGGGGCTGGTTTTAATCCTTCCAATTTTCCCATACGTGCGTAATTCCTTGAAGGATGGGACCCAATAAAGGAATACCACCCATGTACGCATGCCATCAATAAAGGAGACTCCAAATTAGTGTTCTTACGAGGGTAATTGTGCTTTCTCCAACGCGGGTTGGATGCATATTTACTGAGAATGGAGCTCCGATAGCAATCCTCCTGCCTGAAATCGAATCTGCGATGTGACGTGGTAGTAACTTCGGTAACTTGAATTTTCTTCCTTGTCTTCCTCCAATAAATAAGTCTTCCCTTATGACCCTTTTCCGTAATCATGGGAATGACTGCTACTCTTCGAACTTGTTGCGATCGTAGCGAGCATCTTAACCATGGATCCCAAGTAGCAACGTCGTTGACGAGGGCGGTTGTCGGTGATGTAAGAGTCCTGTAATCTGATGAGGCCACAACTGATGGCGGTGGTGCGATCAGATCCAGGAGATTTGGTAAGTCTTCCTTAGTTGCAGTTGTCCAATCCACAAACACGGTGAACTCTGCTGCGGCTTCTTCCTCGTCGATCATGAGTAGGTTGGTGGTGATGGCTGAGGGCGCGACGATAGGTACGAAGAACATGGACGGTGGAGGTGGTGCGATATGGATGACATCAGCAGAGTCTTCTTCCTTGGAATTCTTCTTCCTTTTCTTCCACCAATAGAGAAAATCGGCATCAATACCACATAGTCCTACTGTCCTGGGGAGTTTCTTTCTAAACCGCCAAGGGTTTATATTTCCTAAGATGACTATGCATCGAATAGGAATCACACAATTGGGGATTAAGTCGATTCCCATTGATAGGAATCCCTTTTCTTGGCGGGATTGAGCCAGTTCTCTCTTTTCTTGGCGAGAAATGACCAGGGGGTTTCCTTACTAAAATTCTGCTTGCCTCTTATTTCATTTAATCACCCCTTAAATACATCACGTTGGAACAAATAAATCCTATCTATATGGGACTACTCCCACGTCCAGCTAACCACTTGCCACTTCTCCTATAACTGCTCCTACTGACTCTAACAAACATAGAACTCTAACAACCTTGTTGACCCACTAACACTCCTAACTAGAATAGTCAATTACGTTCCTATTTTACAATGGCAAGCTTGCTGTCGGGTTTAAGGCCTCGTGTCTTTATGGGCTGGGCTACGTCTCGTCATCACGATAGCGGTGTTGGGCTACGGAACTCGAGCTGAACGATATATGGTTGCATCATTACCACCCCCTGAAAAACGGCCTTGTCCTCAAGGTCGAGCTGAACGAAGCGATGAGAGAACAACCATTGAATGTTCCCGGTAGCATCATCGATGGGAAGCGGCCTCCCTTGGCTCAATTCCGTCGTCGAATCCAACCCTTCAATTAATGGTCCATTAGTCACCCCAGATGATTGACTAGAGTTGCATATCACCTCAGTTAGCTCCTCCACCCTTGCAATACTCTTCTCGTAATTTATGGGGTTCCAAAATGTCAAGACTTTTCTTGGGGCTGGTTTTAATCCTTCCAATTTTCCCATACGTGCGTAATTCCTTGAAGGATGGGACCCAATAAAGGAATACCACCCATGTACGCATGCCATCAATAAAGGAGACTCCAAATTAGTGTTCTTACGAGGGTAATTGTGCTTTCTCCAACGCGGGTTGGATGCATATTTACTGAGAATGGAGCTCCGATAGCAATCCTCCTGCCTGAAATCGAATCTGCGATGTGACGTGGTAGTAACTTCGGTAACTTGAATTTTCTTCCTTGTCTTCCTCCAATAAATAAGTCTTCCCTTATGACCCTTTTCCGTAATCATGGGAATGACTGCTACTCTTCGAACTTGTTGCGATCGTAGCGAGCATCTTAACCATGGATCCCAAGTAGCAACGTCGTTGACGAGGGCGGTTGTCGGTGATGTAAGAGTCCTGTAATCTGATGAGGCCACAACTGATGGCGGTGGTGCGATCAGATCCAGGAGATTTGGTAAGTCTTCCTTAGTTGCAGTTGTCCAATCCACAAACACGGTGAACTCTGCTGCGGCTTCTTCCTCGTCGATCATGAGTAGGTTGGTGGTGATGGCTGAGGGCGCGACGATAGGTACGAAGAACATGGACGGTGGAGGTGGTGCGATATGGATGACATCAGCAGAGTCTTCTTCCTTGGAATTCTTCTTCCCATGTAGTTGATGCGGGCGGTTGCTAACCAATAGGGACTGCGGCTCACTCTCCTGGTGCTTCTTTTTGGCAAGGCATGTTGAAACATGAACGACCTTGACTGATAATTCAAGGTGTGACTCCAGCTCAAGGGCGATAGATCGCGGTTCAGGTGCGCCTACAGGTGGAGCGATCGTAGAACTCGAAACGCTCTTAATCTTCGGCGGCGATGGACCAATGACGACGGCAAGAGCGGTAGGTATCGACATCTTTGTCGTGACGGCTAGGGATGCAACGAGACTTGGTTGTGGAGCGATCTTGTTGTCTTCCAAGGCGGGGAGGGTATCGAGCGGCGGTGGCGGTGCAACGGCATTCGAAGGGAATGCTGCTGTGGGAGACACGAACGACTTCAAAGGCGCAGGTGGTGCAACGTTGACAAAATCGATATCTTCTTCCTCGACCTCTACCCAATCGGCAGCTTCAACTCGCGGCAGTGGTGCGGTGACTCTATCGTAAGCTTTGATGGCTCTACGGCAAGCTGCCATCGCAATATCCAAGGATGTCATCATCCGATTGATGAGTTCGTCTCGTGATGGTTTCTCTGAGTGCATCGTGATCGAAACCCGGATCAACGGCTCTGATACCAAATGATACGAGTTGAAATCGTATGAGTGAATGAATCCCTTTTCTTGGCGGGATTGAGCCAGTTCTCTCTTTTCTTGGCGAGAAATGACCAGGGGGTTTCCTTACTAAAATTCTGCTTGCCTCTTATTTCATTTAATCACCCCTTAAATACATCACGTTGGAACAAATAAATCCTATCTATATGGGACTACTCCCACGTCCAGCTAACCACTTGCCACTTCTCCTATAACTGCTCCTACTGACTCTAACAAACATAGAACTCTAACAACCTTGTTGACCCACTAACACTCCTAACTAGAATAGTCAATTACGTTCCTATTTTACAATGGCAAGCTTGCTGTCGGGTTTAAGGCCTCGTGTCTTTATGGGCTGGGCTACGTCTCGTCATCACGATAGCGGTGTTGGGCTACGGAACTCGAGCTGAACGATATATGGTTGCATCAACACACTACAATGGGTTGACTCAAATTAAGGGTGGGCATTGGTCCGGTCCGGACCGAATCAGACCAAATTCAGAGAATCGCGGTCCAATAGTAAAAGATAATTTAGAACCAAGGACCGGACTAATAGTGTATTTGGTTCGTTTGGTCCGGTCCAAATGTAAATTCGGTCCTTTTTTCTTCAGTATTTATAAAATTTATGGGACCAAGCATCGGATCATATTATATTCGATTCAGTGTGGTCCGATCCAAACATCGATTCGATCCGGTGTGGTCCGGTTTGGACCAACCCATTGCCACCCCTAGACTCAATGCATTATAAATTATGAATATCTCATTCATGACGTTTTTTTTTTAAAATATATATATATATATTTAATTCACACTATTATTTTGTTGAGCAAAATAATTTGTCATTTAGGAAACTGATTAATATTTAGATCCCATGGTTAATCATGGCTCAAGGATGGTCCTTACACGACAAGTCTTAATTATGAAAATATAATTGTACTTTTGATTAGGTCCATTTGATTGGTGGCACTTGAGAGTGTTTTCGTACATTGAGAATACATAAGTTAAAGGATGTCTAAAAATTCAATCAAGATTTAGAGATATTCATCACATTAACATCACAATAAATCTAATATTATACCATTATAATTAACCATATAGACATAAAAATTATGTTTATTTGCTAAACAACACGCCAAATGATTACAACTCGAACAATATCCAAGTGTCTCATTGTACAAAAATATCATCATCGTCGAGCTAGACCGTAGAGGAGATTTAATATCATTCGAAAAGTTAAGAAGATATTCCTCCCAAGAAAAGAGGCCTTCCCATTGCTCATCCAAAGCAATGATACAGGCAGTGGAGGAGCTAGGTTGAAACCAGGAGGGGCTACATCTCTCTTCAAATTCAAAACATAGGTAAAATTACATGTATAATCCGTAACAAATTTAGGAAATAGAGTAGTCGATAAGGCCTTAACCTCCTCTCCCCAATTGTCTCGGTTCAAGACAACCTCTTCATTCAGATTCCTGACTCCGCCACTAGATGCAGGTACAACAATGGACGAAAATGGTATTTTTAATCATGCTTACTATATGTAAAATGAAAAACCTAAACCCTAATGTCAACTGCTCTCAGCCAAATGGCCTCAAGAGCCTGAAATGGTAATCGAACCTCACCCACCCTTATAATCAAACATTATTGAGAAGAAGAAAAAAAACAGAGTAGGAGCAACTGCAACTAAACCTAACCCCCTTCCTCAAGTCAAAACAATTCACCACTGAATAATGATTTGGTACTTGGTAGCAACTCTGGATCCAGAGCCATTAAATATCCTCTCTATCACCAGATTCTTAACTCCATCAAAGATTCTGCCACGATTCTCTTCCAAAATCGCTTATTTTCCAGTGCCTCTATTCCTCGAAGCATATAACGTCAACGCTAACACCTTCCCTTTATCCCCATTAATCAATTAGTTCCCCCTCAATCTCTCCTTAATTCTTAAACCGGCCGATTCGCCTACCTCATTTTCCTTGCACCCTTCTTTCTCCAGATTCCTCTGCTTTCACACTGTTAGTCGGCTGCGTGAGTGACGAGACTCTTCCGCCATTTCAATCCGATAAAGTCTGCAGCTTTGCAAAAGGGGTTTGCCTATTCTGAAAATTGGGTGCTGAGTGAAGCTCGAACATTACATGGCGCAAGTAATGAGCTTTTTCTTCTTTTCCTCCCCTGTCTGAGCTCTGTACTTGTTTCAGTTTTCTGGGTTTTATGTTTCCATATCGGGGTAGTGATTATCTTTTTGTTGCAGGAGGAGATAGCTGTGGGCGTTGCTAATGGAGGAGGAGATGGCGGAGAGCCAGTCAGGCTCGAGGTTTGTGTTCTACCATTCAACTCTGTTTTTCTCTTCTTCAGCTCAAAAGGGTCTGAATTCTGAAAATTTTGAACAGGGGAATTTCATTTTTTTTTTGGGTGTTTCTTCAGGGGAGGTTCAAAGCTTTGTTGGTTTGTTGGATCCTTGGATTCGGGTCACTTGTTTCGTGGAACAGTATGTTGACAATTGGGGATTACTACTACAATCTGTTCCCGGTAAATAAAAAAACCTCCACCTTCCTTTTCCCCTGACTTGCATTTTGTTGCTTTTCCCTGACTTTCTTTTGGAATGCCTACCATGTGCTTGAAGAAATACCACCCTTCAAGGGTTCTCACGCTCGTTTACCAACCCTTCGCCTTGGGAACCATGGCGATCCTCGCCTACAACGAGTCGAGGATCAACACCAGGACGAGGAATATCGCTGGATATCTACTCTTCTTCGCCAGCACTCTCATGCTACTTGTTGTAAGAGCTCCATCTCTAAGTTTGTAATCACACTTGCCAATTTGGAGTTTGTATAGCACACCGAAACTAAACGAGGTGACTTGAAAACCAGCTGGATTTCGCGACTTCGGGGAAGGGAGGAGTTGGTCCGTTTGTTGGCATTTGCTTGATTGTTGGATCATTTGGGGTTGCAGATGCTCACGTCCAAGGAGGAATGGTGGGAGATTTGTCATTCATGTGTCCTGAATTCATGCAGGTTAGCTGGAAATCTGTTTCCCTTTTGCACTTCAGCTCAAAAAAGTTCACATCTTTGGCCCTTTTATTCTTGCTTGTTGGTGTGTTTCTGAAACGGTTGGATTGCATGCAGTCCTTTTTTGCTGGTTTGGCTGCATCAGGAGCCATGACTTCAGCATTAAGGTTGATCACCAAAGCAGCATTCGAAAATGCCGACAATGGACTTCGCAAGGGAGTTCGTAAGTCACTTTAACTTTCCACTTTCCATTTTGATCAACAGTCTAATTCTCAGAACTTAAAACTGGTTTTTATTCACATTGTTCCTTTCGAATTGCAGAGTTGTTTCTTGCTGTAGCCACATTTGCAGAGTTCCTCTGCTTCCTACTCTATGCGTTCTACGTGCCAAAGCTGCCGATAGTGAAGTACTACCGCGCCAAGGCTGCTAGAGAAGGATCGAAGACGGTTTCAGCTGACCTTAAAGCTGCTGGCATTCATACTCCTTCTGAACAGGTAAAGTCCACACAATTTCAACATGATTTTCCTCTTTTTCGTTGTAGTTCATATGAATTTGACAAATCGTTTTTCGATCCTTATTAGGGAGAGGACAACAAACCGATTGAGCGATTGAGCAACACGCAGTTGCTAGGCCAGAACATAGACTATGCTTTGGACTTGTTCTTCATCTATGTCCTGACTTTGTCAATCTTCCCCGGGTTCATCTCTGAGGACACAGGCACCCACCAATTGGGTTCATGGTAAGACCTCACCCATTTTGCTCAAGAATTCCCTTTTTCCATGCCTAGCAGCCCTATCAAATCCTTGTCTCGTCAGGAAAAGTTCTGGTTCATTGCTTTCCTGCCAGGTACATACTTGTGTTGATTGCGATGTACAATGCTTGGGATTTGGTGGGGAGATACGTGCCACTAATCGACTGCATCAAGCTGACTTCGCGAAAGTGGCTTATGATCACGATCCTGTCTCGATTCCTCCTCATCCCTGCATTCTACTTCACGGCCAAGTATGGTGATCAAGGGTGGATGATCTTCCTCACATCGTTTTTAGGGCTCTCCAATGGCTACTTGACCGTCTGTGTCATGACAGTAGCTCCAAAGGGCTACAAGGTTAGTGTAGTCATCTCCTTCCCCACTCTAAACTTATCTTCAAAGGGTTAACTTAGAATCCTGAATCCTGACTACTTTGGTCTGTCAATTTGCTTTGAGGTTGCAGGGTCCGGAGCAGAATGCATTGGGGAATTTGCTCGTGTTGTTCCTGCTGGCAGGCATTTTTGCTGGCGTGACCCTTGATTGGATGTGGCTAATTGGCAAGAAAAATGCCTTCTGAAGAAGTGGAGCCTTCGATTCATTCTGTAGGGAAAAGAGACTGCTCAATGTAGCTGAAAGTTCCAATCTTACACACATATAAGAATGCTGTTCAGTGGGCGAAAAAAACCAAAAAAAAAAAAAAAGACATGGCTTCGCCCGGGTTCGAACCGGAGACCTTCAGTGTGTTAGACTGACGTGATAACCAACTACACCACGAAACCATTTGTTGAATCAACCACATTTTTACCATATACTACCGTTAATAAAGAAGAGTATTAGTGATTTTAGGTCTCGTCTAGTTTTTATAACTTTCTTTTGTTATTCTCTGTTACGTTTTTCGCTAGGCTGGGCTGATGGATAATCTTGTCTGAGCTCCCCCAAATTTTGGACTTAGGCTCCCTATTCTTTCATGAACCTAGTTCTAACTATGCATCGGTTTCCTATTCATAACGAAATGAGACACAAAATCCGAATTAATGTCACTTTTTCTATTAATTCATCGTAATTTTTTTTCAACAGGAGGTGTGATGGAGTTCCTTCGTTGTCTCTCTTAGTAGTTATAGTACAACTCGACCCCGATGCTATGTGGTTGCACTTGTTCATTATTAATCGTCCAAATTCCAAACGATATTTTCATATTGACTTAGAGCAAGTGTTAGCACTATACTAACAACAACAAAAAAATGTTAGCATGCCGACCAATTCCTCCAAAGTATAGTTGAATTGTTGTCGACTTCAATTAGCCTACTAATTAATTGGCAAGAACCCCACGTACATGAGCGGAGGGAGTGTGTACGGAGGGGGTGCCCCTGCACACCCTTGGATCGGAGAAAAAAGGGTTAAAAATTGGTATATATAGTAGATTGCTTGCAATGGAACTTGAATATAGAAGGTTATTCCCTGCACTTAATTATTTCTACCATCAAACTATATTAGGAGCGTACATTTAAAATATCTTCAATTATATAAATGATATATCATAGTTTGTACACGAATAAAATAAAATTCATATATGATTAACTCAATCTTTTAAATTTCTAATGTTTTAAGATAATTGTTAACTCTAAATTGTGGTGACTCTTAATTAACCTCCCACAACACCATTATGCGTCCAATATCAAACTATCCACACAAACGTGGTTACTAAGTCGTTCACCTCTACCATCTCATCCCAATCAATGTTCCTCGACTATCCATAATCAATAGAGTGACCTTAACGTAACTCTCCATGGATGGAATGATAAGGAAAATCACGAATCATTTGGTAGGATATATGGACACAATAATGTGTTTGATAGTTTATATGAAGAACATATATTTTAAAATTTATATATAGTAAAAACGTTGCGAGTCACTAAATAGGATTAATAATTTTTCATATAAGATATATTTATTTTAATTAAGAAAATTGCACCCCTAAAATTCTGACCACGCCACTACCCACTTTTTATGTCCTTTCCCAAACCGCCACTTTTCCTTCAAGGGTAAAAACAAGATTAATGGCCAATAAAGATCGACGTACAAACTCTCTCTTTAACCCTACGTACCCTGCATGCATGCCTCTAAAAGACTTAAAACCCCTCTTTATCCTCCCAATCGCACGTAACACCAATAAATAATAGAAACCTCTCTTCCCACACTCAACCCTTTTTTTTCCCCTTTATTCCAAAATCCATTGCCAAGCATTAATTGAAAGCATCATAAGAATTTCTTCATGTTCATCATACATGAACATGAAGATTGATGTATACAACAATTCCCCTTTTCTATCTATATAACTCAATCGAGCAAGCTATCACAATATTACGTGGAAGCAATACCCATTTGAATTTGAAGGTATATAATCCTTCAAACTTCATCAAATCGCCGTATACCAAAAGTCTAGCAATATGTTGCGAGTTGTTAGCACCTTATTCGGTCCCTCGAGAGCCACACGAAACCCGGTTCAGATATTGTCCCGGCATTTCCACAGGGACCCGATTCCGGTGGCTTGGGAGAGGCCCGACGCCGGATGGACGAAGCTAAACTTCGACGGCTCGTGTAAAGGCCTGAAGGGCGTGTCGAGCATAGGCGGGGTGTTCAGGAACCACAAGGCCGAGTTCATGCTGGGCTACGCGGAGCCCATCGGCTCGACCACCAGCGTGGTGGCCGAGCTGGCGGCCCTCCAGCGCGGGCTGGAGCTCGTGCTGGAGAACGGGTGGAGCAACGTCTGGCTCGAAGGGGACGCCAAATCGGTCGTGGAGGTCATCTCGCGGCCCAACAGCAGGAAGCTGCTAAGCTGCGAGATGGCTCGAAGACACGTCAGTCACATCAACCTGATCATGTCGGAGATCGATAACTGCATGGTAAAGCACGTCTATCGAGAAGGGAACAGGGTCGCGGATAAATTTGCCCAGATGGGGCATGGGTTGGACCGGCCGAGAGTCTGGAGGCACGTGCCGCCGGACGATGATGTTTTGCTGCGGATTGTGCAGGAGGATGCCGTGGGGAAGATCATCATCCGGAACCGGAGGAGACAAGACAGACATTAATTCATCAATTGTTAACAATCATTCATTTGTACATTGATTTTTGCAATTAGTATATGTAAAGCTGTAAATATTTCTGTGTATATTAATGGATCAATTAGCTAGTAGTTCTCTTGTACTTACCTTTTGTTTAAAAAAATTTGTACAATCACGTACGTAATTCGTTTTATTTAAGATTATATGCTCTCTTAATTCTTAAAATTTTGTAGAATTTTGATGGCGGGAGAGTTGGGTAAAGCATATGGAGCAGAAGAAAGGAAACCTTTAAACGTTCATGTTATAATATGTCTTTCGTCTAATCCAAGGCAATTTTTGGTTTGGTGTGTAAATTGAGTCCCTTAATTTATAAGCACCGTGTCATGTTTGAGTTGCGGTCACGTCATTACAAACTATAAAAATAATTTGTGTGCGACCCTTTAGTCTAAATTGTTACTTGAACACAACGTATTTACGATGTGTTCTATAACTGTTTGAGCCGCAATATTTCCCCTCCGAAGATTCCAACTAGATCTGACTTTACTCCACCTGGCTGGGCGTCCGGGTCCTACAAGAACAGGCGCACAGCGGGCCTTTAGAGCCCGTTAGCACTCCAACGATCAAGTTAGTCCAAATTTTAGAGAGATAAGTGCTCAAGATGTTTTAGTGAGACTGTAAGAGAAGTCAACCTGCTTAAATGCCACATACCGAACACTATTTATACTTGTCGAAGTTCCGACCGAGCTCCCGAAGTTCAACCCTACGTCAGCAAAGCATTAAATGCTCGATACGGCCCAACGTCTAGGTGCCTCTACGTGGCACTCTCTCAATCTTCCTGTCAGGGGCGCCCAGCGGGGACCACACCCCACAGGCGGCAGTCTTTTAGCCCTCTTCCTCCGTACTAATTTGTCTTCAAGCCTCCTTTTGTCGCTATGCGCCCTCTCTCTACAGATATGCCTTGGTGATCTTTTTTCTCGAGTTTAGTCCATGTTGTTCTGGGCTCCCAAATGGACTCGGGTTCAATTGGGTTTGTGACAATTCAGTGGGCCTATCTATAGTGTCCCAACAATAACTTTTCCAATGCATCCATGAAAACTTCAACCCAACTTTATGATTTATCTTTTATTGTGATTGCTTCTTATTAAACCGAATAACTCTGAATGAGAAGTATGGTTACATACACTATAAGGAAAAAGAATTAAACAAGTGAAATAATCTACATAATTAGTTATTAGAAATCATGTTCTTTTAAACTCACACATGGGTCCAATCATGCAGGATTATAAAGGGATTTAAGCTCTGGCGGTTAACCGAATTAAAACTTTCAAATAACTTATCACTTATAGTTTGCCCTTAAGGTGGGTCCGACATAAAAATAAAATTATATAAAATGAATGAAATGACCTATAACGCGTTTCATAGTATGTCGACATATTTTCGTTGGAAGGTGGATAATTCGATACTAAATTAGAAATTAGTAAATTTATAATACATAATTAGAGACACAGTTTTATATAAAGTCGAGAGTTATTTATATAATATGCAAGGTTCATGTGTACCACAAAGTTTTCTACAATTTATTTGTAGATAAGTAAAACCAGTAAACATGAGGTAATAGGTTCCAGAGTTATTAATTGTGTACAAATATTGTTATCTGTGTAATAATTTAGCAAGGATTGTAAATCCGTAGCAGTGGCTGTACTAAAAAAGTCAATAGTATGATACTTATGTTGAAACCATGATTTAATCGTGATTCAATCATTTTACACTACTAAAAAACCGTCCACGATTTAAAATCCAATAGAAGGTTTTCTCGATCGAACCACCTATACAATACAATTTTACAAACACTATAATCTTGAGCCAAGGTGGGTCCCGGGACCCACCTTGTTATGAGCTGGCTCCGCCACTGAGCACCGGACCATCAATCGAATCTTCTAAGACGCCTTGCCGGATCTGTGTTCTGATGTTAAAAATTATCAGTTTACTTATGATGTTAAAAATTAAACTATTAATGCTCCTCTTAACTTATAGTTGTTGAGTTCCTTCCCTTATACATGCATATACTTGTGGGTTAACTATATTTTTCCCCAAAACTAAGTGGGTGTAGTGAACTCATAATACATTTATCATTCCGCTGACTTTTTTAATACACCTCTGTACTCTGGTACCTTCCTTGAGATATGAGACCACTCCATTACTCATCGTTGAAAGATTATCCAACAATGACTTATGCTTCAGGCTTATTTAGGGAGGGTAGGGCTTGGCCTTGCATATGGCCCAAGATGATTGTCAAGAAGTCCAAACAATATAAATAAATAAAAGCAAGCCCAAACACTTGGACAGGTCCAAAATGGAAACTGGACCCGGTGAACTCCCACACTATATGCAGTACAATGATCCCAGTACAAGAAAAACCAGCAGTACATGCAGATCTCTTGATCAGCTAACTTTCTCCTCCTCAATCTGATGAAGTAATGAACCCATTCTATTAAATAATTCTATGTTATAATACTGGAAATTCCCAATTTCCCATATAGAAGCAGGCAAACCATTGGTTTGGGATAGTACAATCCACAAACCCTAAAAACCCAGCACTCTTCTTTTTTTCTGTACTACTACAACCACCTTAAAATTCCCCATTGCTCAATCTCTGTATAAAACCCAAAGCTTTCAATTTAGAAAGGAGAGAAGGAAGAGGAATTACACGAAATACTCCCCCCCGCAACACGGTTCAGGATCGGAGAAACATCATTGAGTGCAGCGTTGATGAAATCTTCGCTCCTCTTCTTTTGGGTGGCCGACGAACTCACCATTTCGTTCGGGAGCGTGGTTTCAGCAACGCTGCTCTCAATAATGTTTCTCTTTCTTTTGGGATCTGAATGGAAATCACTTTGTTCTAACCTATACTCTAGTGTTTTTCTTACATTGTACAAGAGGGTTGGTGGGTAGCCCAATGCAAGATAGATTGATTGTTTTGCTTTTGTTTTGGCCAAGAACTTGATTGTTTGTATTTCACTACTTATTCATTAAAAAAATTATGTGTTTCAGCAACTTACAAATCATTTGCAATCAAATTAGCTTTATGAAGATTAACAACATCCATCAATCTTTCAAAGAGATCCCAAATCTCTTACCAAGAAGAACTTTGATTACTACCAAAAAATAAAAAAATCTTCGATTTATGATAATCAGATGATATGACAATGACACGATGATGAAGCTGCTTGATGAGAAGTCTGATTCATCCAGTACGACAATGTACACATTATAGAATGTGGATTAACCATCAGATTATATGTAAGGCCAAGAGACATTTTTTGAACCGTTGGATGACTAATGACAGCATTGTTGTTGTAATTATGAGGAATGGTCAAAAAGATGGATAGAGATTAGAGAACCTCCCCAAGATGGTCAAAAGAGTTGAAAGTTGAATCTCTTTTTTTTCACTTTTTACTATGTTGCTGTTGCCTAGTTTTGCTGCAAACTGGACTTGTGGCCAATATAGAGAAGAGAAGCCTGCAAAATCGTACTTTGCTTGGAATTGGGCTTTTGGCGAATCTGCCAAACCCAAAATGAACATAAACAAATCAAAGGTCAAATGCATAACCCTACCAACGTGTTTGCTTGCCCAGTAAAATTGCAGTAAAAGCTTGATCATCAGGTGAATGCCCTCATATTATTATCAGCACACATTTCCTGCATTTTCTTATAGAACATCAAACCTTAACATCCAAACTTCGAAAGGACAAACGTCACGATTATTGAAAAATTCTCAATCGTAAAGTTAAGACGTCCAACAATTCTCATAACCGGAAATATTCTGAACAAATATTTGACAATGGAGATTGCTTCAGCTTGAACGAATACTACAAATGTAGACGTCGATAACGCTTTGATGTACCGAGAATTCTCTTCCTCTCGTGTAACTCGGCCTCAACTTACCCTTTTTTTTTCTTCAATTGCTTGGCTGCCAGAGTACTGCAGAATTCGGGATTTACAGTTACATAGATGTACTTCTAATTTGTTAGAACATCCACTTCCTTAGAAAACATTAGAAAAGGTAAAAGACGAGTCTTGAAATTTGCTGCTGAAAACTGAAACTCTGCACTAAGCCAAACAGAGCCTTATTAGATACTCCTTTGAGAGTCCATTACCGCACCGATCAATCATTCCATCTTTAATTTCCCGACTAATAATTTTCCCCCATGTCCAAAGACCAAAAACAAAGGTTTCTCCAGAGCAACCCTGATAGGGCTCTGTTTTCCTACCAAATTACGCCCGCTGCCATTCGCCGTTCGCCAATATGCCCTTTCTTCGTCTTCTGCTACTGCTAATAAATGTCGACGACCCCTAAAACCAAAAGCCCTCTTTTCATTTCCCTTCTCCGCTCCTTCTATTAGAAGAAAGACGTGATTTTTTTCTTCTTTTTTTCTGTCACTTTCCCGAGAAAATTTTCAGATAGAGAGTGGGGCTGCGGCGTGGAGTTCTCTATCTGCGGGGGGATTCTTCTTTAATTCGTTGGCCGGGGAATGGCGGAGAATGGGTCTCTGCCGGACCACCTCCGGTGCAAGCGGACCGACGGGCGGCGGTGGCGGTGCGGCCGGAGGGTGGAACAGGGGAAGAAGCTCTGCGAAATTCACCACCTCCAAGGTAAGCATCGCTCGCACAAGTGGAAAGTCCCCGAGTCGCTCAAGATACAGAGGAAGTACAAGAACAGCAACAATGGCGCTCGAGTTAGGTTACCCAAGGAGGGCGACGTCGTTTTGTCGAAATTGGGGCAGAAGAGGAAGAGGCCGGAGGGATTCCACGAGGTAGTGAAGATGAAGAAGAAGACGAAGACGAAGAAGATTAAGGCCAAGAAGAACACGCTGCAATTTGAGCTGATTCGGATGGCTCTGAATAGAGCAGTCGAGAAGCGGAAAGGGCAGAGTACCAATAACAAGAAATCCAACTCTAAGAATAAGAGCGGTAGTAGTGAAAATAACAGTGGGGAAGAAGAGGAAGAAGATGAAGAGCACGAGTTGATGAGAGATTTGCCTAATGGGTTCATGGCTATATCTCCTGCTAAGCATTTCAACAATGTGGGTTCATGTTCAGCTTCCACAGCTTCCTGCGACGTCAAAATTGGGTCGGATTTGAGTTCTGGGAGACGGTTCCGGTCTAAGAACCTCGAGCCATTGCCCATTGGAGCTGCCCTGCAGGTAACTGAACTGAAGGAATAACCACATTGCAGTCAGAATGATAGGTTGTCCCTTTCTACTTAGTTTTTGTTTTATAAAATGTGGGTTGTGTTTATTTGTGAAGGTTAAGGATATGGTGGAATTGAAGAGAGGGAAGAAGAAGCAGAAGTGCCATTGGTGTAGGAAGAATGGGTTGAGTAGTACTTTGATTCAATGTTCCAGTTGTCGGAAGGAGTTTTTCTGTATGGATTGCATCAAAGAACGGTATGTAGAAAGGACTGTTACTTCTATGAGCTGCTGTAACTAACTGCAAAATTTGTTCATGGTTCTCCTGATGATAAGAGCTACTTAATGATTGGAACTGAAGCATAAAGGTTATTGACTATAGGTATTTTGATGAGCAAGAAGAAGTTCAGAATGCTTGTCCAGTTTGCCGCGGGACTTGTGGATGTAAACCATGCTCGGCAGCCCGATTTAAGGACGGTGAATGTGAGGTCTGGTGTCTTTAATAGTCATGGTTAACTTTGAACAAATGACGGATTCAATACTCCTATTGACGAATCCCTATGCTTACATATGTCTACCATGTTTGCTGTAGGAGTTCTCTAATGGTAGAAGACAGGTGAATAAGGTCTTGTACTTTCATTATATGATCTGTATGCTCCTTCCAGTGCTGAAAAAAATGAATCAAGATCTTGCTTCCGAAATTGACACAGAGGCCAAAATAAAAGGTATAATTCTCATTGATTCATCTTAGCGATCTTCTGATAGTGCAAGTAATCACATTCCCTTCTAACAGGTCTAAAACCTTCCGAGATTCAAATAGAGCAGGCTAAAGTAAGCAGCAACCAACGTTCGTGGTTTGTTCTTATTCTTCTCCAGATCATTATATTTCTTAATTTCACCTTCATGAGTTTCTCTTCATACTTTCTTACTCTCGGATGTATGGTGATGCAGCAATAACTGCAAGGCTTTGATTGTTGATTTCCTCAGAAGCTGCCAAAGCTGCCCCTACAGCCTCTGCTTAAGATGTTGTCGAGATGTTTTCCAGGGGTTAGTACGTGGGAATGTCGATGTGCTTGTATCTAAATGCCCTACAAGAAGGAAAACTTTCGTTTCGGGCAGACAACAATCCGAGATGATATCAGCATTCGCATCAAAGAAGAGATTCCCCGGTAGACATTCCCGTAATCGAAAAGCTTTCAATGGTTGTGTTGGTATACCTTGTCCACCTTCTGAGTTTGGTGGTTGTGGTGATAGCCTGCTCGATCTGAGCTCTCTTTTCCCATTGAATTGGGCCAAGGAGCTGGAAAAAAGTGCAGAAGAGCTTATTGGCTGCTACGAGTTGCCCGAGACCTTGGATATCAACTCCAGTTGTTCGTTATGTACTGAGAGTGACCTGGAAACTGATGAGGTAAAGCAGTCACAAGAGGCCTCTACAAGAGAAGATTCACAAGACAACCTGTTATACTGTCCTACTGCAGTAGACATTCACGGTGATAAGCTAGAACATTTCCAGAAACACTGGGGCAAAGGTCAGCCTGTAAAAGTCCGCAATGTGCTTCTGGGTACATCTGATCTGAGCTGGGATCCAATTGTCATGTTCTGCACCTATCTCAAGAACAATGCTAACACAACCGGGAATACGCAGGCTATTGATTGTTTGGACCACTTTGAGGTTAGTGAACTACTCCATTGGTATTTTGAACTCAAGCTGTCATTCTTCGTGACGGCAAAGTTGCTACATCCTAAAATCTCATAAAGGCTCAGCTTAAAAGTCAAATTCTACTAGTTTAGGACTGGCCATGTGTGCATGATATAGCTTTGAAAGGTGTAGTTTGGGAATCACACTGTAAAAAGTTTATGTTTTTCCAAGTCTGCATGATAACTACGGAAGGTTCAGTTTGAAAGTCATGTTGTATAGTTTTTGGACTATCCAGTTTCTGCAAGATGATAACTTTGATGTAAAAATGGCAGGTGGAAATTGGTGTTCGGCAGTTATTCATGGGATCGATAAGATGTCCGAAAAATGCCAATATGTGGCATGAGGAACTAAAGTTGAAAGGATGGCTTTCTCCTCAAGTAATCCAAGAACATCTCCCAGCTCATTACTCCGAAATCCTTCATGCTCTACCACTCCCAGAATACATGGACCCCACTTCTGGTGTCTTGAACTTAGCAGCAGAGTTGCCACAGGAGATCTCGAAACCCGATTTGGGTCCTTCCATCTACATTTCGTACAATAGCGGGAACGATATTGTAAGAGCTGAGTCAGTATCGAAATTGCGGTATGATACCTATGATGTGATCAACATTCTGGTGCATGCAACTGATGCACCTGTCTCGACTGAACAACTTAACTATATCCGCAAGCTGATGAAGAAGAACAACGAAGAGAACCGAGCAAATGGAGGAAGCATCGAAGAATTGAGATTGCATGATCTGGTAGAGGAAGAAATTCAATTGCACAAGAAAGTTGCTCGAGTCTCTTGGTTCGCTGCTGCACAACATGAAACCCGTGATGAGAAACGTAACACAGTTTTCCACAATAATGGAGCATGTTCAGACACCGATTCCGACACTGATACTGATACCGATACTGAAGTCTCAAAGTTCTTGTTTGTTCCAGTCAAAGGGTCTAGGACTTCAGAGCACCGAACATCCGGATTAAAGCGTTCGGAAACAACCTCCGATGAAGAATTTGTATCTGAGAAACATGAAGAGTCATGCGGTGTCCTATGGGATGTCTTCCGTCGACAGGATGTTCCAAAGCTCGTAGAGTATCTACGACAGCACTCGTATGAGTTTGTCGATACATATGGTTCCAGAAAGCCGGTAAGCTAAAGGATACAGGGCGCGTGCTTGTTCTAGCTTTTGCTAAGTTTCAGTAAAACTAAAGGAGAATAAGTGTTTGATGCGTCGGTTCCTTTACTCATCAGTGGCTGTATACCTTTGCAGGTTACTCATCCGATACACGATCAAATTGTCTTTCTCAATTCGATGCATAAGCAAAGGCTCAAAGAGGAATTTGGTAATAGTTTTGTTCTCGTTTTTGGGTTTTAGTGGTCATTTTCTTCAGTTTCCAAACACCTCATTCTTTCTATATCACAGAGATTGAGCCGTGGACATTCGAGCAACACGTGGGAGAAGCCATCATTATTCCAGCCGGATGTCCTTACCAGATTATGAATCTCAAGTCCTGTGTGAACATAGTGCTGGACTTCGTATCTCCGGAAAGTGTCATGCAGTCCATGCAGTTGACCGATGAGCTTCGCCTACTTCCAGATAAGCACAAGGCCAGGGCTGATTGTCTTGAGGTGAAGCAAATGGCCATCCATGGCATCAGTAGAGCCATTAAAGAGATACGTGAGCTTACTTCTTGCACTGACTAACACTGCGAGATGCAACTTTCAGAATACATCATCGTACAATTCCTTGAGTTTTGCTACCACAGATGAAGTACTCCCATCAATGAATAAGTATCAAAGGGCTGTGCAAGCTCAAATTGTTGAGAATGAGTGGAAGAGATTGTTCCAGTTCTGCATCAGAGTTATAAGCATATATGTACAATGATTGTATGCTTTTGCTTTCATGGGATTCATAATCTGCAATTGGAGAGATGATGGAAGGGAGGTAATTCTTGTAGACTAAAGATCAAAGGCTAGTTAGGATAGGGTTTCTAAATTTTTTTGTTGGGGTACTGTCCTGTGGATTTTGTGCATATGACTCCTTTTTTTCCAAGACAATCCATTGGTTGTACATATCATTGGTGGTAGTCTTCTGAGTAATAGTTCAAGGTTGAGTGTTAGCCATTAGGTTGTGATTTGGGGTTACTGATTTCCTGGAACTCATATGTGACTTTGGTAATCGTAGAGTGTAACAGAACATAACCGCTTGTCTTCAGTCACAAATTTTTACTGTTTTTTTGTTGTTGTTGTTGTTGTTGCTGTCTCTGTATATGTCTAAATCTAAACTCAGGGAGGACACGATGGAAATGGATACTTATCCATATTGTGTTGTGGAAATTAGAATGAATTCATGAATGAAGCAGCTAACAGTTGGTCACCCTCTAGCTGCTGCGAGCCAGAAACTCTTCTTGACACTTCTTTGCTACGACTGCGATGCAAGATAGATTGCAATGTCCTTTTCTGCTGACGCTCATGAACAGGTAACGGGATAGGAGGATTGAGACTTTCTTCTTCAAATCTGCATCTAGATCTTTAGAGGGTGGTAGCTGAATCTTTACCTTTCATTTGCATCCATCCTGGTTTTGTGGAATCCACAAGAAACTAATGGTTTTTTATTTCATTTCTGGGGAATAGCAGTACTACATTTTGAGCTTCTTCTTTGATCCATGGCAAAAAGAACTAATGAAAAACATGCATCCTTCTCTCTATTTGGCAGTCACAGAGCGACATCATTTTTTTTTTTACAGTTCTTGCACATAACATGATGAATCGAATGAGATCTTATCTCTGTTTTTTATGGTTAAGTCATTATAGAACCGTTGCTAGAACCATTTGTGCGGTATGACATTAAAATTGCATATAATATGGTAATTTATGACCGAAGTTATCAATAAATATAAATCATTTCGAATCTATATCATCCATTACTAAAAAGTACAAACTTTAACAAATCACTCAAACGATATCACTAAAAAATTTATGATTTTTTTTTACGAAATTCAAGTTATTAATTAGGGTGGCAGTTTGTAGTGGACCATGATAAAGCCGACAAGAAAGTTAAGAAACGAAAAAGAGGAAACAAAATAAAATTAGGGATTCAGGTGTGATTATTTTAATTTATATTAAAGTATTTTTCATAATGTTTTTGTAGTTAAAATAGTGAACAATTCAAATCGAGATGGTTCATCTAATTTCATATTGTTTAATTGTGAATCCCTTCCTAACTGTCCAAACAAATGACCCAAACCATTATTATTGTAATTTGTAACTGATTTGGTAATTCTATTGGTTCCACCATTAATCTGGGTTGATTTTTATAACTAGGGATATTAGGCATCGGGTTACACATGCAATGCCAATAAATGGTCAGATTGATTTCTTCACACGGTAAGAGATCATATACTGAAAGAATTGGCATCACTTATTCTCTTTACTTTCTCTGTTGCTCTTGCATTGTCTGGAAAACCCATCGATTGAATTAAGTACAGGCAAAAAGACCCAGAGAGAAATGGGAAACAAAGCAAAAAAGTGAGAAGTGAACAAAGAAGAAGAATCCCTAAAGGTACAAGGGAATTACAAAAAAGAATCATCCAAAATTTCGAGGGCTGGATACATCCCTGAGAGAGCTGTCCTTATTTCTTAGACTGCAAGTATACTTCTTTGTGGCCTAAACGCTTACAAAATTGCTTCCAACCTGTGATAACCTTCTTTCTCTTCTATGGGGCCATCAACCCTTCGATCGTGTAAGACAGTGACTTTGCCCAATCAGCTCGAAGCAGCAGCGTCTGCAACGTTTGCATCACGTTGTATGCCGGGTCGAGCTTCCTTTGCCATCCCTGTGAATCGTATAAACAAAACGAATGAAGATGAGGACCAACAAGATGACGTACACTCCAATTAACCCTGGAAAATTCTAAGACAAAGATTATACCTCGAGAACCAACGTTGTCACCATTACAGTGCAGACATTGCCATCAATGTTGACCTTATGTCGCCTTACTTTCTCGAGTAGTTCCTCCATGCATTCCGCAGGATGAACCAGATCGCCTTCTGGAGTTCCCCAGAATGTGAATGCCTCTTCCATTTCCTGTTTTAAGCAAACACCACCAATCAGAAACTGTATACAACCATGCAGAGTCACAACTTTCTCAGGACAGAACCCAGGATGGGAAATCAAAATCTAGAAGGTTGCTGAAGACATTTCCATACATGTGGCACATATGAGCCCAAACTTCCAAAATCTTATGCAACTTGACAATTTGAACTCATGACACACCAACCCACAAAAAAAATTCAACAGAAAGTCATGGATGCCTAACTACGACCCAAAAGAACCATGTAAAAAACCCAACCCACAACCTCCCAGACCCATTAAAACAGAACCCATATATCCATGAACCCTACTCCTAGTCTCCTACCTATTTGCCACCTCTACTACTGATTTCTAAATGCAGATGTTCTACAGTCTCAAATGGACAGACTTCCCTCAAAAAAAAAAAAAAAAAGACTTTGAACTGGTTACACACCTTGATAAAAGCCTTTGGATCAGGACAATTCTGCTGTTTCGATAACCGCAATGCAGATTCTGCTGCAATGCGACCATCTCGACGAGCAACAGCCTTGAAAAACTCAAGTAGATTCACTCTGTCGTTCTTCGATAGTTCAGCGGTCATGCCTACATCAAGGAAAACGACATGAGGCTTTGATTTGAACAGCCGTTTTTTCCCAGAGGGCTTGTTCTGAGACGCCACCCGGACAAGAATATTCCCAGGATGCATGTCTGCATGGATAAAGTTGTCCACCTGAAGCAAGAAATAATTCACTTGGCAAACTGAGGCTAAATTCCAAATGTTTCTCGAACTATAACCTTAAACAATAAACATAGTATCTTACCAGAAGCATTTTCAGAAGTGCATGAGTTCCGATATGGGCAAGTGCAGCTTTAACCCGATCATGTCCCTCAAGGTCATCCACATAGTGCGAAACACTCTCCCCTTGCTCGTAAGTCTCCACCAAAACAGCTGGATGCACGAGGGGATACACTGGTTTAGGGAAGGAAACATCTTTCCAACTCCGGAAGTTATATATGAACCTGCTCAAGTGAGCAGCCTCCCTAGCAAGATCAACTTGAGACATCATGAAAACTGCAAACTGCTGTACACTCTCATCCAATCTCAACCAATTCAAAGCAGGAATAAATCTCGACATCTTTGCTGCCAAATTGATGATGGTGAAATCTCTACGAATTGACTCTCCAACACCGGGATGCCTAACTTTTACCGCCACAACAAGAGGCTTCGCCTGCTTCTGACCAGGGTACCTGAATCTCAAAGAGGCTCGATGCACCTGGGCAATACTTCCAGATGCCACAGGAAGTTCCTCAAACCCTTCGAAGATTTCATTTAGCTTACGGCCAAATGCTTTTTCAATTATCTTTTTTGTGTAGGCAAAGCTATGCTCAGGAGCTTTTGAGTGTAGCTGTGACAGCTTGGTGCAGAGATCTCGAGGGAAGAGATCAGGTCGTGTAGCCGCCCATTGACCCCATTTTATGAATGCTGGACCTGCTCTTTCAAGTGTTCGAAGGACGACGCGAAGCCAATAGTCCCTGAATCTTGGTCCAAACCAGTCAGCAAATGGTGCCATGACTAAGCTTGGGGTAAACAAGATGGTCAAGTAGAAGGTTCTCACGAGCAAGATAAGACCTTCCACAGCAGAGTATACTAGTGATGAGACAAAAGCTCTTCCATCTTGTGCGCGATTGTATAGTGAACTTGTCAAGGGGTATGGATATTGAAACGAGTCGGCCATCGATCTCTCTGCCCATGCCATTTGCCCACATGTCAGTGCCAGTGCACCAGAGACTACAAGAGGTGATCTTGTTAAAGCCAAGCTGACTGCTTGAGCAATCCTGCTTATAACTGTGGGGTTATCACTGCCATGAGAGCCTCTTGCAATGAGCCTCCTCCATGCAAGATGGGCATTGTAAGCGAGAAGTTTAGCAGGAGAAGATCCAGTATATGGCTGAGAACTGAAACTATGGCTGAATTGTTGCTTGACTACATGCCGGGTGAAGGCTGAAGATCCTACTCGTGGGAGCTGGTAATGAGCAGTGTGTCTAAAATGGGGCATACGGGAGCCCAGCTGAGCTAGTGTTCCATACCTCTTATACCCTGAATGGCTTTGGCTTTCAGTAATTGAACTTGCGATCCTCTTAATAGCTCCAAACGTCAAAAATCTACATTCCAATACCACTCATCCCATCAGTCAATCAATTATTTAGTTCAAATCTTTGCAACAAGTCTCAAATTTCATGTTTACCATAACAAATTAAGATTGACACAGTCGAGCTCAACACTAATTCACCATACGAATGCAGAAAGAGTAAATGCAAGAAGTTCACTCCAAAAGTTCATTTTCTTCCAAAGAAGACATCACATGGTCAGACTCAGCCCAACTAAACAAAGACAAAACCACAAGATTGGCAACAATAGGCAAAATCTCGCATCAACTGTTATTCCTACCACTCCCATTTCCCTTTGTCAAATCATCCCCTCCATTACCAACCTGCCACCCACACTTAAAGAGTTCCTCTTCCCCAATTTAAACGAAAACCCAGCCTCCACCGGCGCCCTAACTCTCCTACGCTATTGTACTCTCTCCGCAGCTTCAGCCACTAGGAGGAACTTCCACCTTTACCGCCGATGCTTCCCTTGCGAATTCCGAAAAGTGGGTCCCATGAAACGTCTTCCTAGAAGCTCCGCCGCCGCTGCCTAATTCCGGCAACGACCCATTTTCGCCGGGAAGAAATTCCCGAATTCAACACGCGGCACACCCAATCCCCCTCTCTCTCTAACTCCCCCGCGAAAGAATAAGAAGCAAAATGGAAGACAGAAAGAAAGGAAGATGGAGGGAGGGAGGGAGAAAGGAAACAACCAACCTCGACATGGCGATCGGGAGTCTTGAGAGCTAGTTGATGAAGCCAACGCCGCGGCGGCAGCTAGCATCTTTTCATGGATTCTCCTCCCAGCTCTCCCTTCAGATGGGGCTTCTTGCTGATTGCCGGAATGGGCGATCGGCGTTGGAGGGACAATTGCCCGTTTCGGTCCGGGAAGGAAGGAAGGGAGAGATTGCCCTAAAGCTTGGGGGAGAAGGCTGGAGGAGAGAGAAGTGGAAACGGCGGGACGACGGGGAAAAGTGGCCTTGGACTTTAGGGAAAGATAGAATTTAATTGGGCTTTCCCCATTTGGTCTCCTTTTCTTTGGGCCCACGACGGTAGATCGAGAGTTCCGCTTTAAGTCGGTCACACACTTTCGAGGGTTGCATGCTCCATGTCCATGGTGCTCCCACATTAATTTCGTCAAACCACCAATAAATTTCCAACATGCACGCCAATCATTATGATAAGTAACAACG